CTTTCTCTACTTGTACGAGGTAGAGTTTGAGCCGCCGCAGCGTTCGCACCGTCCCTTGCACGTTACAAGACGTGTCCCGGATGCTCCAGGATCCAGACTTGTGGCATGCGGGTGGGAAAAAAAGGGGGAATAATACATGCACTACTTGCCCTGTCGTCAATGATCAACGTGAAGATCTGACCACAACTGTTACAAGCACAATTATCACGAGGACTACGAGTACTCGGTACCGTATGAGCTACGACGGAAGCAGGTCACAAGTCTGGGCACGCTCCTAAGCAGGCTGAGTGTGGGCTACACGATGATCATCAAATGGCACTCGCGTCGTCACTGGAGCCGCCCATGGAAATACGAGTAGCTTGCCATGTTGATCAGACTCGGGAGAGAGGCAGCTGGCGGGGCCCTCACACCGACCAACCTCGTAGCGACTATTTGGCCTTCCTGATCGATGATGGGATCTTCACGCACGTTGATCAAAGAGCCTCGTGACTTGACGTCGGGTCATCGATGATCAACGGGAAATGACCTCGAATCGGGACTCGATTTGATTGTTATTTCAACTATCATACGAGACTCGTAAGATCGTTAGATCGTCGCACATTCCATGGGCATCTATGCATTAGTATTGCTGCTCAGGTGAGTACCCTTTTGTTTCTGCGTTTCGAGCGGTGATGTGAGAGTGACAAGTCGTTGTGTCTTTCGGGGCGGTCAATAGCAAGCACCATTCAGTCTCGCGCATCTCTTGCTGCATGGTTTCCCAGGGTTTGTATCTCTGTTTGCCTGTTATGCAGATGGACAAATTGACGACACCACCCTCACAAGGTGCTGCACTAATCCAAAAATCTTGATTCTCTTTCTCTATTTCCTTTCAGGGCACATCAAATCGGAGGAAAGATGATGTTGAACAGAATCTGCGTCACTGACTCGAGGCTGAGCTGTGTGATGGCGTGTGGTGGTGTTGCTCACCCCCCATCTGGCAGGCCAAATATGTTTACTGTGAACATCACTGTTGCTGATCTTGGTGTCTTAAAGGGCGGCTTGCCAAACCGGTTTTGCTATACCTGCAGACTTGTTCCCAAGTCAAGAGCCTGCCCATCTGGAGAGTGATCGCATGCACGATGCAAGTCCCAAAGGCTGTCCTTGACTGGCTCCATGGGTGGCAGTTTCCACACTCCAAAAGTAAGAGGCTCGTCGTAGGAATTGACAGTCCATCCAGACAGATGTGGCCATTGTGTGAGAGAAACCTCGTCAGCGCCCGTACAGTTCAAGTATGGTAGAGGAGTCTTGGGCTGGAGGGAAGGGGTCTCGGCACGTGACCATTGCGCCCCAGGTACAGGATCGTGTGAGTGACGACTTCTCGAGAATTGCCGGTCCCTGTGAGATGCGTCAATCTGTTATCCTTGGTACTTGTCCTAGAGCTTCTCCAGATTTTGGAGGACATGTATGTGGTGAGTGGCATTATTATTGAAGAGGCGGATGTTTGTGTTGTGGGATGGTGAAAAGTCGTGAATGACATCGTCGCTTGTTGCCCCGCAACGCGCCAGTAAATATCGAGCATTGATTTCTGTCTCGCATACAACACTTTCACCACTCAGATTCACCCTCTCATACACTCGTACACTCTTCCACTTGTTTGTTCAGACACTCTGTCCCTACCATTTATTACGCCTTTTGCGGAACAGAGCACTGTTGCTCTTCTGTCCGATCTTGTGACTCTTATGCATGGGGAATGTCTCGTGCCATAACTAGACAAGTCGTCATTGATTGTACCTGCCCGTCGAATCTTTCTTCAAGGTAGTCGCAATGGCCCTCGAACTTGCCGATAATGACAAATACGAGGTCAAGGAGATTATTGGTATTGACTCCCTCCCGCCGTCTGGTCTCTTCTTGGTTCTCACGACAGAGTTAGGTCGTGGTGCATTCGGCATCATTCGCAAAGTTCGTCGAAGACAAGATGGCCATGTACGTCTCCCCCCTCCAATCAATGGCCCATTGGCCTCAGTCTGACTGCCCTCAGATCCTGTGCCGCAAAGAGATCAACTATCTCAAGATGTCCCAGAAGGAACGCGACCAACTGCATGCGGAATTCTCGATTCTTGCCTCCCTCAGCCATCCTAATATTGTCGGATACTTCCACCGCGAGCATCTGAGACAGACCCAAGAGCTATACTTGTATATGGAATATTGTGGCGGCGGCGATCTGGGCTGTGTCATCAAGGAACTCAAGCGTAAGAACGAGTACGCAAAGGAGGAGTTTGTCTGGAGGATTTTCAGCCAGATAGTCACGGCTCTGTACCGTTGCCATTACGGAGTCGACCCGCCTGAACCCGGCAGTGACTTCTCTCGACAGAACGACACCCGGCCTCTCAACAAGGGCAAAATGATCCTCCACCGAGATCTCAAGCCCGAGAATATATTCCTGGGAGAAGACCAATCCGTCAAGCTCGGCGACTTTGGTCTCTCCAAGATTATGCAGTCGCATGATTTCGCCTCGACTTATGTTGGAACACCTTTTTATATGTCGCCAGAAATCTGTGCTGCCGAGAAATACACTTTGTATTCAGACATCTGGTCACTTGGTTGTATCATGTACGAACTTTGCACCAAAGAGCCGCCGTTCAATGCAAACTCCCACCTGCAACTCGTGCAGCGCATCCGCAAGGGAGACGTCAAACCCATTCCAGCCATCTACTCAAAAGACCTCGCCAACGTCATTGCAAATTGTCTCAAGACAAATCCAACGCACCGGCCGGACACGAGCTCGTTGTTGACTGTACCCTATGTGTGGCTCGCTCGGAGGCAGCAAGAGATGGTCACCATCGGAAAGGCATTGAAGACGAGGGAGGAGATTGCAGACCACAAGGTCAGACAAGCTGAAGAGAGGCTCTCTGCTCTTGAAGCAGATAGAGCGGCCTTGAGGCTGGAAATTGATGCCCAGCTTCGTCGCGAGTGGGAGGTCAAAGCACGACTTGAAATCGACCGACAGGTTCAATTGGAGCTGGAAAGACTCCGGAAGAGGTTCGACAGGGAGGTCGATGAGCGTGTCGCCCATCTACTGGTTAAACAGAAGCACTCAACGGAAACCCGAGCACTGCGAGACATTCAAAACCCTCCCGGGAGGTCCTTTGACGACAAAGAGAACCTGAACCCTTCGTCGTCGGTCAACACTGCCGGCGAGGAAGACTTCCCGTCGACCACAGATATCACGGATCTGTCGGATCTTTCAATCAGCTCGCCCACCACGTCGAGTAACAAGTCAATGCCCAAGAAGACGAAAACGCCTTTTGCTCGGTCCAAGACCACCTTCGACTCTCCTGTTGATATCCAGATGTCAGAACCATCGCCCATGTCCATCTCTTCCCTGGCGCTCTCTCCCCGTCGAAACGCCGCAGCACAAGCAACTGCCAACCCGACAGTCACCGCCGTTGGTGCGAAAAATCTCTTTGCAGAAGCGGCACGCCAAAAGGCCCGGTGGGAGCCACAGTTGGCATATTCCTCCGACGAAGAAAACATTGAACCCCCCGAAGATTCAGATGATGATGACGATGGGTTCCCAGAATTGGCCAGTCCAACAAGATCAAAAGGGAATATGGTCAACATAGATCCCTTCAAGAACCCGGCACCTCTGCCGCTGAAGAACAGACCAGCCATGGTGAGACAGAATACAGCAGCCACTATGCAGAAATTAATCACCAAGCCCACTCTGTTCCCGTCCAGCAACACGGCAGCACAAGTGAGAGCAGGAATTGCTTCTGTCAACATCGCCAATGCCATTAAAGGTATCCCACGAAACACTACAGACGGCGATCTGCGTTCTTTGACAGCGAAGCCCACGAGCCCTAATAGACGTCTGAGCAAGATACCAAGCCGAAACGACCTCCGCGAGCACGCCATTGCAGATGAAGGAAGCACTAGTCCCCTTAGGCGAGCAGCAACGACGGCCGGTCGGCTCCCTAGCAAGCTCGGGGGCGGCCGAGATGCTGTCACTGGCACCGGCGTAGGAGGGCGAACGCTGGTAGAACTCGCTCAGGCTCGGGCTGGAGGCCACTTGAACACAAAAGTGAGGACCCTCCCGGACCAGCGAAGCGAAAAGGACCTACCTCCAGTTCCGGTTTGGGACCCAGAGATCTTCGGGGATGAAATGCCCAGTCCTTTCCTGAAGAAGGATGTCAAATCCGTGCGGCCTATGCGGTAGTCACGACTACCCTCGTATGAGTATCTTGCACGGAGAATGGAATAACGACGATCATGCGACAACGTAAAGAGTCAATCTGAAAGAATATGGTCGGACATGGATGGCATCTGAGGTATCATGGTCTATGCTGTGGTCTTTCCGATGGCACCAGAGTCTCTTCTTCGGACTGAAGAAGGAAATGAGCAGCACAACACCCGACCAGTTGCCTTTGAGGCGAATGTTGCAATACCAGAGCTTGTCGGAGCAGGGGTTACTGTCCCCTGTACAAGAATTTGGGGTTTATTTCGTTTGTTTGGGATCGTTGATCAAGGTCCGATGAGTGCATTGGAAAAGCCTGCGTATGAATGCCACTTTGGGAACAACGATGGCGCTCTGGCGTTTGAGGAATTATGTTCACTGACGCCGTCAAGAGGATTGATCTATTGACCGATGGGGGAGTTGGAACGATCAGTTGGTGGAGGAATTGAGTGCTGCTTGCACTTTCTACTTGAAACGAGCAGGGGAGTCTGGATAGTCAGCTCGTCTAGCACCGCGTTGGATTAAAAAACCACTGCCTTGTATGTATGCATGCGACCTCTAGAGTTATCAGCCAGGCCAGTCTGCAGTTTTACGCGAACATGAGAATTTGGAACCAAGAAGAACTTGTGTAGTCCGCAGCTTCGACGATGCCCATCTGACTGACTTGCTCGCAGAAGATGAGGGCGCATGGATGGACCTTGCTGCCTGGGGGTTGCCAAACTTGTCCCCTCGTTCCCATCTCATCTCGCACAGATGGCCCAGAACACACTCACTATACATGCTGTGCTTAGGCATCCTCGTCCTCGACTTCTTCAATCTCCACGTTACGACGATGTGGAATGCGTTGCGACGGCTGGGTTTCGCTGCTGGAATGATGCCTCGGGTCGTCTGCGCCCTCGGGTGGCTCGGTGTCTTGAGTTCCACCGTCCTCATGATCCTGCATCTCCACCTCGCGTAGAAAGCGCTCTTCCTCCTCCGCAAGTCGCCTTGCATCCTCGTCCGCGCCCTCGTCACCTGTAGGTGTGGTTGAAGTCGTTGCTGTGGCGGTCTGTGTCCTTTCGTCGTTGGCTTTGCCTAGATAGCCCTCGGCTTCGAGGCGGTCCATCTCTTCCGGTTCGATCAAGCGACCTGTGGGTCCGCCCTTTGCAGCCTCTTGTTTCTTCCGGACAACGTCTGGTACAAATCTGTTGACGGCTTCTTTGCGGAGATCACGGATCTGCGGAGCACTTTCGTACGTGGTTTTCACTTCTATGGGTTTCGCTCCTGGTTTGGTGGGTGGTAATCCGGTCGGCGAGCTCGCTTGTTGAGGATTGTGGCCATCGTCTCGGCGCGGCGGGTTGCGCCTGAATTCTCGTGGAATGGGTGGTGGTGTATCTTCAGGCATGGGGATGCGGCGGACAGAATCATCCGTGTCACTGCCCGAGGAGTCTTGTCTCGGTTGGTGGTATTTGCGCTCGCCATCATGCCTTCTCTTGCCCAGCGTAGTGCCACTGCCCTCAGCGTCACGTCGACGGGATGGCCCTGAGAAGTTGGGGGCTTTGTCGCCCAAGGCTTCTCTTGCTTTCTTGACCGCACGCAGATCTCGTTCTAAATCCTCTAATATGGCCCGTTCTCTAGCTTTAATGTCTCCTGTAGCCTCGAGAGCCTTGAGGTCATCGATTTGGCGTTGGATGCGTTCGGGGTTTCGGCGGGCCAATTTCTCATTACGCCTTGCTTGTAGCTCCGCCCGACTCTTTTTCAGCTGTTTCGCCTTTTCGAGCTTGCGCTGCTGTTGCGCAGGATTGACAGATCGTTCCTTGTCTCTCGCCATCGAGTGGGATGGTATTTGAAAATCGGGAGGGATAACGGTACGGGGAAATTTGGGTTGATGGATTGTTGACTAAGAAAGTCGTTGGACCTGCACCGCGACGTCAGAAGTTCAAAAAAGATCGGCCGGTGCCGCAGGCGCGTGGAGTGGCACAAATCATGCAAGTCGAGGGGAGGGCGGGATTGACTAAGTGAGCGGGCCAGATATTATGATTGATTGCAGTCACTTTCTTGGGGTTGCTTGGTGTCACGTCTGCACCCATGAAACATTGGGTCTCACCGGTCAGAAGCAGACGAACCCAAGAGGCGGGAACCAGGAGGGTGATGCAGGGTAAAAGCTCCAAAAGAATGCCAAAAAGATGGGTGGGTTGCAGTAGTGCTGCAGTGGTAGATGCAGCTGCTCTGGGAGGAAGCGTTGACTCCTGCATGAACGGCTAAGCCATCCCTTGTGAACCAATTCAGACAATGGTAATTGGAGCTGGCTGTGCATTGTCACCAGGATGGCAGGACGGCGTGGTGGATTGTCCTTGGTGTTTCCTTTCTTGAGCGCAGTTAATGTGGGCGCCGGCACAGGCGCAGGTGGCATCAACTGTGACTTACTGAGTACGAAAGGATACGAGGCTGGTGGGAAACAAGCCGGCGGCAGGTCTGAGGGATTGACAGATAGGAGCGATGATAAGTTTGGTAGAGGAATCTTTTCCTTCTTGTAAACGCAAGCAGGAAGGTCTTGACGGGGAGGAGGACGAAGAGAAGGAGCTGAAGCTGATCTCCTGCTCTGCTCCCCTTCTCTATTCTCTCTGCATCCCTCGCACATCTTTCGCTCAGCTTCTACTATCCTTTCACTGGCGCTTTATCGAAATGCTCAAATCAAGATCCAAACAGCCCAGGCACCCTACCTCCTCCCTCGCCCCCCTGTCGGTCGTCCCTTTTCGCTTGCTGCTACTCGCTCTCCTCCATCCATGCCCCACGAAAATGATCCTCCTTTACCAAACTAACAAAGACCACGGCTCCGGAGCCAATCGAACATTTCTTGTGCCCATCCCACGGTGCTGTTAAAGTCGGTCACCTGCTGGTCCCCACGATCATTCTTTGTCCTTGTTACTCCTTAGCCAGGCACTAGGGCTGCTGAAGGCCCATCGAAGAGAAGTATCTAACGACCTAACTGTGCTGCGATAGCCGCGCTCCTCTTTTCTTTCGGTTTCTCAGCTCACTCAGTTTCATTGTGCCTCTTTTTTTCCTTTTCGTTTCTCCTTTACCCTGCATCGTATCCATTCCTCACACTTTTTCTGCTGGTCACCGTTGCAGGCGATGAAACAATACTCCTCCTCAACCGTCTCGCCCGTCGCCATCCCCGCTTCCGTTGCCGTTCCCGCGCCCACTTTCATCTCCTGGTTCTAGTCTGCTGCTCTTCCGAGCACGCTTGTCATCGACTGTTCTGCCGACCGTTGTCCTACCCCTCTTGGCACAAGCTGAACCAAAGCCAATACCTCCTGCTACCCGTTTAAATAGGGACCCTCTACCACCTGCCGCCGGGATCCTGGGAGGGGCGAAGAGAGGAGACAAAAGAGGAAAGAAAGAAGAATAAAAAAAAATAGGCCCATCCATTTGTTTGAGGCAGAGAAAGTGCGAGCGCTTCGCCAAACTTTTGAGGCTCTGCGGTCGCTAGCGACGCGCCCATCGATACGTCAAAGCTACAATGACCAGTCTCTCCCCAACTGCCATATCTCGCAGCTCGTTCGCTGTCTGGTGTCTCTTGCACCACTCTTGACGGCTTCTCGCAAACCTATCAGCTCTCAGAACTGCTATGTGCCGTTTGATCTCCACGGGTTCCTGTCGAAGCTCATCTGCCTCAACGCTTAGATTGGTCACTTCCACTGCTATCTCTGCTGCCCGCCCGGGACGTCCATGTCCGCGACTCAGTCAGTCGCCGACTCCGTTCTGGGTTTGACTCAATCTGAGTTGTTTCTTCTCCGGCAACAACAACAAATCCTGGCCCAGCGAAGTCATCAAGGCAGCATGCCCGACCGTGGCCGCGGCACTAGCAGGCAGTCGCAGCCAAGCTCCCGTGCCGTCAGTGCTGCTAGCAGCCAAAGTGTTCCAGGTCGGATTATGCTGGATTCCCATAGCCTGGAAGCTTTATATGCGCACCTGGAGAACGTGATCAGGAGTATCCAGCGTCGAATTGGCGAGGTATGCATCCGAGCATTGGTCTGCCCCCCGAAACTCTCCGTGCATGGACTGACTGTTGTGTAGCTCGAAGAAGCAACTGAACGGTCAGTGAGAGCTACCGCCAACCAAGCTGGAAGCGTCAGGCGGGATGCAGACCGAGAAATCGCGAGAATGCATCGCATCTTGGCTGATATTGACAAGCTCGAAGAAGAACTTGGGCAGATCAAGCGGATTCGTGACAAGATCAGGGCCATCAGAAACAACGTGGATGAGCTGGGTGATAGGCTCGATCGCACTCGCCCGAGCGGCCATAGCTCTGCCGGAGCACGAACTCGACGCTGAAGTGCAATTGGTCTATCGAGACGCTGAGCACTCATGAACTTTACAAACCAACTATAATTCTGCGAAGGCCTGGGGACGCGGGGCGGCAGACTCTCTCAACCACGTCTCACAGCATTGAGAGAGCCACACTCCTCCTAGGCGCTTCTCGTCCCTGGGCGTCTCAATTTTGTTTTACCACACTTTCACGGCGAATGCAGAGATGGAAGCCTCACGGCTGGTCATTAGTTAACGAGGTCATGCTTGATGAATGTACGAGTACTGAGTGGGACTTGTTTGCTGTGGAATTTGCATGAAGCTTTGACCTTTTTTGGCGTTGGGAGGCACACAATGACGAGTTCCTCGATCTCATGCGGTCTGGATTGGTTACGTCCGATAAATATGTCGTGGCTCAGGCCGCAAAACAGACACGGTTGGGCATAGGCCACTCTGGGATTAGAGGCAATGGGAAGCTGGCTAATTGCAAGCAATGCAAATGTTTATTCTGGCTTAGTTCTTTGCAACAGGTTTTGAGTCTTCCTGCCCAGTCTGGTCCGGTTTTCTTTGACAAGGAAATCGTTTGACAGTTCCGCATTTGTCGCATTGAATCTCGTACACGTCGGCCCATGATTTGCTGCCTCCCTTGCTCGGGTTGACGACCTTTTCTGTCACTGTTTCGCCCGGGATCAGAAGTGCGTCGCAACGCTTGCAGATCGAATGTTTGACCCGTGGTGCAAGTCGGATCTGTGATTTTCGAGAGACTCCTCGAAGGTGGGACAGCAGTCGTGTCGCCTCGATGGATCTGTGTGTGGGGACATTCTTGTCCGCCACCTCCGAACACGCACGTTCAGCAGACTCGGTGGCTTCCTGCTGCGTGTTACCGTCGCCGACGGTCACTAAATACGTGGCAGCCTGGTGTAGATAGGATAATCTGGAGTGCAAGTGCTTCTGTGGCACATGGAGGTTGTTCTTGGAGGGCTTTGATTTGCCCATGTTGTGAAATTCCGGAGGGATTTTTCGTGCATCACCTCGGTCGGCGTTTCATCCTCTGAGAAAGGATTGGGAGTATTATTGACATGGCTCTCCCTGTCGCTTGGAGGTTTGTTGTCGGGATTGGTGGTTTCTCAGCCACACAGTCATACCGAGTACTTTTACTGCAAAGATATTCACTCAGGCCCTAATAATGCGGAGAAAACTCTACGGTTAAGCACAGTTAACATCCTGGTCACTACGGTCGAGCAAAATATCCAAGAGCAGTCTTGGCATTCTCAGCGACTGGGGCATGACTCAGCAGCGTGGTCTTGGCGTCAAGGCTGCCTCGCCTTGGCCCCTGCCGCTGCAGAAAACAACCTGGAACATTCCTGCGCAGCCATCTTTCTCATCGATTGTTATTCCTTCTTCATCAATCTCTTCATAATATCTTCATCACAACCTCAACCTCTTGTCGCGCATCTCGCAGACCTTTGCTGGTTCTGACCTCTCACCACCATCGTCCCCGCCTTCATCTCTTGCTTCCCGGATCAAGACGAGCCTTGATTTCACACCAACCTCTTACACCCCCCCTTGTTTTAACATCGCCTCGTAGCCTCAGCCACCCACGCCATCCACCATGTCTGCCGAGGAGGATCTTATCGACTACTCGGATGAGGAACTTCAAGCCCCCGAGGCTCCAGCCGCTGGCGCGACCAACGGCGCTGCAAAGAAGGGCGATCTCACTGTCAGCGGAGGCAAAACAACCGACAAGGGCAAAGGCAGTTATGTCGGCATCCACTCTACTGGCTTCAGAGACTTCCTGCTCAAAGGCGAGCTGCTGCGAGCAATCACCGACTGCGGTTTCGAACATCCTTCGGAGGGTTAGTCATTCATCATCCATCCTGCCATAAATTCTTGCAAGCAAAATATCCACCCTCCAAAGTTCTTCCTGCTACGAGCGCGTCCGTCCATCTCCAAGAAAAAAAGAAAGGGAAAGAAGGAAAGAAAGTACACGAGCCAAGAAGGTCGTCCCAACGGATTCGAAAGTCTCCCGTCGGCGATTCTACAGTCGGACTTGAGCGGGTAATGGCATGCCATAGCCTCACGCCTGCTGTTTCCTGCTGTTTCGACGTACCGCACTGGAAGGTTGCAGTTTAGAGTCCGAGAAGGGAGCACGACTCTCTCTCCGGCCTGCGACCTTTCCTCATCCAAATAGGCATGCTGAAAATGCTGCCAATGATGACACTTTCGCATACCCAGGCCAACGTCCCACCCGCGTTGTGATATTCGTGGGGAATGGAGGTCTGAATGTGCGTTATTGGCGTTCGGTAATAGAACCAGCCAATGGGTGTGGTGGAATGAAAAAGGAGAAGGATACATTCCTTTCCGGTGGAAAATCAAGGAGATGGACGGATCAGCCTGCGATGCTCTTTTGTCGTCTTCACACATTCTTTACCGAACCAAGTCTAACATCAACGATTTCCTGCAGTCCAGCAAAAATGTATTCCACAGGCTCTACTCAGTGTCGACATTTTGTGTCAAGCCAAGTCCGGTCTCGGAAAGACGGCCGTCTTCGTCTTGACCACCTTGCACCAACTGGAACCTGTTCCCGGCGAATGTTCTGTGCTTGTCATGTGCCATACACGTGAACTCGCCTATCAGATCAAGAATGAGTATGCAAGATTCAGCAAGTACCTTCCAGACGTGAAGACAGCAGTCTTTTACGGCGGCACACCAATCCAGAAGGATATCGAACTGCTCAAGAACAAGGAATCCTTCCCCAACATCATTGTCGGGACCCCCGGTCGTCTCAACGCTCTTGTCCGCGACAAGATCCTGTCACTGCGTAATGTCAAGGCGTTTGTTCTCGATGAGTGCGACAAGATGCTGGACCAAATCGGTATGCACCAGGATCCCAACTACCCTAATCGATGCACTTTCTGACAGTCCCATTCCAGACATGCGTCGCGACGTGCAAGAGATTTTCCGAGCAACCCCGACAGAGAAGCAAGTCATGATGTTCAGCGCGACCCTGCCGCAGGACATCAGGCCTATCTGTCGCAAGTTCATGAGAAACCCTCTCGAGGTGTTTGTCGATGACGAGACCAAGCTCACTCTCCACGGTCTCCAACAATACTCCATCAAGCTCAGCGAGGGCGAAAAGAACCGCAAACTCAACGACTTGCTCGATAGCCTCGAGTTCAACCAGGTTATCATCTTTGTCAAGAGTACTCTCCGCGCCACTGAGCTCGATAAGCTGCTCCGGGAATGTAATTTCCCGAGCATTGCGGTGCATTCCGGTGTCAGCCAAGAGGAGCGGTAAGTCAACATACACCCACACTCTCAATCACCGTCTGTGAGTGCCGTGCTAATCGTTTTCACACAGTATCAAACGCTACAAAGAGTTCAAGGAGTTCAACAAGCGAATCTGTGTTGCCACTGACGTCTTTGGTCGAGGTATCGACATTGAACGCATCAACTTGGCCATCAACTACGACTTGCCCGCCGATGCTGATTCTTACCTGCATCGTGTCGGTCGTGCCGGCCGATTCGGTACCAAAGGGTTAAGTATCAGTTTTGTCAGCAGTGAGCAGGACGAGGCTGTGCTCAAGGAGATCGAGAAGCGGTTCGACGCTCAGGTTCCTCCCTACCCCGAGGGTGGTGTGGATTCAAGTACCTACATGGCTTCTTAGACCAGGAGCTTGGCGAGTTAACGAACAAATGGATTGGGGCCTGGATTCCGAGACGTTGTGTACGAGTTGGCCAACCAGATTCTGCTTTTCTATTCGGCAGGAGAGGACAATGTATGTCTATCGTGAGGTTTTGCTGGGATAAGGATGGTTAAGGAAAATCGAGACCGGGAACAAATTGCCATTCTGGTTGAGCCCTCTAGGTACGACAAGGAAAGCTTTACATAGCCAGTTCCCAGTTCTGACCTGGGAACCTCTACCCAAAAGAAAGTCTTTGATGCATGTCATTGCCGTACATTATAATCATTCTTTGTCTATCATTTTTCTCGTGGGCGGAAAGGTGACCTCGGCCATCTATCTTCTATCTTGTTTTATATGCAATCGTGTCAGTGCCAAGCTATGTCGAGGAAGGCAGGGGGTAGGGGAATGGATAGAATGCGTAAGTATATGGCGGGCAGGCCAGGCCATTTTCCCCGCCTCGCCCGGTTGTCGATCGTATCGAGGAACTAGGCGTCCAGCTTCAACTGCTCGAGCAGACGGTCGATCTTGCCCAGGAGGATCTGGTAGTTGACGGCGTCGGCGGCGAATTCGTCGCCCGCGAGCTCGCCGTCCAGGGTGCGCACGGCGCCGGACTGGAGTAGCGCCTCGACAGAGTCCGGGTCAGCGATGGGAGCAGGGGTGGGCGTGGACATGTCGACGCCTTCGTCGTCGGGAAACTGTGGTCCTTTTTGCTGCGAATCCGCCGGTGTTGCCGTCGTCTGGGAACCCCACTGCGGTAGTGAGACGGGGGCTGCGGTGGTTGACTCGTCAGCGGAATGTACCTGCGCTTGTCCCTGCGACTGTGACTGTGACTGAGCGAGGGTCTCGGCCATGATGGCCTGCTCCTCGTCCATGACATCCTCAAGACCCGAGTCTTCGAATCTCAATCGGAACCTTTCACTCAGATAGTACCGAATGTCGTCCAGCAGTTCGATCGAGTCGGTTTCCTGCCTCGCGCTGATCCGGCTGGCAGACTCCTTCACCAGCTCGGCAAAGTCCGGATCGTCAATGTAGGACTCGAGGCGGTAGGCGATGTAACGGGCGGCGAACTCTTCGAGGCGTTGCACACGGGTAAACCAGGCGGCGCGCAGGATTTCGTAGATGTCCAGATCCTCCTCTCCTTCAGGTGGAGTGGCGCTTGTGCCGTTCTCGGTCGCCAACTCCGGCGAGATGGCGGTCGGCATGGCCATGGCATTCCCACTGCCCAGTGAAGAGATGACCAGTGCCGCTTTCGCCTTCACCTTCTCCAGGAACAGCATGTCCGCGGCGAAGAGGACGTCGACGGCGACATCCAGCCCAAAGTCCGCTTTCTCGGCATACAGAAATGTCAATATGATTTCCAGGACTTCGGGGCTGCAGTCGATGGGCACGATCTGAAGATGCGGCGTGTCCTGGGCTTCGCGGAAGGAGGACTCAAACATGGTCGTAAAGTATTCAGAGCGGATGAGCATGGCTTTATGGCAAGGGTAGATTTTTGATTTGCGTGGTTTCCTGGAGCGTGAGGGCGAGCGCGAGGTGTTGGACCTTTGGTCAATCGGAATGCCCAGCGCATTTGTGGCAGATTGAGATTGCTGGGGCTGTCGCTCCGGAGCGATCTCTTCTTCATCTTCGTCCTCGTCAGCACGCAGAAGCACGTCTGCGAAAATGCCATTGTCGCGATCCCACTTGACATCATCAGCTCGTGAGATGTCAACTTCGATTGCGTGCTTCAAGACGTTCTCGCGAAACCACTGTTCCAGTTGGTCGCGACCCCGTTGGACTTCGTCCTGGCGTCTTTGTCGTGCTAACCGACGGTCATTACTGTCGAGGATTAACTGTGAAAGGTTGTGGATCTCTAAATGCTTGCTTATCCGGTCGACGCCGGCAAGAATCTCCGAGTCTGTGAAGCCTGTGCCCGGCCCTCCTCCAAGATCTCTGGGCACTTCCCCGAGATACAGATGTTTCAGGGCAATGGCAAATGACTGTGGAGGGATCGTGGGGGCAGGTTTCCAGAGCTTAGTGTCTGGGGACTGGCTGAGTTTGCTCTTGAAGTAGGGAGAGCGAGCGGAGAGGACGAATTTATGCAGCCGGAAAGACTCGGTGGGAGTGACGACGGTAATATCATGAGTCTTGGGATGGTCTCTGCTGAGCAACGATATCAAATGTGACGCTAGTGGCTGCAAGGGATCGGTCGACTTGGAATAGTCGTATTGTAACAAGAGATTTCGTATACGATCGTTCAAAGCATTATAAAGACATCTGGGGTCGATTGTCAGTAGTGTTCTCCCTAACAAGGCTTCGTGAAGTGTATACCTCTCGCCCTGAAATGTATCTCGCTCACACAGTGCGCCTGATTCCAACAATAGTTGTACAACTTCATAATGTCCACACAGGCTAGCCTTGATGTCATGTCAGCAGAGCGACTCACCGAGCAAAAGTGGCGAAGAGCACGGTTGGTATCAAGAAGACGGGAAACCCATACCAGAATCAAAGGAGTATAATCATATTGATCTTTTGCATTAATGTTTGCCCCCTCTTGAATCATCTCCTGACAGAGCTTGAGGTCTCCTCTTCTGCAAGCGTCGCATAGTCTCTGGAAATTGATGCTGAAGTCGAGGGGATTATCTTCCTTGAGAATACCTTCTTCGATCAGCCTCTTCTCATCGTGGAGACTGAGCTCGAGTTGGTCCTTGCGTAAGAGTCCATTGGCACTCATGGTCCCGAAGCGATGCGAGCCCAAAAAACAAATGCGGCAAATGGTCCAGATGGTAGAAAGAAGTCGAGTGAGAGAAGTGAGAAGCGAGACAGAGTCGAGCAACAAATGAGAGCGAGCGTCATTTCCCAATAATTTTATATCGCCGGATTGTCGGCATTAAGATTGATTAGATAATATGGAGTCCTTTCACGTGACACGTCCCTTTTCGTCTCGCACACTGCCTTGTTTCTCTATGAAATTTACCCATGCAAGGCTGTGTGTGTGTGGCCCAAAATTTCCCGCCCCCCTCTACCAACCTAGGACGGAAAAGTGACACTACCACTACCACTGCACAAAAGTCTACAGGGCCAGCACAATATTTCACCCACCGGCCAACCAAACCCTTTAAGGCCAGGCTTACAACCCAGCAGATTAATCTTCCAGCAGACCAACCTGGTCGCTGCCCAGCATGGCTGAACAAGACGCTTTCCTTCATCTCACCCGCCCTCTGGGCCCCGTCGCAGTTGGCGCACAACCCACAACCGCCCCCCTCCGCGTCGTGATACAACCACAAGTGAGTGCAGAAAAGAAGACAGTTCCATACGTGACAAATTGGCTGATACCTCCCCCCCAAAGGCTCTTTTCTCGATACTAGACCACTGCATTCGCCGCCCTCCAGACCAGCAGAGAGTCATTGGCACCTTGCTCGGTACCCGCTCCGACGCAGATGAATCCCAGGTCGTCGTCCACTCCTCCTTCGCCGTCAGCCACACCGAGACGACCGACCAGGTGGAGGTGGACATGGAATACCAAAAGGCCATGTTGGCGCTGCATCTGCGTGCGAACCCCAAGGAGGTCCTGGTGGGGTGGTACGCGACCAGCTCAGAGTTGAACACCTTTTCGGCCTTGATCCAGAACCACTACAGCAGCCAGGGCGAAGGCACCTTTCCGTACCCGGCGGTCCACATCACCGTGTCGTGCCAGCCAGGCCAGGACATCGAGGTCAGAACGTACATTTCCTCCCCGGTGGGAGTGAGCCCCGAGAGAGCGGCCGACTCCGCGGCGTTCATCCCGATTCCCTACAGTGTCAACTACGGCGAGGCCGACCGCGCAGGTCTCGAGGCGATTGGCTACGCAAAAGACTCGGAGAGCAGGACGACCACGATCCTCACAGAGATCGAGAGCCTCGAAAAGTCGCTCGAAGACACACTGGGCATGCTGGACCGAGTGGGCAAGTACGTGGAAAACGTCATCGAAGAAGAGACAGAGCCGTCTACCGCGCTGGGCCAGTTCCTCCTCAACACGCTGGCCCTGGCGCCGAAGGTCGACCCCGTCGATATCGAAAAGGACTTCAACAACCATGTCCAAGACGTCTTGACGGTGTCGTACCTAGCCAACATGATCCGTACACAAATGGACTTGTCCAACAGACTGGCAACATCAGCATTGACCATGGGCGGCGGCGAGAGTGCTACCACAGAAAAGGAAGGACGCGGCGATCGCAGACAGAACCGACAAGGTGGACAGACGAGGCAGAATAGGACAGAGAGTTTCTCTGTGGCTAATGCTTGAAAGAATCTCATGTGATGGAGGCAGCCTGTCTTGAGACGGGTCGCTCTACATGAGGGTGGATACTGCATTGACTCCTGCTATGTAACGGGAGCCTCAATTCGTCCCAAAGGGACATCAAAAGCAACCTGAGTGATGATTGCATGAAAGAGTAGTCGAGATCTGCTCAAGAGCACGCGCGCACTCTGCCTCTGGAGGAGGAAATGACTGCAGAGCGTCATTCCGGTGGACAGTCGGGTCAGAGTCTCGCATATGATAGCAGCCCACACACAGCAGATACCTGGGCACATAGACAGCCCGACTCCGGTGAGGGATTTTCACGAATAACATGGTGTATTGAATCGTCGTTCCCAAGGCGGTTTTTTTCTCCGGAACAATATCACAGTGCCGTGTCAAGGGTGGGTATGCTGGACGTGTAGTCGTTGTCGTCCTGGTATGAGGTATCCCCATGAACCTCGGTGGTCGGATGGCCCTCGTTTCACGCAAAGTCAGAATCCTGTTCCCATGATATTGCGCTCCAAACAAAGAGCCATAAACATCAAGTTTTGCCCGTGTGGAAGTCTTCACCCCAGATCGCTTTTTGCCCGCTTGCTCGCCCTCTCCTCGCCACTCTCGTCCGGACCAGGCGACCTCTCCTTAGCGTTCACCGCGCCATTGACCAATTCGCCGTCCACTTCCTCGATGTCCCTCTTCTTCTTTCTCCCCCTTCCCCTCCCCTTCCCTTTCGACGTCCCCTCCTCGCCGACAACCTCTCCCAAATTCACCAGGTCGTCCACCGCCAGCTTCTGCCCTTCCTTGCCCTCGGTCGTATCGAACAGCTTCTTCTTGTTGTCAATCTCCCTCTTCTTCTTGAACATCTCCTGCACCCTGCCCAGCTTGATGCTGTCCTTGCGGATGGCGAACTCAAAGTCCGAGACCTTCAGTTTGGCGCGGCCCGAGTAGACCGACACCCCGACGGCGTTGTGGCACGTTTCGATGATGAAGTCTGTCAGGATCTCATCGAGGACGCGTAGCGTCTCGGGAAAGGGTTGTGTGAATGGCGTGGGTGCGTGGGTGGTGTTGGGTGTGTGGGAGGAGGAGAGGTATTGTCGCGAGGATGCGCCGAGGGGTTTCGCAATGTCGGGGTGTGTAGGTGCACCGTATGCGTACAGAAGTGCCGCGAGTTCGGGGCCAAAGTTGAGGCTGGTCTTGTGCCGGCCGGCACGGGCGCGAGGTTCCATGGTTGCGAGAGGAAGCGAGATGAAGGAGAGGTGATGGCGAGTGAGTAGGGACAGTTGGATGATAGAGGAGGACAAATGACAAGAGCGAAGTCCGCCGGAGCCTGAGATGGAAGTCACTCCGCAGGCGAGGCTGAAACGTGTCCAAGTACCTCCCCTATCTGGAGCACCCACGTGATTCTCGAAGCAGCGCCTCCATGATTCCTCTTCCGGTTAGTCTCCCACGCCTCTTGCGAAAACCACCTTTCAACATCTCGCCCGAACTGCTTCCTGAATACAGAGCCTACTACACGGTACACATAGATGGAATCACTCTACCATTTCACGACGACGCCCTTTTGAACCGACCCGATTCATAACATTCGCGTCCGGTATTTCTTCTATCGATCGATTTCCAGTCCAACTTAGCTGGTAGAAACTGGTTTCCTTCCACGAACAATGGTACGTCTCCCACCATGACATTTTATCCCTTTGGATGGGAAACCTTCTTTACAAGACGGGTTTCGCCCCCTTTCCCCAGAGATTTATGAAGAAGATGAACCAAAAACAAAAAAAAAAAGGGGGGGGGGGGGGGGAGGGGAAGAACACACGCGGAGAGACAGCGAGATCTTCCTAAAACTCATTCTAACACACACCACCTCCCGTGGCCACCCACACATATATAGACCGCCATATTCAATTTCCAGTCTCTCCTCCTCGTCATCCTCCTCATAATCTGCACCTCGACGTACGTGCACTCGATGGCTCCGGGCGTCATGGACAGGAACAAAGACGGGTACGTCAAAGGGAAGAGAAAGGCACCTGTTTTTTCTTTTCTTTTCCGACCACCCTCGCTAATCTGGCAAAACCCCCGGGGTGTCACGAGGTATTAGCGTCATAGGCATATTCTGGAAATGTGCGCGGGTAGGCGAACGGCTCAGTCCCTATGTCAGCATCTTTTGCGTTGTCATGGCTGTAAGTTGCCGCTCCTGTCTCTCTGAATCTTTGCAGTGCATCCATTATTTACCCATTGGCGACTAGTGCTCGATCATGATGGGTTACTAAAGTGGCGGACGAGTTCTCATTTTCTTGCACGATCAAAGGGGTCTCTCGCAACGAGCCAAAGTCGAACCCTAGCGATGCATGCATGGTGTTAGGAGTCATGTTACCGGCGTGTCACGAATGGCGATTCACAGGCCAGGGATCCGGGTTTCAGGCGGCAGGAGGGAAATTATATCATTTCGACATAGGACAGAGTTCCATTTATGTGGGCGGTCAGCCTGCTCTTTCAAGAGGTATATTATGTCCTCCATGTGCCATACTCGCTCACCCCCCTGACATAGCCATGTCAACTTTGCAATAATCCTTGTCACAAACCATATAAACGACTCAATGTCGAATTCAGAAGAGTTACATGCACCACGGGTATCACAACGTAATTGATTTCCGACCCATGCAACCAACAAGCACAACGCCTTTTTAATCCTTTGGCCGTCAATCACCAGAGTCTTCACCAGACCAGAACTGCGGACTCGTGGCCAGTGCCGCTCTGTTTTTATGTTGTGTGGCTTTGAACCGAATGCTTCGTGGCCATATCGCAACATCTTGGATGTTCCCAGGACCCAAAACCGAAATCTCGACAAGGATTGTTGTATTTCCTAGTAATTAACGTATTACTAGCCCTGTTCGCTTAGTGCGCAAACCACTTGTCCCGTTGAAGGTCTCCCATGCAGGTGTTTGCAGGAGTCATCCTCGTTTTTTTTGCTTTCTAGCCGGGTCTAAGGAAGGGACCACTTCATATAGATTCCGAGAATCCTGGGCCTTGATTGCACACGGCCGCTTAGCATTGCGAGGGGGAGGTCTTTCCGGAGTACCAGGGTCACTGGGTTCGTCACCCTCGGAATCCGGTTCGAATTCAACGCCTTTTGCTCGTAACTTCTTAATCGCCACGGCCTGGTCAGCGTCCGTGAATTTCGTCGGTGTGTTCTTGCCGGACACTGGACGAGTTGGCTTAGGATAGTTGACAGGAGGAGCCACTGGTTTTGGCCGCGGAGCAGATTGATTCGATGGAAATTTGGCTGGATCCGTCACAGGTGAAATGCTCTCTGTCGTGAGTCCAGTTGTCGGCTGTGGACGTGAGGGTGAGGGTGAGGGTGAGTGTGGAGTGATTGAAATATGCTCATCTGGCTTGCTCGTCGGCCTCGAAAGGGTAGGACCAGAGCCCAATGGTTCCTTTTGACCGTGTGCCAAAGGGCGAGACTGTGCTGACGCTGCTTCATGCTTATCACTTCCCTTCCCTTTATCTTTCCCGCTTGTAGGCCTTGGACGGGCAGAACCAGAACCCAGTGATATTTCTCGACTCGGAGTCGAAGGCTGAGATTGTGCTGACGCTGCTTCACGCTTTTCATTCCCCTGCTCTTTATCTTTCCCGCTTGTAGGCTTTGGACGCGTAGAACCAGAGCCCAATAATTTATTTCGACTCGGAGTCGAGAGATTTGAATCTAGAGCGAACTGAGATTGAGCGTCGGTCAAGCTCTCAAGCCGAATATCTGACCCATCTTCTGTTCTCTCAGGTACGATATTCGTCTGACCTCCGCTAATGACCTCTTCGAGCTCGGCTTGCCTCTCGTCACCGTCATCACGGCCAGCAGTCTGGACTTTCTGTATGGCGATGGTCCGAGTAGTGTCTTGAGTCGAATTCGTAACAGGCGCTTCGTCCTCAACGGCAGGATTAAACGCGTTGTACTTGCTGCTGGAAACTTCCTCCATTGGGGCCCGTGCCTCGGCGCGAATTTCAGCAGCTTCTGGGGTTTCTCTGTGATTGGCATTTTCTTTTGTAATACCATAAAGTTTGACACCTTCGGCAGATGTTCGTCCTTCAAGAGGCCCAGTAGTCACTGCGGAAGCATCGGGATCCTGGGTGGACGCCGGGACGAACAGGGCATGCTCGTCGTCCAAAGGGAAGTTATTGTCCCTCATCCAAGATGATACTACAAGTTCTGTTGGGATCGGGTTAGCGCTCTGCACAGTGAGGAACTCAATGCTCGTACGCGATATCATGGAGGGTAGTTTTGCTTCTTTCTCGGGATCTGGTAGATTGTCACTGGCCCTGGTATGTTGCATACCTCTTGCATGTATCCGAGTAGACGTCTCTCGACGTGGGGATAAGATCTGGGAGCCCTGTGCAACAGCATGGGAATTTGTCGAAGATTTCGAAGTCTCGTCGTCATCGCCCTGCCCTAGATGGGACATTGTACGTCCATCTTCTGCTGGCTTCTGGATTGATGCCGCCTGGTCAACTGTGTCCGGAAACTCTGCTCGATTACTGGAATCATCATGTGCCTCTTGAGTCTCGGCCTCAACGCTGTCCTGGAGCTCGTTGTTTCTAGTCTCCTGGCGCAAGATCTGCATAGCCGCATTCGCCCTCTCCGGTTGGAAGTGGAATTTCTTTCTCGCAAAAAACAATGAATCTTCTGTGATGGGACGCTTTAGAGGGTTAGGCATCATCCCACGTGGTCGAGTGCGCGGAGCCGATGTGTGGGCCTTTGCACCATGACTTTCTGTTCCAGTTTCCACTAAATCCGGGACGTCTTCGTCGTCAGAAATCGTCACCACCATCGGTGATGGTGGTGACGGTCTGTGGTCATCTGTATCTTCGTCGTCGGAAATCGTGTATATGATTGGGGTCGGACGTGGCAAATCCTCGTGCCTAATGGAACACCGGGCGCAGCGTAGGATTGAACCTACAATAGATTTTCCGCACCTCTCACATTTTCTCAGCACTGTAGCTTCGGTCGCCATGGTTGTACCTTTTAGGGTGTTTGTGGAGTCGGGTGGAAGATCCGGTGCCTGTCGTAGGCTATGTGGTCTTGGATGGGACCAGTGGGTCGATCCGCCACGTCGAGCTCGTCTCTTGACCGGAGCTGGTGGAATGGTTACAGAAGACGGTACCTCGTGCTGTGGAACAGAAGACGGTACCTCGTGCTCTGGAACAGAAGACGGTACCTCGTGCTCTGGAACAGAAGACGGTACCTCGTGCTCTGGAACAGAAGACGGTACCTCGTGCTCTGGAACAGAAGACGGTACCTCGTGCTGTGGAACAGAAGACGGTACCTCGTGCTCTGGAACAGAAGACGCCGATACTGAGCTGGTGTCAGACCTTGACGGAGAGGCGAGCGCCGCTTCAGTCGACCTTTGACCTTTGGCACCATCGGCCTGGGGCAACTTATCAGTTTTTGACAAGTCTCTTTGCCTCGAGTGCGCCTGACTTGTCTTTCCGAAGCCACCACCACGAGATCCGCGAGTGGCATTTTTTGTCCTCTTCCGGGGATCTGGACACGATATGCCGATCCATGAATGCGTATAGGGACACAGGGCCGGGTGCCAGCATTTACAAAAGCCATCATCCCATTGAGGGCACATGAACTGCTTCAGGGACTGCTCTCCCGGTGGTTGTGGCGGCGGTTGTTTTGTTTCTGGCTCCCATTGAACCACGCCCGTGTCCCGATGGGCATAGAGACAATCTTCCGTCTTTGGACAACCCCCGGCAGTCTTCCAATAGTAGCAGGTGGTGTGTTTTAGCGACGCATTGCCATCGGATCCAACGTATAGCCCGGTGTCAACGTGAGCGAAGCGACACCCGTGCACCTGTCTCGTGCATGATTCCTTAGCCAACCATTCAGGACAAGTAAAGTCCTTGGCTGGTTCCCCATTATAAGGGGCATCGTGACCAGTGTCTTTATGAGCAAATAGACAATGGTCTTCTTTCGGGCGGCACAAGGCTCTCTTCCACATAGGACAGGTAATCTGCTTGTACAACGCTCCGGGGGACGTGGAACCATTGGTTGTATGGGGTGGGGATAACCTGTGTTTACCACTATCGGAAACGAGGCCATGAGCGGGCGCTGAGTTGGCCATGGCAACTATTGCATGCGCGGCAGCAATATCATCTGCGTTTCGGTTGGATTGGGCAACCGCCTTCGAAGAGATTGTAGGTTTTTGCGAGGACAAATTAGAGGCGAACTCGGTAGACTGGCTAATGTGGCGGGTAACGGATTGACTAGAATCAAGACGAATCTCGTCTATGAGGGAAGGTCGATCCAAGCTGCCTCTGTGCGCAGTTTGATTGGTCAAACACCTCCGGCAGGTGTAGTTATCGAGGCTCTTGCTATGTTTAGACCAGTCAGCGTTCAAAATGTGCGTAGCGACTGCCTACTCCCTTACCTTTGACGGGTCGTTGCGCTTTCGCACTGACTATGATAGCCTGCGTGACATGTTTTGCACCACACAAGAGGTGACAAGCCGTTCCCGGGAGTGTGACAAGATCTGCATATGTTCTTCTTATTAGGGGCATAAGTTGACGGGTTTGACAAGATTGCCTCGCTCGAAGGGTGCGGGCTTCGCTCGTTCATCATCTCTCGGCGAATCCTAGGAAAGCGAGACCCCGCCAATGGCCGACCTCTATCGGTGGAAAGTACCATCGGTTCATGCCCTGGCAGATGATCCCGAGTGACAGAACGGATAAACGGCGTAGGCCTGTCCAGAAAGGGTTGACGGGCAACGTCGTCTTCGTCCTGCAGAGCGCCATTGGGGGCGAGGGTGGGCGGAGAAGACGTCAAGCCACGATGCACATTGTGGTCAGCCTGAGCAACAGCGTGCATTTCCTGCTCTGGCTCTTGTGGGGGCTTATTTTCGCCACTAGGACCTGCCCAAGTAGCCTCCTCTCTGAGGTTCTTTTTTCGCATCATGCCATGCTCGCCATTAGTTATGCGCGGGGCACCTTTGCACACCTCTTCATTATTATGACCATTGGTTCCATCCAGCTTCGAGAATAGCGGTGCACGAAAATTTGAATGCTGACTCGGTCTTTGACTCGCACCCGAACCTTCAATACGCCCGTATGTCTGTGGTTTGTCGACGAATTTTGCCCCAGATACACCCTCTGGGCCGGCTGCTTGCTGAAGAAACAAAGGTTGATAAGTCGAGCCGGAAAATTTGTTAGCTTCACCATGATCATCACCATAGTGAGGTCCCGTGTAGCGTTTCTGCTCTCCAAAGTACTCAAATGGTCGACGGTTATCGGCTATTTCGTTCGGTGGCGGGCTCCTCTTGTGGTATACGGCACGTGGACCTACTGGTGATTGACTCTCCAGATCCACCCCTTCGAAACTCTCGTCAACAATCGAAATAGGCACCTGAGGCGGCGTGCTAGCAGCAGAAGAGCCAGTTGAGTTCGTGTAAGTCTGCCCGCTGGACGAAAAATGCCGTGTGTGGTTGGGCGACCTGCCGACAGGGATGGAGGGTAGGACTTCGATCGCATTTCGGCCGTCTGCAGCCATGTCCGCATATGGCAATCCTCGTTTGAGGGTATCTCATTTCAGAGCCTTGCTTCGAGCCCCACGGCGGAAGAACAACCTGGGTGGAGGGTCACATTAGCAGATATAGAAAATTGGAGTCTGAACGACAGCGCAGCAACTGTGGGTTTCCATATCAGGTCTTTTCAGTTATTCGGGTCTTCAGTTTGTGTCGCCAGGGTTGCTGTCAGGGCCTCAGGGGCTTTCAGAAGCAGCCTTCACACAGGTGATTTGACAGCACAGAGATGACGGACCGCTTGCACTCCCAGCAACCCCTGCCACCATCCCACATCTTTGGCGATTGATTGGGACCATAATGTACACTGCTGCCATTGGCTCAAACATCCATAAGGTCTTCGGGAAACGAGCCCCATGTTTGCAGCGCCGTACTGTTGTGGTTGCTCTACCCAAAGTCTCCAACAAAGCAGTTCCAAGTGTTCAGAATGCATCGTTCTTGCGCGACTTTGTGCTGCTAAGCCTGTGGGAGTAGGCAGGAATGCGGATGTGCAACAAGTCTTGATTCCCCTGCCGAGTAGCCCTGGTGTAGGTGCACAAAAGAACCAGGTCTCCCGACGAGCTACCACCAACGATTTTTGTCTCTCAATCTGACCTTTTACCATTGACTCATCATTGTGCTGGGAATTGGAAAAGGGTTCGAACACTGATCAAAACACTGGGGACGATGCTTACCAATACTGTTGGAGCACGGTTCCCTCGAACAGGGGAGACCGTGCAGCCGCAGACTTCAAACCCATTATACGTCGGATGGACCCATATCACACACGTAGGACAATTCTCGAAACAGCTGGGCCTATGTGACCAAATCACGTTGAGGGGAAAAAAAGGGCGTACTCCGTCGTTGAGGAAAGATTGCCGCTCGGACGACGCGATCCGCGCGACAAAGACGGTTGAAGAGTGGAGATGGGCAAGAGGCTAAAAAATAGAGGCTCGTAATGGTCGCGATCGAGTAGCGTTTGATAGCGTGGGTGCTGTAGAGACTAGACAGGACAACACAGTGCGCCCTATCGTTCACAGAGAGAAGACGACGTAAAAAACGGTCCGATGGACAACACAATGTTCATGACGCGTAACAAGATAATCAATGGGGCTTGGGCTGGAGGTGAAGCTGAGGAAAGAATAGAGAAGAGACAGAGTGTGTGAGTGGGCGATGATTGGTTGGGGTCAAGAATTTAGTCTTGGAAAGTCTTGGCAAATTCTAGGCGCGGAACTATGCTTGGCCCATTTTTATACCTTGACAGCCTTGTCCAGGGCTTACAAGGGAGGCACGTGGGAGGCTACAGTGGGACCGATATTATTGTGATGAATGCCAGGCCTTTCATTTTGACTCGAAATCGGTATAACTGGGCTTCGGCCGCAAAGCACAGGTGGTGCTTGAAGAGATATTATTGGTACATGTTGGCGCCGTCGAGTGTAGACTCTCCAAGAGCGTCCCTGAATCCATAGCCCTCAAAGATCCCGTCTCGCTCAACAACTCGCTCGGTGCCCAAGATTGTTTGATGAGCGTCGAGAGCTTCCCCTTCTGCAGCTTGGGAAGTGGCGTCAACATCTTCTTGCCACTTGAGAGCCATGTCTAGCCCATCAGGAATTCGTCTTTCGTCCAAGACATATCTGACCAGCTTGGCAAGCTGACTCTCATCGTACTTACCTAGGAGAAATGCATAACCCTCCTCGGTCGGCCGGACATCTCGAGCCAGCATCATCCGCCAAATTTTCTCCGCAGCCTCCTCTTCACCGTGTTGCAAGAAGCCGCATAGGACTTCGCTCCACGTTCGCTCGCTTGGCACACACAAATTGTGTTCTATCATGGCTTCCACCACGTCCACCGCTTTTCTCAGGAAGAATCGGCTGCGGGCATAGAAGTGGATGAATCCATTGTACATGATATCATGTTTCGCGCACTCCAGAATACTCGGGTCCTGCTGTTTGATCATGTGGATGATCCAATACCATAATGCTGAGACAAGTCGCTCGTCTCGTTGGCAGAGCACGTAGGCCCAGATCGTAAATCCGAGGACCACAGGCGGAGGTTCATCGAGCTTCTTGGGGGCAGACTCGTCGACTGGGAGAGGGTTCACAATACCAAGCTTGACAAGCGGTGCCCGGTCGTAGGCTCTGTCGTAGATCGCGAGTAGATGTGATACTGATATCCCTGCGGGTAATTTGCGATCGATTGTGCAAACAACCCTGACGATATGCATCATGTAGGTTACCAAGTAAGGATACTTGTAAAGATCTTCGCGTTGGTGGATGGCAGACATAATTTCATCCAGCTTTTCCCGATTCTGACGCTCAAAACTATCTTTGAGCAAGAAAAGGTGGCTTCGTTCGTCGACGTGGATATGCGTTGCTTCCATAAACCGGAAGACTTCCCAAGCAACGTCGGGCACGTTCAGAGAGATTGCTCGCTCAATAATGAGGTTATGCGCCTTCGCATCCATTGGCATGCCAAGTTCGATCAACTTCGGAAGAGCCTTGAAATTACCCACAGTATTCGATTCTTCGATTGTGTCGATCGTTATAAGCTTGGCACATCGGTCGAGAATCCGCACCTTGTGCTCTTCCCTCTGATCTGGAGGGATGCATGAGAGGAGTTCTATGGCTCGATCAGCGTCACCAAGTTTCGTAAAGTGATCCACCATGACTAAGATCAGTCGTGGTGGTACAGGGGAATAGTTCTGGAAGAGGGTGTCTATGATGGTTTCACAGTGCTCGGCGTCGTTGCACCGTAAGAGGAGAACGAGATAGTGGAACGGCATTGTCTCCCTAGGCCAGGTCCAGATACGGGAGACGAGAGCTATTTGCTTTGCAAACAATTCTTGAAGATGATGGTCGGAATCGATCTCCCCACGATAGACCATGTCTAAGTAGCAAAGACAATCGCATCGAGTTCTCCAGTCGCGGGGAACCACTGGGAGGATGGACAGCATGAGCAGTGTTCTCCGAGCACCGTCAGCTAGGCATCCGAGCAGAATGTGCGCTAGCTGGCGGCTCCTGCTGCGAGGGGGAGTCTTGAGCCACGCTTCGCGAAGCTCCTCCAGACTGCGATTGCCCACAAAAGTTGTCGCGATTTGTTTGTGCAGCTCCAACTCTTGACGCCCCTTCGCGTAATCGCCGTCTTGTGGAAAAACCAACTTCTTATACGGCTTATCCCACAGCCTACTAAATCGGTCGTCTCCAGGCAGGTATTGTCGAGTCTCCTGGCATTCAAGGTTGTCACGAGCCTGCGCGCCGGATGACTCGACAGTATTGAACTCAGTGAGTTCAGATTCGAGGCCCTCGGACTCTAACGCGACAGATCTCGAGGCTGCTGGATAGGACCATGTTGTGTCTAGCCCGTCAGCTGCGTGCATAGGAGTTGGCGTACGACCAAGAAGCTTGCGAGAAACTGGATGGTTCGACACAACAGACGGTGCCTTCGCGATGCCGTAGATTCGATTCGAGAGTGATTGAACATCTTGAAGCCTCGCCGAGTCTCGACTATATTGGCCATCGTTGCGTGGTCGAGGACAGACGGACTGTACTCTAGACTCTGCAGGCGGAAGAGTTATCTTGCTTAAAAAGGGTGTGGGTTCTGTCGGATCTTGACATGGTTCCGCTGGATCGCCTAGTTTCGCTATGTTCTCGATGGACAAAGGGGGCGACCCGTCCGGTGCCTCAGCAGACACCTTAGCGAGGACGGAGGTTTGGTGGAGCGAAGCCCATCTCGTGAGGCCATGATTGACAGAGTCGAGAGAATGCGGTTTCAATCGGATTCCACACCGGCTGAAGGTTGCTGGATTATTGTTCAAGCATCCTCGTAGAGTGGTGGTTGACTTATGGAACATTCAGTTTCCCGGTCATCTGGCTCGATATCCCACGAACAGGTGAATTAGGACCGAATGGGAGGATAATGGACGTTACAAGAATATGGGACAATTGTAAATGCGGACTTTGTCAAAAGATAAAACTGAGTTGGCTGAACTCCTTTGCGGGCGCAGCCTGAAAGGGAAATTTTCCCGAGTGAAATGCGCTGAGACTTCTTTGACGTCGCTACCTTTGCTCTTCGCAGAAACCCACACTGGTCTCCCACGGACGAGGGATGTTGTTTTCATGAAAGGGCTGACAGAATAGACGGGCCCGTCTCCGTGATGTCTACCACACATAGCAGTTTAGATGCTGCTGCCATCGACAGAAAAGCTCGCTTGGCGAAACTCGCATCTCTGAAGCGCAAGCAACCTGGCTCCCACTCTACCGTTTCAAGCCTACAAGAGGACAGCGATGAGAGGCACGAGGAGAAAGCGTCTGAATCTACAACTGATCAGTATCTGTCGGGCCGAAATTACGATCTAACCACGAAAAACGCCAAACTCGGATTCGAAAATGTCCCAATTGGTGGCGACGTCGAGACCGTCGAAGAGCAGGCCGACCGCATCCTCGCATCCACTGCAGAGCAAGCTGCCAAAGATGAGCTGGAAGCAGAGAAGGGCATCGACCTGTTCAAGCTGCAGCCCAAGAAGCCAAATTGGGACTTGAAAAGAGACTTGGCGGAGAAGATGAAGATTCTGGACGTGCGCACACAAAATGCTATTGCGCGTCTGGTGAGAGAACGCATCGAGAATGCAAAGAAACAGGCTCTGGAAAAGAAAGCTGTTCAAAGGCAGCCCACAGCAGAGAAAGGAGACGAAGGAGAGGAGGTCGGAATCGAAGGAAACACTCTTGTTGAGAGCATACATCTACGAGAGCAGGAGGAGCAGCGAGAGGCTGCCCTGGAGGACGAAGAACAAGATGGCATTTCATGATCGACGGCACGAGCGCCCCGACGGCGTTCGGCCCAAACGGTGACGAAAAGCCAAGTCGACGTGAGATGAGCCAACATCATTCAGTCCATGTTGCCGATCGTGTATACGGTCGAATAAAGCCGATGCCACGCGTCCCGCAAGAGAGGTGAATCACATATCTCGCGGCATTCTCCAGCGTCCGAGGCTCGAAAGTTGAGCGACGCTCCGCACGTCATGACGACCGCTGCATCAGACCAAAGCGTTAAAAGGCGTCTTAACACAACCAGTCAAAAAGCTTGATTTGTGTGTTGCAGCATGCAGCACATTTGGTCAGACTGTGCTGCTCTATGGAAGTGGAAACACGTGGAGATGGAAGAGGCGGCGGAAAGCCACATGAAACAGAAGGACCTGTGGCAAGTTGCATCAGAAGCCATTGTTGAGAAGGACTGGCCGACGAGCAGCATAAGCGAATGCGCAATAATGAGCAATGGAATTCTAGTATCTGATCAAACAGTCGTACCACGATAGGACCAATCGCGCCGTGACGATAAACATGCATTGCTCGTAGGGGTATGACAAGGGAGATCAGCCAGTTCATGCATCAATGTAGCCGCCAACGCCTTGCAAACCAGAATTGACAATACTTGACCACCAAATCCAAATCCCTCCTTTTCGAAAGTAGAGCATCCAACCAATTTCCAGAAGTCGAATCTCGTCGCTGACCTGTCACATATTCATCGCCTGCGTCAAAGCTAACCTCCTGCTGTACGGACTCAGGCTCCGCTCTCTTATATGGCTTCGCTCCTCTCGGCCACGCCTGACGTCTCGCTGAGGCAATCTCGGATCATAAGTGTCATCGCGGTCACACGCATTACCCCGGAATGTTGGAGCATCATGGTCTTCATGCTCGAGAGACCGTCTCTGCTTGGTGATCTGGCTCTTGTCCATGCTTGGACTGCTAGTCCGGCTGCGATGACTACCTCGACGCATAGAACTAGGTCGACCTCGGTCAATGGGACTGACGGTGCGATGGCGTCGGCTTTTGCGATGTGAACCAGGCTCTCGCCTTGGAGACCGAGGCGATCTAGAGAAGGAGCTGGAAATAGAGCGGTGTTTCCTTTTCCGGGGCACTTCATTTGTTGGTGCCCTCGAGTCGTTTCGACGTGCACGACTAGCGGTGAAGTAGTCGTCACCGCGTTCCCGTGATCGAGACCGTGAACGAGAATGCGACTTGTTGGTCGATATTGTCGAAACAGAATCTGAGGAGTCTGGGGTTGGTGATCGACCCCGATCTTCTGGCTCCTGGACTAGTTTTGCTCGGCTGGCCTGAGCTTCGGCCAGTTGTTGGTCGGCCACGCCCTTGCTAGTTGAATGTTAGAAAGACGACGTTTCCGGCAGTCAAAGAAAGCGTTTTCACCTGTTCAATAGATTGTTCGGAGCGTCGCTCGCTAACTTTGGCGCAAGTTTGGGGTTGAGTAGTTGCTGCGTCCTTGATGGCCTGGAGGCATATGGCCGCTCCTGTACACTTGATTTGCATTCATAACTGTAGTGACGTGAACAATTGGTCAGTTCAAATGATGGTCAGACTGCAGAGGAGCGGCAAACATATCTTTCTTCAAGCATTTCTGGCATACAGTACTGGCTGTAGCCTTTTGTGGCCCGAGGCCGGGAAGTGTACGATAGCGATTCATTGAAGAGAACGGCTTCCCTAGGGACGGCCAGGAGAAGAAATGAACGCCAACAGTCTCACGGGTTGTAGTGAAGGCGCAGGCTTAGCGGCGGGGAGAGTGAGATGCCTGCTTTGTCAGAGGTTATATAAAGGTGGCGACGGGGAAGGCAGAGGACTCCAATGTATATCGAATGTAAAGAGAAAGAGATTGGAAATGCTGATGCCTTGTGCCGATGTCGAATCTGCAACATATAAACCTGAACAGAAGGGCCAGTCGCCGAACCGGGGCGGATGCGAAATGCGAAACGTAGCGTTCCAAGAATCTGAATCAAGCAGGTGCCGCCTTTTCAAGCCAACTGGGTAGCAGGCAGGCAGACTGACAAGGACGCCGGGAGGAAAGAAGGTGGGCGAAGCTTGATTTGGTGGTTTCGTATCCGGCGATGATGCTGGTTGGCCTATTGTCGATGTGTTCTACCTCTTTTTTCCCCCATGCTTCACCCAAGGATTGCCGTGGCCCCGTGGTTCTCTGTTGGTGAGAGATGTGCCCGTGTGCCAGTGCAGTGGCTGAGTGGCTGAGTGGCACTGTGGACTGTGGCACCCCCTGGAACCGCAATAACTTTGATCCGCCCACAAGTAACAAGGAGTGACATGGGGAATCCTTGGCATTCTCCCTCATGGCCTGCCAGCCCTGCTTGCGCTTTTCGATGCCTCAAGACTGCCACAAGTCACGCTTTTTACAGCCTTGACTTCAGTCGTCGCTGTCCACCTTTTCAAAGCTTGTGGATCTCCATTGTTCATAGACACAATGGATTGATCCAACTCCCCTACACGACGCTTTTATTTTCCTATCAAGGATCTGATATTACTTCACTTGGTGAGCGCGCGACAACGACAACCCAAAAAAACTCCGTAATCCCTTCAAGGTGGGCGAGAGCCTTCACCAGAATTGCATTTCGTCCCTTCAAATCTTGGCGGCCTTTTCACACCTCACGGACCCTGCCTCCTTCGATCTCAGGCTTCAATCGCAGAGATCCCCACCAGACCATCCCACCGAATCCTACCACATCCGTCTTGCCTCCGCCTCAATACGCTCAAAGGCATTCATCATATTGCTACGCACGTTGACAACTCAAAGACCACCTTGTCGAATCCATGGAGCCCTTTAGGTCGTGCTGTGTTGGCTCGTTCGATGGGCAAGACGTTGTGTGAGACAGCGGAAGGAAGAATTGAAGCGTCGACTCTGGCTCGTACAATTCACATTCATTTTCAATACCAATCCTCAGCTTGATAGCCTGACTTGACGCTGTTGGATACGACGTGACGAATCTCTTTGGGCATCATGGCATCTTCTCAGGTCGGGCCGCCTCCGGGGAAGCTGTCATTTGCGAAGGTATGGTTGATTCGATCTGCACAAGTCACTTTGTTTGGGCCTTGCTGATGTTTCCAAGGTTGCTGCAATGCGTGCCCCCGCCCTTCCTGCGCCAAACCCTAATGCTTCGGACGAGAAGAAGGGTCGTCCTGTCGAGAATATTAATACAAAAGCTGTGCAGACCAGCCATGTCAAATCTCCAACTTCGCCGAGAACGCCCAGTGATTCACAGCCAAAGATCCTAGAAGAGCTCAGTCAGCTGGACTATCCAGCAACTGCAATTGAAGGGCTTTCTCTAGTTGAAGATGCTAGCCTCGTATCAGGCGGCCCTCAGAGTGCGGAAAGCGGAGAATCTCTTGAAGATGATCAATCTCATCTCTCCAATTCTTCCACCAAACATCAGAGTTTTGATACCAAAAGCATGGCTTCCGTTACAACCTTTGCAATGGACGAGAAGGAGAGCATTCGTCCGGATGACAGTGCTAGTGTAAGAGCCGCAGAGGACGAAGAGACCTCAAGTGCACCAACCCGAGAAGACTTGTCGGCATCAAATACTCGTGGAACATCGCGGCCGAACATTTCTGGAGTCACCATCGCGGCTCGCCGATACCACACGTTGACTTTAACCAATCCTCCGCGATTTGGAGATCTCCCCCTCCCAATCATTCAGGCAGAGACTGCCGACCGACAGCCTCGCTCAGAAGGATCGTTGGAGCAGCCTCGCGAGATACATGAACGCGCTTCATCACTTCCACTTGCGCCTGATGAGAAGCTACTGGATGCATTAGCCACCCCAAAAGATCGCCTGCCTCTCCTCCAGCTGGAAGAGAAATTCCTAGCCTTTATTACAATGCCCGGGTATGTCTGCATGGTATCATTGTCAAGGATTGTCAAGGTGATTGACTAACAATGGCACAGAAATGATTTTCTCGACCTACCACCACAGAATTCCTTTGCCAGGCTTCTCGCACATAAACTTGCAGACTATTACTCGCTTGCCCATCACATCAACGAGGATGGCACATCTATCCGTATCTTTCGGACGCCTGACGTATCGATGTGAGTGCTCCACGGTTTTCCATTCACAAAGGCTCTTACTGATTTCTTCTGCAGGCCTACACCGCTACATGTCTTGGCCCAGTCCATCCCTGCAGGGCCTTCTCAACCTCCTTCCGCTGCGGGTTTTAAGATCATGCGCAGGGTCGGTTTGGGGCCACGGCAGGGCTCAGCCGGTGCCAGTACACCTGCGAGTTCGTCGGCTCCATCCAAAGCCACCTCGGAAGCAGGTCTCGAAACGAACAGCGAGGAGGGTATCTTGTCCCCGGTGGAAGGAACGCCGAACAAAGACAAGTCAAAACTCACAAGAGAGGAGCGAGAGGCCCAATACAAAGCTGCGCGAGATCGGATATTTGGCGATTTCCAGGAGTCGGTGACCAGTGAGAGTGCTTCGACCGGGGAGAATTCGGCGAGCATGTCGCGGTCGAGCTCATCTAGTGGCAAGAGAAAGGCACGCAAACACAAAACCCCAAAAGACGACAGTTTTGAAGCACGATCGGCATTCATTCCCAGCTACACCCCAATGCATATGTCACATATGCAACCGCAATATCAGCCGCATTACCCGGAACAGGCTTATAATGGACCATACCCAGCACCCAATGGCGCATTTGGTGGAAACATGAATTACAGCTCTACACCCACCCAAGCATATCCTAATTTCGAGTCTTCCATGTCCTACAACGGCGCTCCAATGGGCTACGGAAACAATAGCTCCCAGTCTTTCAGTTCTACGGAATCATGGTCGTCGACGATGCAGACTCCTGCCTCGAACGGATACTTCAATTACTCTGCCTCTCCCACCACCTATCAGCAGGGTATTTCTCCCATGATAGCTCAAATGAGCCATCAATTCATGACAACATCACATACCGGTATGCAACAGCCACAGAACTGGATGAACAATCAATTCCCGACTGCCTATCCTCAACCCCAAGGTCCGCCCACCTCCAACCTGAATGGTTGGTCTTCTTATCAGACTAATGCAGCTATGAGCAACGCAGCAAACTACGGCTATGGACAGCTGCCTGCGCAAAACTTCAGTGGTAATGCGAATCAGGCATACAATGGCCAATATTCCAATTCAAGCACCTACTCCCGATCACTTTTCAACCCGCAGACTCGCTCCTTCGTCCCTAGCAATTCCTCGAGTCGCAATGGCGGACGCAGTGGACACACCAACAACAACGGCGCACGGAAGAAAAATTCGTCAGCCTCGTCAAGCCAGAGCCGGGCAAATAGCATTCCTGCTTCCAAACCATTCGCTTCAGATGCTTCCGGAACGCCACCACCTGCTCGCGCATTCGACAAGGGACTCTCCAGTAATGTAGCGTCTCCCAAACCACCTCCAGTTAAAGAGGATTCCCTCCAACAGAAATACGGGGCACCTGCGCATCTGCCTAAGAAGCCTCCACCATCGCAGGTCCCCTCGCCCTATGACGTTGACAGTATTACCAATCCAAGCACTGGCGTAGCGGGTACGGGAGCGACAGCATAGGAGCAATAGTTTGTCGGGCATGGGAAAGAACATGGGATCATCGGCATGAGATATGGGAATGGGCAAGGAATTGGACATGTGCTCAAGTTGGGGTGGGCGCAAAAGCGCATGGTGTTCAAACCTCGACATTTAGTCTCCTTGCCCGGGCTATCGGGGGGATGCAGGTATGCAGGTATGCAAAGAAGGGGGGATGTTTATGTGATGGACCGGACTGGCTTGGGTGAGGCACGGCTCAATCATGCATGTATCAGGTTTCTCTTTGAGACGCACAAGGGGAACAAACTTGGGAGACAAGGCCAGGACCACGAGAATCAAAATTAAGGAGTCGAAAAAGGTCTAGGTTTGCAATGTCACTCCAAATAAGTGTTTTGAGGATAGGGCCACATGGCTCTGGTTTGCGTCGTCTTTCACCTTTTTTTTTCTCTCTATGTTCATGTGGACATGAGTAGAGTCTCGGCAGTATTGCAAGCCCGAGTTCAGGTTGATGAGAACGAGGACGAGACAAGACTGCAGTCGAATAACAGGGAACCTGGTTCGTCTTGTCCTGTCTTGTCCTGTCTAGTTATTCGTCAGTAGCCCCTTGTTGGACGGGACGGAGCCCAGAATGGGTGATACTGATAACGTCTGGCAGGTGAAGGAAATAGATATAAAGATAGATAGATAGTACCTGACGATCGCGAGGCTGGATGCCCATGTCACGCGAGGAACTTTTGCGTAACGGTATGTATATCTATCTATCTATATACTCGGTATAGATAGGAGGTAGGTCGGTAGGTAGGTCGGTAGGTGCAAGTAGGTACATATATATGTGTGTACCTCGTGGATATACCTCGCAAATACCATGCGTCCCACGTCGTGGTATCATTACTCCAGCCGACATGAGTCCAGAAACGCCCTGTCCCTCTTATTTTCCCCTAATGTCCCCCCCCCCTTCTAGTGTGATATCCTGTCCCCTGGTTCCTGGTCTTTTATCCCTTGTCCTTCTTCGGCCGATTTCCCCCCCTGGATCAAAACCCATGTCGTTGTGTCTCCCCAACCCTGGGCCCCCTTTTGTTCTGGAACAAATGCCTTTTATAAGTCGCGCAAAGGTGGGACTGTGGTCCCCTTCAGCTCGTGGCCGTGTCCCGGCGTATTTCATGCATTTCCAGGCTCTCAAGAGCCTTGCCGTGTTCATGCTGTCGTTCAGCGTCAACGGTGTCGTTGTCGTCGTCGTCATCATCATCATAAGAATCGTCATCTCTCACATTTCCATCCTGGTGGCCACTCATTAACCCAATGGCTTCTTCATGAGTAGCCCCCACTTTAGCCCGTGCGTGTTCTCGCAGCACTTCCAATCCAGATGGTGTGCTTGTCGCCCTGGCACGAGTGTCATTCGACTTCACCTTAGAAGCCGAGTCCCTGGCGGCAGCTACCCACACTGCCCCCGCCAGAATCAATACGCTACCAATCCAGCTCATTGTATCCGGCGTGATGCCAAAGACCAATTTATCGCCAGCCAGCGCAAAGAGCATCTGCGTGTAGCACATGGCCGTTGCACGCGTCCCTGATGGTTTCGGCCTTGGCTTGGACGAATAATTTTTACCATTACCGCTACCGCTGGGATTTTCCAGATGGATCCCGGTACTCTCGACATCCCTAATCTTCTGTAGAGGTTGAGCTTTGTTCCCATCCTGGCTGGACGGTTCACACGGCCCACCATATGCTAGGCCGGCGGTCAGAAGAAACTGCATGACAAACCCGCACAGACCCAGGCTGGCGAGCAGACTCCACTCGGTGAGGTTGCCCGGCAGCCGGAACTTGACGTCAGGGAAGATGACGAGGCATGTCAGCGAGACGATACTACACCACACGCTGAAGTAATTGATACTGATGAAGGCGTGAGCCCTGGTACCAATTACACGTATCGCGGTGAGTGCACCGGTGCCACCAACCACGCCGATCATTGCAATGCCCACTGCTGCGAGATGTTGTTCGGCAGTGATGTGTTGAGCAGTCTCAGCAGTCACAGTAGAGTTGGCTGGAGGACTTACCATGGCGTCGGAAGGTTGGGCCGAGGTCGAGGTCAAAGAGAGGAGAGAGGCTGGTCGGGCAATGAACAAGACACCGATAAGGCTGACGAAGCCGGCAATCTGTTGCTGCGCGCTGAAGACTTCCCCAGGCATGATGAAACTGCAAAGGTAGCAGGTAAGGATCGGCGATAAAAAGCCCAGCACCGTTGCCTCGCTCAGCGGCAAGTATAACAGGCTAAAGTATAATCCAAATACTCCGAAGAACCCAGCAATGCCCCGTAAGACAAGTAGCCAGCGAACACCACGCGGCCCAAAGGGAAAATATGGAGTTGTCTTGAAGTAGATACCGTACGTGGTGCAGATGAGGGCGGTGATGGACTGTCGAGCGAAGAGGATCTGGAACGGATGCATTGGTTCGCCATGTGAGCCTGGGGTCTCCAGGAGTCGAGTGCTGATGTTCATGCCGACACCGAAGGCTTGGGATGCAAGGACCAACATGGCACCATAGTTGGTAATGTAGAAGGACTCCCAGGCTGCTCTGAACCGGGACTGTGGAGGAGGAGGTTTGGCCGACGTGGAGAGGGCACCATCTTGAGATATACTGCGGACGAGAGGGTGGACGGCTTGCAGTTCATTGGAGTGGAATGAGAGCTCCGAGAGCTCTGAATATGTGCTGTCAAGCGAAGGTCGAAAGGATGGGATGTCAAGGTAAGAGGATCTAGAGCCCGTCACGGGGGTTTGTAGAGGAGGAATCGACTTGGACGACGAAGGAGAGGCTACGACAGTGGTGTCGCTGGAAGAAGGTGACGCTGGATTGTATCCATCGTGGATAGACGGACTGTTCAAGGACATGGTCGAATATACGCCATCCCAAGGACTCCAGGGTACAGGTGCAGTCTTGCAAAAGAAATGGGATACAGTTTTGACTCAATAGGGAGACAGAGCAGGCTGCGGCCCTGGCGGAAGAAGTATATTGCTGACTGAGATTCAATGTTTTTAATGACAGATGGCAATAACAAGCTGCTTATGACAAGGGAATGGATGTACTCTGGTCCTCAGAGATGTCCAGAGGAAATTATAACAGATAGAAAAGTACACATAGTGAAGATATGAATGCGGGAGGTGGGTAGCCACAAGAAATAGGCCAAAATTAGGGCGGGATGATGAGGAATGAGGAAGAATGTCGAGTGACTTGGTGGGGACGAGCATCACTACTGCATCCATCTCTTTCTCAGTCAACAATTCCACAGATTCTCACTCCAATCATGCTTAGCTGCAGCCCGTTCCCCTCCAGACGCCCTGCAACACCACAGATCCGTGTCATACAACAGGTACCAACCCACCCGCGATTGGATGACATATTACACCGCAGGATAAGGGTCAGCGGGTCGACGGGCGGATACCCGGTATTCTTGTACCGAGCACCATTTCTCCATACCTGGTAACGACTAACGATACGCCCCACGGAAGATTCGGAAATCACGGGCATCGAGGCAGTCATGCCATCGACACTGAAAATGGTGAAATAGAGACAAGAGACGCAGAGGGGCATACATCAAAAGAGAAGGAGAACCTGGACAACTGCGGACAAGAGGTTAGGGCACGGCACGGCACAGCACGGTTTAGCTTTCATTTGCATCTTTTCATTCCGTACCGTGTATACGAAACGAAGTACCTCTGCTCGTCCAGCATCTATGAAGCCGATGCGCTGGCCTCTGCCTCTCCCCTCCTTAGCGCCAACAGCGCCCGCACATCCGTCACATACTGCAGTGCCTCTAACATGGGTATCAAATGAAGCAAATCGTTGTCGGTCGGGTCATTGATCCATCCTTCGATCGGGATCGCGTTGTCTGTCACGAACATCGTCTTAGTGCCCGGCTCAGCCATTATATGCTTACTCTCAGAGGGGCTTACCTTCGTGGAAAATGTAACTGACGGGACTGTTGTCCAGAATAATAACCTTGCTCAGATCGGGTTCAATGCTGCTGAGGTCTTTGATGTACGCCCCATTGCGAAATGTACAATGTTGCCGGTAGTATCTGCCCACAAAGTACTTTCGCTCCTGTTCCAACCAGTCAATTACGGGATCAGCGTACTCTTGCACTGACGCCGTAAACACCACAAGTTTATACCACTTGGCCACCTTACGCAGGAACTCGTCACAGTGGGGTCGCTTGTGAACATAATATAGGATAGGATGTTGCGGTCCTATCACAGGGGTTGCTTGACCAGGTTGAGGAGGTGCGAGAGCCACAGGGGCATTCAATTTGACCTCCACCATATGCCCGGACGACATCCGGCCTCCTTTCGCCAGAGAATGAATCAGGGTCTCGTCAAGATCCAGGATCAGGGTTTTCTGCTGTAGCGGTGGACCATGCCGGGTCGGAGATCTGGGGATGAGGTTGGCATAAGAAGGCTGCCTCCGGGGGACCAGGGGTCGAGGTGGTTGCGGCGCATGGGGATATCGGGTCATCCTGAGGGACGGGGAAGGCGATCGCGGGGACTTGATATTATCGATCGTCAATGGAGTGGAATCGGCCAGGGGGCTGGCCGCTTTCTTTTGCTTTCTCCTTTTGAGAGCAAGATCATTCTGCTCTTTGATCCTGATGGAGGACCGTCGGGTTTCCGAGTCCTCCCGCACTGCCTTTTCGCGCTTCGGCTTTGAGCGTAGCTGAGCACGCTCCACCTTGCGATGTTCCGCATCCGAATCCGAAGTTGTGGTATCTAACGAGTCGCTTGAATAGGAGTGGCGCAGCTTCGTCTCTTGGAGCGCGCGATGAGATGGTTTCTCGTTGGGCCAACTGCCGTCCCGGGCAGCATTGGAGACCCCCATCGCACGAGGAGTGCTGGCATTGAGGGCTCTCTCCCTTCGCGGCCATCCTGGAACAAAGGTGAACCTCCCGTCCTGGTCTCTAAAGCACTGCGCAAGGTACACCACTGGGGCGCCAATTGCAGCCAGAATGGTGGTTATCGCGTCTGTGAGCTGCTTGACCAGCAGGCGCCAACCTTCCGGAGTCGAGGCTTCATCTTCCTTCTCATCCGCGTGCAGTAAAGGCTGCTTCTCCTCCTCCGATTTTATGGCTGGCTCGTCGTCCTCGGCAGTTGCTTCACCAGGGAGCTTGTCTGGGAAACCCGTGTCTGGCTCATTCTTCAACTCGGCTGTAAGCTCTCCGCTATATGATCTTCCTCTAAACTCCTCAACACTGAACTCCTTCTTGAAAAGTTCCCCACCTTGAGACCGGGACCGAGGGCGAGAGGATGATTGAGACTGTCCGATCACTCGGGAGGAGATGAGATTGAGCGAGTTCATCTCCCAGCAGAGACGTAGGCGCGGACACTTTGTAGCGGTCGACGAATCGACTTCCGGGAAGCAGCGTCCTCTTCTGTGGCTATCGTGATCGCATGACGATCCTATGCGATAGTACGGGAGTCTGCGAGCAGCGGGATAGAAATCGGGGAGACTTGGTGGATCGTGTGAGGTGGACACGATATGCTCATATAGTCCAGCTCAATGTAGTGGAGGGAGTTCCTTTCACTTGGCACAGAACGTTTGCAGAGACAAAGAAGATGATAGAGACAATATCATTGAGCTCAAGACAAGAGAACCTCTTATGGACGAAGGGTTGGTGGCTGGCGCAGCTGATCCGATCAAGAAGCCAGTCACGAAACAAGTCGGGTGGGAGATGGAAGTGGGAGTTCGGGAGTGGGAGCGACATGGAGCGAAGACACGCGCGGGCCATTTCCCTTGCACGTCTCCAAATCGTGGCATGCGATGCGAGTCATTCCTCACCACCACCCAAAAAATTGGTCCGGTCCAACGCACAACACATATATCGGGAGAATTACGAGGGTAGATTTCTACAACATACTCATTGCACGGCTCTTCTTCTACTTGAAGTCCAGAACCAGGTGTCGCTCTCGTTGGCAACTCGACAACCTTGGGCGGCACATGCCCCAAGCACCACTCGGAGGACGAACACACTTCACGGCTTTCTATTCTGGTTAGGGAGCCTGCAACATGGCGCCCGCCGCAGCGTCTTTGACGCCGGGGTTTGCCAGTTTTCAAAAGGTCTTGTCCACGGAGCCGCTCGACACTTCGACAACTTATTTGGCTTCGTGAGTTCTGCCCGAGTTCCTCCCAGCATGGGCTGCGTTAATGTGTGTAAAGATTGCTTAAACGACGGCAAATAAGAGGCTCCAAACGTTGCGCTGTGGTCACAACACTCCTGCTACTCCGCACCGTTGAGGTGACCAAACAAGCCGATTCAGTCAAGTTGATCCAAAGAGTCACAGAGGTTGGCAAAAAGCTCATTGAAGCTGCTCCCCACGAACCAGCCGTGGGCAACATCGTTCGAAGAGTCTTGGGAATAATACGAGAAGAAGATGAAGATGACGCCGCAGGCACAAAAGGAGGGGATGAGTTGAGCTCAGTTGGCGGTGATACAGAGGTCGAGTCGCCGGCGACATCTGAACCTGCACAATCAAGATACCTCCCTCATGCGATCGTTAACGGCGATTCTTCCAGCCCTTCGCCTCAGATAGGCACTTCGAGTCCCCGCCCCCCGTTACTCAGCTCGCGCACTGGTGTCCCAGAAACTGCTCGTCCTGTGACCTCTATGTTTAGCATCAATGCACATCCGACAATGCGGATGCTGGGAGGACCAAATGACTCGCCATTAAGCCGCAGCGGTCAGGCTACTCCACAGATGCATGCTTCAGGTATATTCCAATCGAATATTCGACCTGAAGTGATCAAAGGGATCAAAGAGATCATTGACGAAATCAATGCCGCGGACGATGAAATTGCCACTGCCGCCCTCGACCAGATTCACCCACAAGAGACCATTTTCACCTACTCCTCTTCCTTGACTGTTCAGCGGTTTCTTCTTCGAGCCGCCTCGAAGCGGAAGTTCACGGTTGTTCACGCTGAAGCATATCCCAACAACCACCTGAAGACGCACGCCTTACTTAGTGGGAACCAAGAAGCTGTCACAGAGGATGATGACAACCTTCCCAACGACTCGTTTTCCAAGACGTTGACTTCAGCCGGCATCACGGTCGTGATGATTCCCGACTCGGCAATCTTCGCAGTTATGCCTCGCGCAAGCAAGGTCATACTAGATGCCCACGCCGTTTTGACGAACGGATCCATAGTTGTCGCAGCAGGAGGCAAGGCCGTCATCAAAGCGGCGAAATTCCACCGCATTCCTGTCATCGTTTTGGCAGCGACATACAAGCTCTCTCCGGCATACCCATACGACCCATTCAACTTGATCGAGTACGGTGAGGCCGGAAAGGTGGTACCATTTCAAGCGGGTGAGTTGCGCCACGGACTAGCAGAAGGAGCGAGAAATCCGCTGTATGATTTTGTCGAGGCAGGAGATGTCGACTTGTTCGTGACGAACGAAGTCCCTGCCGTCGTGAGCACGGGTTATCTCTACAGGGTTGTGAGGGAACAGTACCGAGATGAGGACTTGCAGCTGTGAGGAAGTTTTCTGGGCCAACACGCGTTCTCTGTTGAACTTGGTTACTGGAGGGTTTCCTGTCAGACGTCAAGAGTAAAATGTTAGGATGGAAAAGAACTTGATACCCCCCTGGGACATTTTATGGCTTTGGCGGGTTTTTAGATTGTTTGTAGCGTCTGCTGCACTTTTGGGTCTCCAGCACCATACCTATGCTATACAAAATGCAAAGATGGAGCATTGCATGACGGCCGTCCAACGAACCCCTGACACACTGATGATAATACACTTTTCAGACAAGTCCTTTTTCACATGCATAGAGAGCTCTCTATGAAGGAACGGCCTTGTCTTCGCCTACCCTCTGCCTCCTCAACCGTCCGGGACCTTTCTTCTCCTTGCTCTTGATCTCGCTGGGGCGGTCCTTCTCGCCCCTGGCCCACTCGTACACGGTGCCGTCCTCCTCGAATTCCTTCTGCTCCTTTTGCCGCTGCTCCTCCTGGTCCTTCTCGAGACGGTCGACTTCTTCCTCGAGGGCCTTCTCCCCGTCGATGCGAAACCGGGTCACCTTGCGGATATTCGCGGCCATCATCTCCGACATGTCGAGGTTCTCCCTGCGCTGCCGCACGAGCGCCTTGGCCGTCATGCTGAAGCGCATGTCGCGCGGCCCGTCGACGAGGGACAGGATCGCCGACGCCGCCTGGTCCTCGCGGATGGGCTCCTGCCTCAGCACGCGCGTGTAGCCCCCCGGCCGGCCGGCGTAGCGCTCGCGCAGTTCGCCGAACAGCTTGTCCATGTGGCCCTCGCGCTCGGGCTCGAAGAAGATGGTCTTGGCCCGCTCCCGCGCCGCACCCGTGTTCTTTTTCCCCAGCGTGATGAGCTTCTCCGCCAGCCGCTGCGCCTCTTTGGCCTTGTGCCAGCTCGTCGAGATGGATTCGTTGGCGATCAGCGACGTCACCAGGTTGCGCAGCAGCGCCCGTCGGTGCGCCGAGTCGCGGCCCAGGTGGCGGTATTTGAGCGTGGACATTTTTGAACTGAGTGGGGGGGAGAAGGAGGGAGGAAGGGAGGGTGAGTCGTTCGATCGATCCCCCTTCACGAGCGACGAGGTATCAAGTCGTTACTTGTTCGTGCGAGACTGAAAGGGTCTGCCTCAGAACCAAGTGAGTGCTGCGTGCGAGGTTTATTGAAGCATTGTAGGTGCTGACAAGGCAGAAGTTTCAGTAGACTCTAGATCGTTCGTCCCCTTTTGTGTTCCTTGTTGCGTGTTGCGTGGATTTTCTCTATCAACGAAAAAAAGCCCGGTGCTCCAATTGGGCAAAGAGAACGAGGCTCGGAGAAGATTGATTGTAACAGCGAATGATCGACAGTACGACTGAAGCTGGGATTGTTACGGCGGATCATTCTGACCGCTTCAACCGTAAGACCCCTCCGACACATCCCTACCCTACAGTCGGTAGACAGGTAGGTTTGCAGGCTTGGTAGGCTAGCAGGGCTAAGGTGGCAGTGGCTAGGTTGCCTAGCACAAGCCTAGGTACCTCGTACATATCCAGTGGGGCCGACTCAATTGTGCCTTCTTTGAATCAAAAGACGCTCTGGATATCAACATTGTCTACTGCACTCGGTACTGTCCTTCTCCTAAGTAACAGTTCCATTCGGAGCTCTACCACACAGAACCTGTCGTCCTCTCTCCCTGACCCTTCAATTGAGGTACTGTGGCTTCGTCTCTGTTCATAGGTATGTTCGATTTTTCCGAATCCGACATAATGCACAGGCACTCTCAGCTCTGTCTGCCGCCTTGTCAACCGGTGTACCTGTGTGGTCCGATAATCTACGATGCACCATCCCGGACGCCGGAAGGTGCAAAAATAGAGAGAGGCTCTGGCAAATCGACGATCGACCCTGGTCGCATGTGGCCTTCCGTGTGACAGAAACCCCCCAGCCGTATAGGGAGCACACCTATTGGGTGTTGGACGCTACAGATTCGATTAGGAAAAACAACTACTGCTGGCATTCTAAGATGCTCAGCCAGGTAGGTCAATTTCAGACCTCTAGGCGCTGACCGTTTGCTGGCGAGACGGCAGGCGCTTCAACGGACGCGCACGACAGAAGCGATTCCCAGGGAGCAGGGGGGCTTCCCATCACCGAACCTGGTGGCGCAGCTAAGTCGTCTCTGAGCATGCTAGTCTTGCGTGGATACATATAAGAGGTTCGCATGCGCCGCCGCCCTGACTTGAAAGTGCGTTTGTGTGTATTTGAGAGCATAACATCCAACATTCTTACGCTACTCATGGACCAAGTATCCTCTTCAGTCTCCTCAAACCGCTTAGAACCTTACAAAGACATGACCTCGAACCGGCCTGAGTCGCGGCAGATTCTGTCCCATCAAGAGAACCAGCAACAAGTTGCGCTCGGGCGATTGTACGATGCCCGGACTGAAACGGTCCTCTTCCCCTCAATCTTTAACTCTACGCTTCTTCCTGGCGAATTTGTCCAGTCGACAGATCTGAAGCGTCTGTCATACAAGTGCACCGAGAGTGACTCTCTTGAGGAGAAGCTTTCCAATCTCGGCATCTCAAGTGAGCTGGGACTCAGTGTCCTCTGTGGAATGGCAGAAGGCAGTTGGTGTGCCAATTACCTTTCAACCAAGAAGGTGAATACCCACATTCGACAAGCATCTACAGCATGTACGTACACGACAAGAAGCGAAAGCCTTTTCCTCCAGAATAAGAGCCTGAGGGATCGTCTGGACTTTGCCGCGCGTCATATCAAAGATGCCACCCATGTCGTCTGTGGGATAAATTGGGGGGCTCGGGCATTGGTAACCGTGAAGGAGTCCGTGAAACATGAAGACACCAGCAGTGAGACCAAATTCAACCTGAACAAGCCTCCCGGTTCTGCCAAGTATCCGAGAGGAGAGAGGATGCAGCCCAAAGAAACGGACTTCTTTAGGAAACTCGTCCAGCAAATCGGGCAGATATACGTCGGTGGAAAAGTTGAATGGGACAGTTCGCTCCGGGCAACCGAAACGGTGCTTGAATTCGAAATCGCGGCTGACGTTGCCAACATCGTCGAAGGCGGTATTCCTACCAACTTCGAACAAGTCAAGAATTTTCTTCAGCGCATTCCATCGTCGCTTGAGGGCGTGAACGAAGGCAAGGGTGTTCCTATCTCCTTCTACCTTTTGCCGATTCAAGATTTTGCAATGATGTTCCAGATTGAGATACACCACGACACTCTTGTGAGGAAACTCGAACAAACCGTCCTGGAGCATTGTCTTTCCCTTTTGGAGAAGCTCGATGCCACAGCTCGAGATTGGGAAGTCTACGGTGATCGTGTGGCTCAGCACCAGCACTGCGTCCCGAAGGCTCATATCAGAGAGGTGCGAATCATGCGGAAGCAGGCAGAGAGAAATGCAACATTCCTCAGGAAAGACCTGACCAGGGGTATCGTTGGGTTTCGACAAGGTTTTGGAGACAAACAGAACATTCTGGATCTCTTAGGTCCATATGACGCGCCGGACTCGTGTGATGAAGACGACGGTCCCATCCTAGGCGAGTATGTCGACAAGATGGACTTTGTTGACACGATCAAAGCCGCTGGAGTCGGATACATTGATCATACTCAGCTGTGTGACACCCTCAGCAGCAACAGAACTGGCGACATGTACATTCTTTACTTGAGCAAATCATCGCAGGGTTCGCAATCTTGGAGCGAAGATCGACAGACGCTGATTGATCTCATCAACGGCATGGGCGACGAATATCTCGTGCTCGCCGTGGATTACGACGCGCCAGAGCCTAAAGCTCTCAAGGAATCCTATATTGAACAACGTCGCGGCAGTAGAGTCATCGTCCCAAACGTGACGCAGAAATGGAACGACCTCAACAAGTTGTGTCAACTGAAGTGCGGCGTTGACAAGGAAGCTGATCGGACACGGAGTGTGAATCCGCCTCTTGGTCGACGAGTAGTCAGGGTCCCATGCCCAGGCCAAAACTGTTTCAGGACAGGGAATCTCAAATGGATATGTCCTATTTGTGAGGACATGGTCTGCTACGGGTTCACCGACGATTACTTGTATTGCCTTTGCTCCCGCTATCTCTACACTGAAGCTGTTTTCAAGTGCAATGGTGCCGTCCACGGTCCGGAATTCGTCCAATACGAGGAGAGAGATCTGCACAAACGGCTGAAAGACCTCGACCCTGGCGAAGAGTACAACATCCTCATTTTGGGGAAGTCAGGGGTGGGCAAGTCCATGTTCATCAACGCCATTAGCAATTATCTGGTGTTCGAGTCCTTGAAAGCCGCCATCGACGATACAGATGACATTCAATACGCTCTACCGTTCCAGTTCCGCTTCCAGGACGAGAAAAAGAAGGATCAGGCGGTGACCGTGGGCAAAGAGAGGCTCAGACAATTCGCGGAGGTGTTCTCAAACAGTGGAAAGTCGTCAACGAGAAAGTCGAACGCGTACTGCTTCACCATTGATGGCAAGGTGTTTCGCTTCATTGATACGCCTGGAATTTGTGACACCGAAGGCAAGGACCAGGACCATACGAACGCAAAAGACGTCTATGAGATGCTCATGTCCATCAAAAAACTCAGTGCTGTCCTCATTCTGCTGCCACCAAACGAAACACGCCTGGACTCGGCGTTCAGATATTGTATGACTGAATTACTGTCTCGCCTCCATCATGACACATCACACAACGTTCTCTTTGCATTCACCAATGCTAGTTCAACGAACTTCACCCTCGGCGCGACACAGACACCGCTGGACGCTATTCTGCGTGATCTGAACACTGGTATCGTCCGCGGCGTGGCGAACCAGTACTTTGTTGATTCCAAGGGGTTCATGTTCCTCGCAGCGCACAAGCAGAACCTCGAAATGGCTGGTACACTGGACGAGCATGCAGAATTATGGAGACGATCAGCAGAGGAAGTCGGCCGACTCATCGCCACCGTTATGAAGCTGCCAACTCACGACGTTGGTATGACTCTCAAGCTCCATCAAACCGAGAACTTCCTCGATGGAATGGCGAAACCCCTCGCCAGCTTTATAACAACCTCCAAAGAGACGTTGGACAGCTTGAAAAAGGCCGAGGATGAGCTCACGGATGCTATCGCCCGAGGCGAAAACCTTGCACAGAAGGCCAAGAACAGGCTCACAATAACGGTTCCGGTACGGTACGACCTCAAACATAAACGGACCGTATGTTGTCATCCAAGCTGCGTCAGCCAAGTACAAGGTGAGGATGGCAACTTGCGCACTGCATTTACAACCATCTGTCATAATGAATGTGACGTCGATGTGCCGGATGAGATTCGGGGCGCCGCAGAACTCAGGTTCTGTAGACCGTTCAGAAGGGTTCTACAGATTATCTGGGGCTATGAGTGTAAAATGCAGGGTTGCGGGCACGACTGGACCGATCACATGCACATTTCTTACGAGCTTAGGAACGAGATCAGGACGATCGATGACGAAACGGTCCTGGAGGACATCAAGAGCAACGAGGACGCAGTGCAACGAATTGAGCGGAAGATCCTCGAGGCCAAGCTCCAGCAGAAAACGGCGCAGGAGGAGCTGGATAGAATCCAGGACGCCCGGGTCAAGTTCTACGTATACCGGGCTCTGACCTCCCTGGGGACCTCGCGGGCGCAGCCCGACCCAACCGTCACGTACTTGGATTTGCACATCGCGATAGCTAAGAATGACGGCCGCCAGTCCGATGCCGCCGAGCTGATGGCTCAGAAATCAGAGCATGTCGCCAAGGTAGAGGCACTGACCAGAGACATTACCGCGGGCAAGGCCAGCTGCCCTGACGAGCGGGTCGTGGACAGCGAAATTGAAGGCTTGAGAGCCATGCCCCTGTTTGGAAAGTACCTCAGCGAAGCAGTCGGCCCAAGTCCCGAACCCGTCCAGGAAACACGGCATCTCTATGTCGACATCAAGCCGAAGCAAGTGGGCACCTGGATGGGTTGGTTACGACGTGCCTAAAGTCATGGGGAAGCTCGAACTTGGCCGTCAGTGGTGGGTTGGTCAGGCAGTCCGAGACACTGTCAATCGTTAAATGAGCATCATCTCCCTTGTATGTATATCTACCAGATATCTACCCATTCTATAATTTAGCCTGTATGGACGACGACGATGACGGTGGTGGCTTTATTCTCGCCCGCAGCTCCTTTCTCAGAATCTTCCCCGACGCGCTCTTCGGGATCTCGTCGACAAAAAAGACACCTCCACGCAATTGCTTGTAACTTGCGACTCTGTTCTTGACAAAGTCGGCCACCTCTTGGGCCGTGATGGTTCGGCCGTCGCCGGTAGAGGATTGGCGGCGAACCACGTACGCGCGAGGCACTTCTGTCTGTTGCGCTTCGTCCCAGAGGCCGATGACGGCCGCGTCGGCGATGCGAGGATGAGAGGTCAGGAGCGCCTCCAGCTCGGCCGGGGCGACCTGGGAGCCTTTGTACTTGATGAGTTCCTTCTTCCGATCGACGATGCGGACGTAGCCGTTGGTGTACGTCCCGATATCCCCAGTGTGGTAGAAGCCCTGTTGGAACGACTCCCTCGTGGCCTCTGGTCTGTTGTGGTATGCCTGGGCGAGGATGGGCCCTCCGACGAGCATTTCACCTGGCTGGCCCTCCGGCACGTCTCGGCCATCCTCATCGATAACTCGGAGGGTGACGTTGGGACAGAGCTCGCCCACACTCCACGTCCCGTCCCTGGAATATGCGAGCCAGTCCGTTGCAGCAATGACACCCGTCGTCTCGGTTGTCCCCCACGTTTGAGCCATGTGAGCCCGACCTCGACCCAACTTCTTCTGAGCCTCTTTGACGAGATCTTGTCCGATGGGTGCCGCACCCGTCACGGCGACCTGCAGAGCGTCGAAATGATCCGTAACCTTGTCGCTTTTCGCGATTCGCAGCCATACCGGGGGCACAGTGAATTGGTAGGCGGGGCGATAGCGCCTGTGGTATTCGAGAAAGGTTTCGAAATCGTACTTTTCCATCCACCACGTCGTGCCGCCCATGTAGAATGGATTGGTCGAATACAGACTGATCCCGGCGATGTTGGACATGGGTAGGTGCGCTATAGTGTTGAAGGTAAATTCTCGTCCCTCCTTTTCGCTGATTGCTTTGTACCGGCGCGCAGGGTCCATTGTGCAAACATTGTTCGCCACAAGACCCCAGTGCGATATTCGAATACCCTTTGGTAGACCGGTGGTCCCAGATGAATACAGCAGACATATCGTGACAGCCTCCAGTGTCGGCAGATCGGTGATGCGCTGCCAGTCCAACATCTGACCACTACCTCCAAGCACGTCTGACCGGTCCGCCACGGAGATCAATTTCCAGTGGTGTGGGACAGTGCTATCCAGAAGCAAAATCCTGTCCTTAGGGATGCCGCAGATCTCGGCGGCTCGAACGACCTGCGCTTCGCATTCTGGCGAGCACACTAACAAGCTGGCGTTTCCGTCCTCAATTTGACGCGTCAACTCTTCGACTCGGTATTCTGTACTAGCGCCAGAAAAGATACCTCCAGCAGCGACAATGCCGTAGAAGAAGACAGGTGCAAAAGGACTCCCGCTGAGCACCGTCAGGACAACATCTTTACCTGGTCCCGAGGCGCCGACGCCGAAGCGTTGTCGAAGCACATGGGCAACCCGTTTCAGCAACTTGCGGCTTTCGGCCTTGGTGATGCTGTTTGATGGATTCGCAGCCTGCACATGGATTTCGGTCTCTTCACGGGCTAAACACCAGTCTGATTCTATAGAACAAATTAACGAACCGTGCCAACACGGGTGCACAGTGAAGGGGCGTGATTGATTGGCCCTACCATACAAGAGTGACAGGATATCGAGGCGAGGAATGTCGATCTGCCTCTTGGATTTGAACACCATGTTCGACAAGGAAACGAAAAGCTATTCCTTGCTAGCGCTGGTGAAGGAGCGATTCAAGATACATAGTGAATACCTCGTACAAGTCGATCGTAGCACCGTGGTTGAAAGTACCATGTATCGATGGATGCGGGGAAGGCTGAGCATCTGCCCCGAGGATCGCATGTTATAGCCGAGTTCCCCAGCAATGGCGGGCCGAGGAGTGCGAGAGTGTGTGGAGAAGAGAAGGATGAAAGAGGTTGAATTTTGCTCCAGATCTTATAATGATGAGACTCCGCCATTGAGCAGCGAACGTGAGAGTCAAGGAACGAGGCCGGATATCATCTCCAGAATCCAGATCCAGATCCGAGTCTGTACCAAAGCCCATCTAAGCCTTACGAAGCTTTGCGTTAGCCACTGTCTGAGTTTTGGACCCTCGTGGGATCTCAACCGACTGAGGTTGTCTCTCGGAACGGACAATTTTTCTTCGTCAAGTTTTTCGCTCCTTTGACGCTGTAACAGCGTAATTGAACCTCGTGGCTGGTAAGGCTGAGTGAGGTACGGGAGCTGGACCGGCATTGATGTGGATTGCAACAGTGTGACTCGTGGCTAGCACTAGTGGCGTTTCAGCAGGTGTACCGCGCCTTTGACATGGTAGTAGAGAGTTAGATAGCACCACTTGCTCTGAGTTGAGATTGTGGATGGTGGATAGTATATTTCGACACACAGGAAGTATCCTATGAAAGTGCGCTTGTACACAGTTTGAAGTACCGTACAGTACGAGCCTGACAGCCTGATTTCCTACGGTGGAGCAAAGTCACCATTGTTGCATTGTGATATCAGAGCTCAATGTCAGTTGGAGCTGCAAGTACTCGGTACAGACAAAAACCTCGCCCGATCACCGCCCTCGAAATCCCACAATAGAGCAGAAAGGCCACCTCTGAAGTCACCTGCTTAAATCCACTTCTCTCGACCGCCTTGCTTGTAACAGGATCTTGACCTACTCCGCAAGCTCTCGCAAGTCAACGCCAGAACATTTTTCTCACCCCAGTATCTCTACTCGGATAGAAGTTTTGAACTTCTCCTAAGCGGCCCCCCCAAGATGGGCTTCACGACAGGCTTTGTGAGCACCTCCCTGCCTCTAACTTCCTCCAGATTCAGGCCTCTTCGTACTGACTAGTGATTTTTTTTTATGAAACCAGCTGGGCGGTGCCACACTGACGTACTCTCTCCTCTACTTCTCGCTCTACGTCCACCGCGCGAACCGCAATGTCCAACGCACGCTCCTGTCCCAACAAGCCACACTGCTGAACTCGGTGGTGGAGCCCGCGCCCCCGCTGCCCGATCCGCCCGCATACGAAGTCCGGCGCGCGGGATTGATAGAAGAGCTCAAGGACCGGTGGAACAGGGAGGTAGAGAAGCTGGTCAAGAACGTCGAGGAGACGGACTGGTCGCTCGTGCGGGAAGGGGTCGAGGAGAAAGTGGGCAGTGTGTGGGCGAGAGTGAGGCAGTCGCAGACGGGCAAGGAGGTGGAAGACAAGGTCAAGGAGGTGGTGGACGCGGGAAAGGAAAAGGTCGACGAGGTGGTGGGTGCTGGCAAGCAGAAGGTCGACGAGAAGACGACCAAAGAGCCGACACGGTTGTTGGAGCTAAAATGAAATCCTTTACAACAAAACCACATTTTGTCGAATGCAGCCATCCTCATTCCTCCGTCCCGGTAGTATGAACGAACGAACGATATCTCGTCTCCGCCCCCTCCAAACCCCGTTGTCGTGGTCTTTGTGAACCACCACCACCAGAGCTACCGAGCAGCCACCGAGAATATACTCCCCCCGCCACAGAGCTTTTCGAATAGAGCTCAACTCCATCATCTCGTCTTCAACGATGGCGTGACCTTTCGTTGCCAGAAATACATCGAGTCTCTCGACCAGGATTGAGCAATAAAGCCACTCCACTCCAGTCTTGTCCGTTTCATGTGGTTCGTGGTTCACCAATGCGAAACGAGGTCAAAGAAAACGCTGCTTTGAAATCTGCATCTCTGGCCGTGGTACCTTTCGACTCTCGATTTGCGACGTCCACCCAACATATCGAGGAAGTCGGTTAACCAGCTCTCACAGAGAAGGGGCAAGGGAATCGTGAAGCGTTGCAGTTGTGTGGACCCAGGCTTGTTCTGGATGGATTTCACAACCCTTTGCAGGTTTCCTGCACCTCATATTGATGTGACCTTGATAATAGCATGTGCCCTGCACACAAGGGTATACCCATAGTTGCACCTTTGGGATATGAGCTAGGCAAGAAACAAGACGATGAAGAATAAATCAAGCTTGCACAAGACAAACGGGCTCGGTGGCGCAGAAACAAGACATGTTCGAAGGATTTTCAAGTATTCTATCACAACAAATGGAAATATTGTTTTCCTTTTCGATTCCTTTCTGATCGAGCAAGAGCCCATGACTCTCGCTCCAATTTGTGTCTCGGGGTTCATTCCATGGCATGCCGTGGTGTCGCAAAAGCACGGCATGTCCATTCCGGACCTTCAGCCCCTAGAAAGCAATGGGCTCACACAGAAAACAAACGCCTGTAACACCATGCATGCTGTGGTTCAAGTCCCTCGATCGCTCCCTTTAAGAAGTATTCCTCGCCGCAACCCGATCCTTATACGGCGAGCAAAGTTGTTCATCTCAAGTTGCTCATTCGTTGTCATCGTTTGATTCATCATGTGGTTGTCTTGGCCTGTTCGCTCACATCTCAATCTCCAAAGAGTCTATTGTCGACGTCTGTTCCTCCGCCTGTTGTCCCTCTAGAAATGGAGAGCAAGAGCGAGCACTCAGGCCGTATCCGTTGACTGCGTCTGCTCATTGGCCTTTTGCAAACTCTTCTCCAGCTCCTTGACCCGTGCTCTCAATGCCTCGTTCTCGCGCTTCACGGCCTCAAGTTCCGCTCGCTGCAATGCCGCCTCTTCGTACCTGGCTTGCGCAATAGCTGCATTGGAGCTTGGAGAGCGTGTCATTGCGGCATGAGGGACCCCAGACGAGCCGTCAATTGTCGACGACACAGAGCTGCGATGCGGATATGCGTATCCTCCCTGGGTCAAATGTGGGGAAGAAGTAATGGAACTAGATCGAAACCCCGTCGCAGAGGTCGAGTTCTGTCGACTCATATCCGGCCTGCTCATTTCCATGCTGGGCCGCGCGCTGGCTTGGACGCTCTGGTCTCGTGGGGCTGCCACGCCAGAGACGCTGGTGTTGGCAGCATTGGAGAGACTCTCACGGATTGAACGAGCCGAACGAGTAGAGAGGTTCGAGGAGGAACGGTGACGTCGGGTGTTCGTGGGGATGATTGTGGTTCCCGTTGTAGTTGTATTGTACGGGTCATTGGCAAACAGCTGCTCGGAGGTGGACGAGGTGGTAGAGGCAACAGAGGCAGTTTGGGCTCGTAACGCAGAGAGTTCTCGAGTTAGTCGATTGACCTGATAGCCGTCTATTGTCAGTGCCTTCTCTTGTAGGCCATTTCTCTCCGCCAGCGGCAAGTGCTTACAATGCTCTCTTGTTCTTTTTCAAGTTCCAGGTGTAACTCGGCCGCCGTGAGAGGTCTGGGATGTCGGATAGGACCTAATTCCATTCTCAGTCAACCACCGTCGTTTGGTTGGGGGAAGCGGGGGAAGGGTGATACTACTGACCTGGGCCTAAACCGACACCTGTATTGTCCATCATCGCCACCTGTGCTGGCCTGGGTGAGCTGGGAAGGCTGTTGTTCTGAGGCAGCGGTGGAGGTAGCATTTGTGTCGAAGTTCTCCTTGACGCAGGTACGGATGGTTGTTGCGTGGCGACAGAACTCGTCCCCGAAGCCTGGGAATTTGAACCACCCCGTGGTGATCTGGAGAACGAGTTGAGGTCGGGCATCTTCGATTCAGATGAGAAGAGAGCACTGCAATGACTTGTGAAGATGGGTGTCGGAGAGAACAGAATGTCTTCTCCCAGTCAGTTTTACAGGTCGCCCATCAGAAGCAGGACAAGCAGCCGGTTGGATGCGGTCAATGGGTGAATTTAGTTTTGTAGGGCGAACTTAGAAGCTAGGGGAGTCTGCAATGACATTTCCTCTATAAACAGGGCGAGCACTGAACAGACAGCACAGGACGTGGGCAGGAATGAGTGGTCTCGACTCTTGACCAAAGGGCCCACGAAGCAGGTCTCGGATCCTCCTTGCGCAAGTTGAAACCATGAGGTCGCGTCGCCTTGGGCCAATCACAATCCACCGCCAGAGCACCTTCAACGCCCTTGTTCCAAGATTGTGAAGTTGCAAACCCCAAAAAGGGAAAATTGTAGTGTGTGTAATGAGCACGGGAACCGTGCTTGAACATCTGTCAAATGTCTATATCTTGACCATGGATTCATTGGAGTTCATCCCACCCCCATCATTGCTTTGCCACTGCCCCTTGCATACCTTTCACTGTCCATTTCCGAGAACGAGTTGATGGCGACGCGAGCGTCAACCGACCTTTGTGATATGACCTCCAAAATCCAATAAACATTCTATCATTCCGTGCGCGCTGTTGAGGGCCATCGAGTCGCCTTCATTGCCATTTGTCTTCAGGCTACCGCCAAATGCACATGACCGATCGCAGCAGAACTCTAGCACATTTGCCTGGTGCAATTTGCGCCCCAGCTACCGTGGGGAGCCTGCCAACAACACACCATCACGCTTTAAACATGTGATACTCTGGTTGGTGGCTCATCAACGAGCTTCCCGTTTGTCGCCACCGGTTCTGCATCGCTGTCCCGCCTTGGGGACGAATCTGAAGATGCAGGAAGGTCTGAGTCGTCATGATCCCAGCTCTCCCCAACCTTCCGAGGCGCCTTTTCTGGCGAGTCCTCCCGAGACTTTGGCGAATGGTCTCTAGGAGCATTTTCGACATGAGCGCTGTCACTGTCTTTCTCATCTTCCCCAATCATGGCGGCGAGACTTCTGAAATTGAACATTGGCTCCAGACTTCCTGGCGGAGGGGTCCCGGAGCCCGAAAATGAAGCCGCAGGACCTGGCTCGACAAATGAAGACGATGTGGATGAGGCAGTGGACATCTGCCGCAGATGAGATCGTCGGAATGGTTCAGCCGCGGTCGGGATAGGAATGGAACTCGCCAAGGACTCTTGACTGGTCCCAGACAGCGACAGAGCTGGAATATAAGATGGTCGCGGAGCCTCATCCTCCGCCTTTCCCCCATCCACAGGCGGGGTATCACTCCGCTCTACTCCCTTGCCCTTGCTGGTAGCAGAGTCATCGTCTTGGCCGAGAGAGAGATTGCTTCGAGATCTTTCCATCTGGCTGCTGGATGCGTCCCCGTTACTACCGTTGGAATTAAGGGTGAACAGACTGTTCTTCCGCGCCGCTTTCTCAGCCTTCTTTGTCTCCTTTTCTTTCTTCTTCGCTTCTTTGCGTGCTTCTTTCTCCTCTTTCTTGCGGCGTTCTTCTTCGGAGGCCAGGCTTAGGCGGATAGCCTCCATCATCATCATGTCTTCCAGGTCGTCCATGCGACTTCGTCGGGAACTGCTGCCGCGTGGTGGTGGCAACATGGAGCCTGCGCGGGATTCTCCAGTCGCCTCCTGTTGCCGCGCTGCATGTCTCTCCGCCAGGATCGCAAGTGCACTCAAATTCGAACTTGGTCCATTCTCTCCCCCTTCTAGGGTTGACCGTCTCAACATTCCGCGGCGGCTGAATGCTGCAAAGGCACGCGAGTCTGCTCCCTGCCCATTCATCAGATATGCGGCTGTATGTAACGCCGTAGCTGCTGCAGATCGTCGCGCAGCATGAGCCCGAGCAGCCGCCAGCTTGGTTGCCCAATCAGGGCGTATCTTGTCTGTGGTTATGACTTCGGGGGCATTTGCAGACAAAGAAGTCCCTCGTCTCCGACCGGGACCCGGAGAGAGGTTGCCTGAAGAGATTGATGTCTGAGAAGACATGGCAGACATGACCTGATAGGGTTGAGACCCAGTTCCATAGGTAAGCCCTCTCCGGAAGGGAGGCGGCGTGTACGTGATACCGAAATCGGGGGTTTTACAATATGGACAGGTTGCAATCTCAGAGACAAGTAGACCATCGGCCTGTGCCTCACGCTCAGCGTCTGAGACAGGTGGCGCATTCGGATCCGGTTGTTCATGTTCGGGTGGATGAGGATCAGGCCGCTTGATCTGAACAAAACATTCCGAACAGATAGGCTGCTCGCAACACCTAGTGGTGTTGAGGTAAGGTGGATAGTATAGAAAACATATCGGGCATTCGGATGCGTCCTTGTACAGGTAGACTTCGATTGGCTGTCCATTGACGAAAGGGTCCGGTGGCAGCTGGAATTCTCGTGGAGTCATATCTACTTGGGAATTGCCTCGGGACGAGGTCGCTAGAGACGCCAGCGTTTTGGCACGCGTTCGAAAGGTGCTGGTCCCTGGTGAGCCGGACGGGAGTGGCGAGGAGGGCGAGGGAAGTGGTAAAGAATTGGGAGGTGGTGACAGCGGCGCGGAACTATCTGACTGAAAGGACTGTGATCTTCCTCCAATGGGGATCGTAAGGCTTTTCAGTGCAGACTCTTTTGTCCTGTCTGTAGTGATCCTCTTCGCAAGCTGGTATTCAAGCTCAGGAGGCACTTCATCTGCTGGGGGAATAGGCATGCCGCGAGCGGCAGCCATGAGTTGATGCTCTGCCCATGAATCCGAGTAATCGTTCAGCCCTCTCCAGAAAGGAGCAAGCCGTCGCTCGATCTGTACCGCGTCAGTTACCTTCACGAGAGTAGCCGTGACATAATGCCCTACCATGAACTGTCTAACGATTGCTTTGTTGAAGTCTTCCGTACCCACGTAGACGCCTTGGGTCACTAGATATCCCCCATCAACATGCTCTTCTTTCATACTGCGCTCCCGCTCCTTGAGTCTGGCTGCTCTCTCCTTTTCTGCCTTTCGAGCTTCTCTCTCCACCTTGGTCTCGCGTCGCTGCTCAAGTGAATTGGCAATCTGATCACTGCTTCCACCAATGCCGAGGAAGGAAAAGTCGGGTCGGCTGCCTCTTCGTTGGCGGGAGTGCGCGGGCCCAACGGGCACTTCCAAGTTGGTTTGTTGTCCATCTTGTCGTGGAGTCGGGCTCGTCCTGCCACTGACCCGCGAGCCAGAGGAGCCGTGGCCACGTGCTTCCTTTGTCTGAGAATTGCCCATGGTGGAAGTATTTCTGGATCAACAAGCAACCTCCTGCTACTGGGAAACACCAATCTGTTCAGTCATCGCCACATTTTAGATGTGTCCAGCGGATCCGGCGTCAACCACGAACGGCTTTTGAGTCGAAATAAGATTTCGTTTGTTTTCGAATGCAGTGGTCTGTACAGGTCTTTCCGAAGGGCTAGGATACGGTTCGGATGTTGCGGAGCGTTCGGCCAGGTATATGAGACCCAAGTCGAGTCTGAGAATGATGGGCAAACAACGTCGTGGAGTGAGGAAGCTGATGTAAATCAAGGTCGTTGGGTGATCAGTGACCTCGCAAAACAACCATGTGAGATGAAATAAACTGGGACATAGTGCATGCACGTGGTAAGATATGCCGTGCAGTAGTGAAATCGCAGGGCAAGGAAGACCAGACCAATTTTCCCCAGGGATGGCGAAGTTCGCTGCAGTAAAGGTCACGTTAATGTACCTTGGTCTTGTTGTGACGCAGGGTGCTTAGAAGAGGAAGCAGGACGATGCACGGGAAGTGCGAGCACAGAGGGGAACACGTACGAGCTGGATAATGGTGAAATGTCAGGGCTCAAAGGGTCGGGGCACTTAGCATCCGAGCAGCTACGATAACGATACGGAGGGCGATCTTCTGGGTGGCTGCCAGGGCTGCCCACCTATCTGCCACCTAAAAGTATTATTATTATGATGACACCAGTGAGGCTTTCCCTAAATCTGCAATTCATTAGTGGTGGCTCAAGCCTCGGGTCCCCCCCGCATCACTTAGGACCTTCAAGCTTTGGCGTCCCCCCTGTACCTCCGTCAGTGCCGCTTCGTGCTGTTCCCACCGCAGTCTGTGCCTGAACAAATTCAAGCTTTGGCTTGATTCGTTTGGGGTAGGGGTCCCTCCGAAGCACATTCCCCTCAAAAATCCCATTCAGCTGGTGCCCAGGGCGTCAATCTCGTAGCGCTTGCGTTGGATACTTTCTCTTGCGAGCGCGTGCTGTTTGGACTGCGCCATGGTCTCTGAATTTGTGCGACTACATGTAACGCCCTTAAATCCCGATCTTCTTCAAGCTGTTGTTGGTCCACATCTCCTCGATTCGGTCGCCAATTTGTCTTATCACTCGATCCAGACTTTCCCAGAGAACGACTACGGCTATTTTGATCTTCCTGCCATGGAAGCCGACAAACTAAAGAAGAAGTTGAACGGAGCAATCTTGAAGGGCAGGAAGATTAGAGTGGAAGATGCTCGGCCACAGAAACGCAGGCGCATCGAGGAGTCGGACAAAGACGAAGAACCCAGCGTGAAGCCTGAGCGAAGGAAGCCGAAGAAATCCAAAGAGCACAATGTTATTTCGGGCCATGAACTTCCCGTGGACCGCAAAGTGAAACGCGGCTGGACCGAAGCGAAGTCCACCAAGTCAAGCAAAAAGAACAAGAGCAAGGCATCCACGTCTAGCTCCAAATATACCGACAAAGTCGAGGCGCTTTTTCGTACGAAGCTCCCTCCCAACAAACTCGACAATTTAGTGGCAGGGAAGAAGGAAAAGGGCAGGTCGAAGAAGAAAAGCACTGAACAAGTAGTGCACGAGTTTGAGAAGTCCACAATGCAACCTTCCTTCATCAGACAGGATATTGGGCTCGGCATCAAGGGAAATCTACAGTACGTTGAAGGTGAGGGCTGGGTCGATGAACAAGGACATGTGATTGAGAAGGAACCTGAGCGCGTCTCCAAGCGTCGCCAGACAACCAGGCAACAAGCCCAGGTGGACGACAAAGCTAACAAGAGACGGCGACAGTCTTCTGAATCGTCGTCATTGTCACCCTCCTCCTCCTCTTCTAGCGAAGGCACTGATGAAGTCGAGATGAATGCTAGCTCTCCCGACAAGGACCAAATGGAGGACACGAGCAGTTCAGGTTCTTCTTCCGACTCAGAATCTGACAAAGAGACGAGCTCCAGTGCCTCAGCTCATGGCACTTCGGAGGCAGAAACACAGTCAGGACTACATCCACTAGAGGCTCTCTTCAAGAAGCCAAAAGGGCCTATCTCGGAGGACGTTGCAAAGCCATCGTTGGAAATCTCAACGTCATTCTCGTTCTTTGAATCGAGCGATCCTGAAGATCTCGCAGAAGAGCCTGTCGTCCCATTGACACCGTTCAGCTCTCAGGACATCCGCTATCGTGGACTACGAAGCGCCGCTCCAACGCCCGATACCGCACATCCTAGTCGATTTAATAGTTACGGCAGTACTGGACTACCTGGAGACGAGGCACCACAAGAGGAAGACGAAGAGGAAGCTGACGATGCCGAGTTGGGGGCTAGTCTTGGGTCGAAGGAACAAACCAAGGAGGGAACATCCCGATCCCAGAGTGATTTTGAGAAAAAGTTCTGGGAGAATCGAGCCGAAAACAATCGGTCTTGGAAGCTGCGACGCAGGACAGTGCTTAAGGAGAAGAGGCAGCGAGAGAACAAGGCGCGGAGACCCAGGAACTGGTAGGTCTACCTCGTATACAGGTCCTATTCAGGTGGCTTGGGGTCTGCCTGCAGCGTCTTCAGCTTCTTCAGCTCCTCTTGTGAATTAATTACTGTTTGCTGAGTCAGAAACACGTGGCCACTTGGCAAGTCACGTAGTCGAACCACAATTTTTCTCCAACAGCATCATTTGCTGCAATTCTGGAGCCTGATCTGATCTTCGGGGATTCCGTTCCCGCTCACATCCATTGACTCCTGCTTGTTCCCCCAATCGCTCTTTTTTTTTGTTCTGTTACTACTATAACACTATCGTCGTACATCTATATCCTGCGCCCATCTAGACAGGCCCCCCTTCCATAATAGTAAGCAAATGGCTTATGCATGACATTGCGATTAAACAATTATCCCCCTCCGTCAGCTCGACCGTCGCGAACTCGATGTTGTTGTTGTTGTCATGACTGGCGACAGAAAAACACCCAGCCACGGTCTGAACTGCTGTTGGGAATCCGCTGTATCCCATGCCGCCCAAAAACCAGCGACGTTCGCATACAAAGTCGAAGAATGGGTGCAGTCAATGCAAGGTCCGGCGGATCAAGGTCAGCATGTTCGAACAAGACACTTCGCCAGAGGACATGAGATGCTGATGCTCGCTTTACAGTGTAATGAAGTGCACCCGGTGTGCAACAACTGCGAACGTCGCCAAATCTACTGCGACTTTTCGGCCACGCCCGATAGCAGCAAATCCCCCAGCACCGCGACACCCGATATCCGAAGGCAAGGGAGTCAAGCGGGGTCGATCAGTTGTTCGCAGCGAACGCCTACACAGCCAATAGTCGATCCGTTTCAACAGCCTGATCTGGTCAGCACCAAAAAGAGCACTGATCTTGACGTGACTGACCTTCGGTTGATGCATCATTTCACCAGTGTGGTCGCGCTCGACCTGGCCAATGCCAACACTCCCGAAGCACGGGCATTGTGGCAGGTTCATGCGGTTAAGCTGGGCCTGAAGCACGAGTTTCTTCTCCGAGGCATTCTAGCTGTTTCAGCTTTCCACCTTGCCCATATTTCTCCTGATCGGAAGGCCGAGTATGAGTTGATCGGGACGACGCATCAAAGCCTTGGTTTGACCGAGTTCCAAGAAACATTGGCCCGAGTCGACGAAACTAACTGCCAGGCACTCTTTGCCTTCTCTTGCCTGCTGATCGTGCTCGCGTTTGCCTCCAGTGCAAAAGACAAACCCGAAGACTTTACGCATGATGTGCTACATTGGTTCTATCTATTGAGGGGCGCAAACATTGTGCTGAATCTGCACCATGACACAATCCGATCCAGCTTTCTGAAGCCGCTGCTAGACGAAATGGCACACATGGACAATATTGCCGCCTACAGATTTCCGGATACCGATCAGATCACTAAATTATTTCGGGTTTGCAGTTCCTCTGACCACGACAAAGAGACGGCGCAAGCTATCGACCTGGCGATTCACTCGCTTCTCAGCACTTTTATCCAAGCTTCGTTACTGAAAACCCGGGGCGATGGCACTGTTCTAGCAACGTTCGTGTGGCCGATCAACCTCCCCCCCAAGTTTCTTGATCTTCTGGCAGAGAAGCAGCCGGAGGCCATGGTCATTCTTGCACACTATTGTGTTCTCATATACTGGGGAGAGACCCACCATGAGGACAACTGGTTCATCAAGGGATGGGCCAAGTACATGCTCGAGACGGTAAAGGAATCGATCCCGGATACGTGGCAGGAACAGCTTGACTGGCCAACCATGATGATCACGAAAGAACACGGTTCGCCCAGTATCGACGCAGCGCCCTTGGCCGGAAGTCGAACGTTGGGCTGAAACTCGATTCCCGTCTCATCAGTTATCGATGGCCAATATGCGATGCGGTCCACTGACGAATTAATGTATAACGCAATCTTTGTACACTAGGACACAAAAGGAGGAAATGGTAGTCCACCATGATGTTGGTGTCGTGCTGCGGTTTTGTTTGCGGGAGATGGTGATGGTGATCCATTGGGCGGCGCCAGGACGAGTTTTCTGTTTTGGGCATTGACGAGGGCCCAATATATTGGACGATACACAGGGTTGTATTCGGTATAACCAGGCGGACAATGAGGACTTGGGTTGGTATATTCAAAAGAAGGTTCAGAGGCAAACTTCACTGGTTGGAATTTGGAGGAATCGTGCACAAAAATAGTCATGTCGGCCAGGGAGGACATGTCGGAAGTAGAACGGTAACAGCAAGCATGCCACAAGAAGCTCATCTATGTACAACTCCTCTAGATGATTGTTCGTATGAAGCACCATCAAGCCCAAGGAGGTTGATCAAGGAGATAGCCGGATTGATACGGATAAAGGTTATGCCGAGCCCGTGACTGAAACTGCGCCATGCCAATTGTGACTCTCCAGTCTCTGCTTGTATCTTCTCCTTCAACCTCCTTTCATCCCCGACATACTGCGTTCGATAATGTCTTCAGTCTCGCCGTTCTTCTGCGCATGTGCGTCGAAGCATCAATGCAAGAGAAGCTGACCTCTCGAGGGCCTCTCAATGCGAAAAATAAGGCGGGATTCTGGTACGGACAAAGATCGAGGACACGCACCCTCGGTGGAGCAAGTCTGAAACGCCTGTGTATCCTGATGCGCCCCCTTGCGACCATGAGCTTCAACCACAACCAACCGAACCCTCCTGACACAAACTCGAGTCTCCCTAGACCTGCGTCGTGTGTTTTCCTCTTTATCTGTCGCGTTGTGCGTTTCAATTGACTTTGCTCTCTTTTCTTCGACTATCCGTACATTCACTTGGTCCGTTTTCTAGAGCTTCATTTATTCCTCCTGCTCGACTAGATCGACAGCGTCCTTCGAGCAGGTCTCGCCCTTTCCTTTCGACACTCTTTACATTTACCGCAGAAGAACAGATTTACATTACCGCCTGACATTCCTCGAGACTTGAAGAATCCACAGCGACAGCGATGGCGAACAAAATCCTCCTAGTCTTTATCGTCTTCGACGTCATTTTCCTCCTCTGCGCCGGCCTCCATCTCTTCATCCCACTGTACACCCGCATGAACATCAAGCATAACAACAATGTCAACAATATTGCGTCCAACCTCTTGCTCGACAATTGCCCACTGACAGGTAGTCCCCCCCTGCGTATCTGGATTCCCCAAGTATCTTTGACTAACTATGGACTGCAACAGTGAGCATAGTCAACTCCGTCATCATGTTGATCGCCTTCCTCCTCTCTGTTCCCGCCTTTTTCATGCGGCGCAACCGCACCTTTTTGAAATTCCATGCCTGGGGAGTGGTGGTTGCTGCCGTCCTCACCCTGGCCATCGGTCTGGACATCTGGTTCTCCACCCTCCAAACCAAGAAGAACCTCGCTCCCATCTGGAACGCCCAAGCACCCGCCACTCAGACCATGCTACAGAGCAAATTCCAATGCTGTGGGTACAGCAATCCCGCGCTGTTCGTCAAAGACCAGACTTGTACCAGTGCAGCCACGGCGGCAAGGCTGGGCCCTTGCATGACCCCCTTTGGCACCTTTGCGAATCGATTCCTGGACGTCGTCTTCACCACATTCTTTGGATTTGTCGCTGTCGATATGATGCTCCTGTTGGCTGCGTTGTGTTTGATCAAGGATCGAAAGGAGAAGGAACGATACAGGCTGATCGATGAGAAGAGAGGATTTGGACCTATCTAAAGGCAACGCATTGGGACGATTGGTATACGAGTAAGAAAGAGGTGCGTGGACCTCCCGAGACCTGCAAAGGGCTAGGGAAGAACGGAGAGAAGTGGGAACAGGGGACCTCAATACATTCTTTCCCGGGGTCATGAGAACGAAGGTGGGGAGGTGGGATGGCCATGAAATTCTGAAATTCTGTGTGTACTACATACCAGCGCTGCTGGAAAGGACTTTTGTGACCACATTGGAGGGGTGAACTATGGCAAGCAAAGCAAAACCCTGAACACTCACTATTGACAGTTGACAATTGGGAGATATTGCAGGCGATGATAGCGGGGGTATGGGGGGCCTGTTTTATATATATAACCATTCAATACCTTGACATTTTAGATAACGACCAAACATGACGAATTGGATAGAATTCCAAGATTTCTGCTTTCCCTTTTCGAGAACCTCCCTTGATTACATACCTACCTAGGTAGGTAGGTATCTTGAACGAGGTTCTGCCTGGCATGCATACTCGTGGTAAAGTTTTGGGTTTTATTCACACTTTTAAGAGGGGGGAAGGGGGAAGAATCGTCGACATCATCACTATTAATTACCATCATCAACATCCCACCATTTCTGGGCGCTGGCAGAGTTCCCTGCCCTGCAGGACAGGACACAGTCAAACAGGCAAAGACAAAGACAGGCTCTTTCTACCTAGGACCCATCATTACGTATTGTCTAACTGGTAACTTCCCTGTCTCTCCTCGGACGGATCTTATAGCCTCTTCTCCCGGATAAGCAAGGGAGGTCAGGTCGGCTGTGAACGAGGAAGCCAGAAATCGAGGATCACTACCAGCTGGTTTACTCCGAATCCGCGCGCAACGTGTCGAAAACAGGGAGATAAGTCGTCTGAAATGACGGCACACATCTGACAAGGTCTGCGAGGAAATACTGGTACGGCGGACCTGCACCCGGAGCCACACCACACACGCATTCAATCAATACCTGCATTCATCGACGACAAAACACTGGCCAAGGCCATGGCGTGGGCGCTCGTGTCTCCCTCATCGAGAGGGATTGGCTTCGCCTTGACCCGTCACCTGCTTCGCACGTTGCCTGCGAGTGTGCCCATTGTTGCGACGGCTCGTACAGACCTGGCCGGCGTCAAGGAGCGGCTTCTCTCCTCGCTGGAATTGTCCGGACCACAAACATCACGCCTCGACGTGCAGGAGTGCGATGTACTGTCCGAAGCTTCAATATCCAGGTTAGCTCGGTACTGCAAGGATCGATACCATGACAAACCCAACGAAAAGAACGCTCATCTTCGCATGGGACTGCTGGTGCCTGGCATGTTAAGGCCCGAAAAGGCACCAGATAAGATTGAATATGACTCGGCGCTGGAGACACTCAAGCTCAACTTGCTCGCCCCCATGATGCTAGTGAAACATTTCGCGGTCTTTCTCCCACGGAAGTCAACGAACACGCTGGGGGACGACGGATTACCCAAACTGGCTATACTGGCACTTATGAGTGCCAGAGTCGGATCGATTACGGATAATCGATTAGGAGGATGGTATAGCTATCGGGCGTCCAAGGCTGGAGTCAATCAACTGGTCAAATCCACGGACATTTTTCTGTCAATGCAGAACAGCCACAGGGCTATGTGCATCGGCCTGCATCCAGGAACGGTCAAGACCAGTTTAAGCAAGGACTTTTGGAACAGTACACCCCCAGAAAAGCTGTTCAGCCCCGAGTTCAGTGCACAGAGGCTGATCGACGTCGTCGCCGGGTTGGAGGAAAGTAGCCGGGGGAAATGCTGGGACTGGAACGGCGAGGAGATTCCACCTTGATGGTGTATGAGGTGCTGTACCGAGAACAAGATTCCCATGATGGTGTGCTGATGAATAAGTCAAGTGGAACGAGGCTGTTGTGGGTCGGCCATTCCATTTCATATGAGAAACTCGTATGTACATTTGTACCTCGTACTCTGGAGGGATCCTCTGGTAACGCCTCTGCAGTTCTCTGGGCTTTCTGCTATTCGCTGGCGGATTCGGACACGAGCTCGACTGGGATGGTACGAGTCATGACAGCAAACGCCGGCAACACCGGTGCACTCCGATATAAGGGAGGAAGTGGATGGGATTTGTGCGGATATGAGAACCCTCCTCGTAGACGCCCAAGCCACGCGGGTCGATGTCATTGACTCTCTAATATGCGAGCTTACTGTGTTTTTCCGTCATATCCAACGTATCCCATGGCATCCCAATGGCTATACTGGTAGGAAACGGATGTGTGTGGGAAGGAGTGGAAGCTGGAGAGGGACGGAACTTGTGGTGACCAGCTAGTGACGGGGTGGTGGCGGTGATGAATCAGCTGGGCCACTAGGAAGGTCGCGACGGTGTTGCTAATCTCAGAGCTAACAGCTTCTGAGGATCGCGCTAGTAAGGGAGCAGGGCACCGCAGGCAAGTTGTGAGTGGATGAGTTGAGTTTTTGGGGGGGGGGGGGGGTGGTGGGAGGGAGAAAATAGAGATAGACAGAGGGGAGATGGACCGTTAGCGGTGGATAGCAATATTGTGTTATTAGGGAATGAATTTCCTCTGAAACAGGAATGGCAGCAGATGAAATCAAAAGGGAAAATAACAAATCCATGGGACAAGAAGCTGTTTTGGGTGTTGGCGGGAGCCGGGGTATATTTTCCTTGTTCGACGAGAAAGAATTCTCGAAGACCTTCATCTACCCATGAGCTGGTGACTCGTGGTTGCTTGTGGTGCTTGTGGTCACTCTGGTGAGCACTTGTGCGATAAGTTGCGTAGTTGCATGGTGGTCAGTCAGCTACCGAGACGCAGGAGTCAAACTAGCATGTCGGCCTAGTTGGAAATGGCTTCTTGGGTGGGTTTCCAGCCCAGACTGAGCCAGTGACACCCGCCGAATAGCGATAGCCTATAGCCACTACGGGCATCAACTGGGGCACCCCCAAAAGGCTTACGATGTTGTACGATAGGGAGTAGGGAGCCCGGCCAGGGACCTAAGGACCCAGACAAGTCGGGGAAAGAATGATCCGCTCTGGGCCTGGTCCAATCATGGTCCAGGCGTGCCCGTAGCTGCCAGAGATGCTTGGGTGGCAGAGGGTGGCAGTGGGTGGTCCCCAAGTGGCCCCCAAGGTGGTCTTCTGTCTACAAAAGGCAGGCAGCTGCCGCTATGCCCTTTCCGACTCCCTTTCCTCTCTCGTCCATCCTCCATTCTGCCACCGTCCACTGTCCTGTCGCTGTGTGTCTCACGGGGCGCCCATCCTTCCCAAAGGTCTTTTCCAAGCCGTTGTTCGACGAGATCCAGACACCAGAGAGATCTGACGCTGTACGCTGTGCGCAAACAGTGCTGTGCTGTGCAGCTTGTTGCTTTGATCTGCGTGTCCCGGGGCGACCATTGAATTCCTAGCAGCCCAGCAATCCAGCCTCGAACTCGCCTAGCCACCAAAATACCATCCATCCGACCTCGACTTCAATAGATCAACTCGACTGATCAACCACCGGAACGTCAACATTCGTATCCAAATCTGACTTGACTCTCGACGCCTATCGCCTGGCTTCTGGCTGAAAAAGGTACGTGTGTCTTCTTATGGTATTCGCCTCTCTTTTTGAGTTGTTTCGTTTTTTCCTGTTCTATCCACAAGGCGAGGATCATCCTTTTCGACCATCCCGTATTGAGCACAGTATATCCACGACAAAGCTCTTCCGTGAACGCGATCGAAGGGGGGCTCTCACAATCCCGCGTCGGTATTTCGTGACAGCCGAGCCTTGTCGATCATGGTCATGATATGGCCATGCTCACTCTCGTTGTCAAAACCAACATGGGAGAGTCTGCTTCCCGGTTCATGGGTGGCTGGCGATGATTTTTCCTGGCAAAGACCAAAGCCCAGAGAAACGGGAAATCCACTTGCCCACCCACAATGCCCCGGGCCAGACTCGAATTGCCAAAGAGAAAAGACTGCAAAAGTGGAGACTTTGGGTGAGCACGAGAACAAGAGAGCGACGAGAGTTGCTCCGGTTCACGGCCCCCAGGTTCCGTCTTGCACGTCGCCAAGACCCGCCCATCAAGTCCCCCCACTTCGGCGGTCACGGGCGGGCTACAGGCTCACTCGCTGAGTCGCTCACTGGTCCACCACCTTTTTTCCCACCGCTGCCACCAGAGAGTCTCAGACCACCTTTTCCCTTCCACCCACCGACCGCACATTCACCCACCTGAACCCTGCACCTACCTGCACCTGCACCGCCCACCTGCCTCACCTACCTTACCTACACAATACCACCGAGGCCCCCAAAAGCTAGCCCAGCCTACTCCATTTTGCCGTCCTTTGGTTCTGCCGAAAGACTCCGCCCCTCTTTTTTCCTTCCACCCTTCCCCCCCCCCCTTTGTCTTCGTTTCCTTCTTCAGAACCTCCCGAAGCTCCCTCCTTCTCACACACCAAACCGTTTTCTATCCAGATCTCAGCCCATACAGAAAGTGGTTACTTCTCTGTATTCCCAAACCCACTTCTTTATCCCTTTACAGTCTGATTGTTGCACATCCGCCCTTCTGCCCACAAAGCTTGACCCTCGTCTTCTCCCTTACCAGTTACCTGCCGTTTGCCCCGGATTTGCCTGCCGCGGTACCTGCGCTGCCGCACCCCGTGCCCCAGCACTTGGGCCGAGTACGTGTCTGTGATATCGCACCTATACCAACCTGTCTGTCCAATCCATGTCACTTCTTCTGTCACTGCTGCCCAGAGTCTTATCATTGTTCACTCGGTCCAATTCACTAACACTCGATTTCACCTTCAGTCGCGTCCCCAGTCACGGCCTCTGCCTGAGATCCAATCAACCGCACCACTTCTTAAAAGGTATTCTATCCGTCCACCGACTTCCTCTTTCGTCTATTGACACTTTACTTCTTTAGGGTAGACATAACCATCCTCGATCCATTCCATACGATCCCATCATGGCGGACATCACCGATCCCACTGCCAGCCTTGAGCATCCTTCTCCCGGCGATGATCTTGCCGGCAATGGCGTCGACTCCCGAGGCACCAAGCGACCAAGAGCGTCCATGGCTGGGGAGGATGACGATGACGATGACGAGAAGGGTGGCCGAGAACGCAGAAAGATTGAGATCAAGTTCATCCAGGATAAATCGCGTCGCCACATCACCTTCTCCAAGAGAAAGGCCGGTATCATGAAGAAGGTCAGACACATCCCACACCACAAGAACTTATTACCAGGAACTGGTATTGATTGATTCTTTAGGCTTACGAACTGTCGGTGCTCACCGGCACTCAAGTTCTCTTGCTGGTCGTGTCAGAGACTGGGCTCGTGTACACGTTCACTACTCCTAAACTGCAACCCCTCGTCACCAAGGCCGAAGGAAAGAATCTCATCCAGGTATGTCTTTCTATCTGAAATCCCATTGTGAGTTGGTGCTGACATGCGCTTTAGGCGTGCTTGAACGCTCCTGAACCCTCCGGCAACGAGAATGGTGTCGACGCCGCTGACGATGTCGCCTCACCTGACGATGTCCCATCCATGCCTCCTGCTGCTGCGGGCGTACCTCGACCTGCCCCCCATGCTGGATATGGCATGACTCCCGAACAACAACAGCAAGCCCTGTACTACCAACAACTGCAACAGCAGAACCAGAGCGGCCAGTATGGCGGCATGCCACAGATGCCTCAACATCAACGCGCATAGTAACCATGAGACACACCACCTCCCACATATTGATACCCCCCATCCTACGAAAACGGGTCGGCTCTCGTGCGGTCATTGACCATTCTGACACATAAGCCTCGCTCGTTGTCAATGGCAGTCTGATATCAGCTGAGAGGCGGCTCTCTAAATGGCTCTCGACTGATTGACTGGCGTCTTGAAATTTTGCGCAAATCAACATCGACACTGGAGTTTTCGCATGATGTGCTTCCAGGGTGATTTCTCTTAAAAAAGGTCCAGTATTTCTCACACGCAATTGTATGAGACAGTATCTTGAAGAATGGTTGCGGGATGCATGGTGGGCAAAGACTGGAAATTCGAGGAAATCCACTCCTAGTGTGCAGTCATGAATCGTGTGTTATGCTTTACAGGCAGAGAACAATGTCAAAGCAGATTCAATCTGTGGTCAAGTCCTCTGTTTGCTATTACCCGGCATCGTGTTCCAGGTAGCTAGCTTCATTTCACTGTTTCAATCCATGAAGGCAAAAGTGGCTATGATGATAATCCAACTTCTTTACCAGTGATTCTTATTTGCGCTCGTTACAATTTGCTTGGGACCCATCTTGGAGCCCGCTTCTCTACAAAGGCGCGGACGCCCTCGTGGATGTTCTCTCCGTCGTGAAGTCTCGTCGAATAAATGTCGATGGTGGTCTGGGTGGCATGTTCGGCGCTCCCATCGTCCCAACCTTGGACAATACCCGCGCGGGTGATGATGACGCTGTCGGGGCTGTTGTTGCAGATCTCGGCGGCATATTCCAGGGCCTTCTTGACGACGGGCCTGTCGAGGATGTCGGCGTCGACGGGGGCGTTGTCGGTCACGGCATTGACGATGCCCCATTCCCTCGCCTCGGCGGCCGAGACGGTGCGTCCGGTCAGGGCCATCTCCATGGCCCTCGGCCTGCCGACGGTCCTCACGAGTCTAGGCAGGGCGCCGCCGAGGGCGACAACCCCGCGCTTGACCTCGGGGAGGGCGAACGTGGCAGATTTGGCCGCGACGACCAAGTCCATGTTGGCGACCATCTCCATGCCACCGCCAAAAGCGAGGCCGTTGACCGCACCGATGACGGGCTTCTTGCCCGCGCGGCGGCTCACGGCCCCGAACCCGCTGTTGGGCAGGACGCGCTCGCCGCCCTGGCGGCCCTCGGCGCGCCGCGCGTTCGAGTCGTTCCACTCCTTGAGGTCGGCGCCCGCGCAGAACGCCCGCCCCTGGCCCGTCACGACGCAGCACCGCAGCGACCCTTCGCCGTCGTACCACTCCAGCAGGTGGTGCAGGGCCCAGTGCACCGCGATCGACAGGCAGTTGAGCCCGCGCGGGTTGTTGAGCACCACCACCAGCACCGACGGCTGCGGGAAGAGCAGGACGACCTTTTCCGGCAGCGGTGGAGGCGGCTTGCTCAGCGTCGAGGGGTACGATGACATCTTTTGCTTTTACGGATAAGTTTCTTCTGTTGTTTTTTTCCGGGAGGGTGAGAGAGGTGTGTGGGAAGGGTTGGTTCTCTTTCTCTCGCTCCCTGCTTATTTCAATAGCTTTTTAGCTTATCTGCTAATCTGATTTTTTTTTCTGTGTCTTTTTTTTCACTTGTTTTTCAAGGGTCAAGGGTGAGTTGGTGCCGAGGATGTATGGATCCGGTCGATAGTGGTAGGTAGGTAGGTAGGTAGGTCGATAGGTCGACAGGGTAGTTTGATCGATCAAATCGATAGGCAGGGATGTATCGAATATGTACCCAGGCAGGCAAGTAAAATGTCCTTCGTGCTGGTACGGTTTGTGTTGTAGGTAATTATATACCGAATTATACCGAACACTGAATATCCAGCAATTTCTCGTGCGGGGATGCTTGTTGTCCTCGTTCCCTATTCTCTCTGTCGAGAGTCCCTTCTCGGACTTTTTCCCTCTCTTTCCTTTGTAGGTCGGGGGAGAAGAAAAAACCTCGTCTAGACTGAGGAGGAGGAGAAGTCTACCGAGTACTTGTATGACAGATAGATGGATGATAACCTATGTACTCCGTACAGTACCTACACATCTGCGGAGTTCATCCCCCGGAGCGGGTGAGTTGGGTGGGGAGGTCCGAGTACTTGTCAGGGACATGGGCTCGATGGGAACTAGCAAGACTAGGTAGTGTGGAGAATAGCTCTTGCGAGTTAGCCGAGGTACAAACTACATCTTCCATCCTGCAGTGGAAGTACATATGTACATGCTCCATACTAGTGCGATACACTCCCAAAGGCCAACATATCCAAGTACATGAGTATGAGGCACATGGACAAGGACACAAGTACATAACATGTTATATCCCGTGGAGCTGGCCCGTCCGGTGGGTGACCCTGTGACCTAGGACTTGGGACCTAGGGCCTGTCTATTCCTTCCACACCTTGATACAACGCATCTACAGAAACAGGCTCTGCTATTTCGATACCTGCGTGCCCTCCTTGAGCGTTTGGCTTCAGCCCCCGAGAACTTTGAGACGGCCCATCTATCCCGACCAAACCGTGGATGTGCATTCTAAATCACATCCCCTGCTGCCCTTCTCTTCTCTTGCACCATTTTGAAGACCTCCCCTGCCCACAGTCCCTCCTCGTCATCTTTCAAATCCACGAAGCCTTCCGGGTCTGGTAGAATCGCCACGGCCCGTCCATGCAAGCTCTCATCAACCGCAAACCGACCCGCCACGTCAACCACGGTTTCAATGTCCACATAGGTAAACCCTTTTCCCGGTTCCATTCCTGCCGCGGCAAACGTATCCAGTGCGTTCTCGACCATCGGCGTGCGCATGAAGTAGGGTGCGAGACAATTTGTGCGGACATTAAGGCGTGGCGTCTCGTGGCGTAGACCACGGAAAAGACCACGAACGCCGACTGCAGAGAAATGTTGACGTCAATACCTGAAATCTTTGGGAAAGTCTCGGCTTTCGTTGTGCCCCGATCTGTGTTCTGTCTCTTTGCTCCCCCAGAACGAAAAGGACGGTCCTTACACTTGGAAGCATGATAGTCTGCAAAATTCCCGACGTCCGTGTACGCAACAGTCGAACTCACAAAAATGAGCGACTTGGAGAACTTTTCTGCCTCCAACTGTTCACGAGGCTGGCGTGGTTCAACCGTCATATACCACAGAGCCAGATACGCACAGTTGTACATCCCAAGAAGATTGACATCCAAAGCTGAATGGCGTAGCTCAGGCGGAGTGAGACATCTCTTGGATTTGGCGTCTAGGACTTTGTCAACAAGACTACCCGCCTCGCCGATGACGCCCGCAATCAAAGCTGTAACATCAATGGTCCCGTTTGGTGACTTCTGAAGTGCGTGATCAAAAGCTTTCACAGAGCTGACATAATCTGTCACATCGCAGCGGACGAACATTGCAGAGAGGCCTTGCACCTGAAGATCCGCGACCGCACTGGTGCCATCCTCGATATTGAGGTCTGCAATGGTAATGTGGGCGCCTGCATGAGCGAAACGTTTGGCCATGGCAAGCCCTAATCCTGAAGCCCCGCCTGCAGATGTGTTGATGGCATATCAGCACAACCAATGTCAGAGTGCAAAGAGCTTCAGAAGGAGTGTCCCTTTCAGCCCGCTTGAGGAGTTGAACCGAACCACCCACCTAAAATCATAATAGATCGGCCTCGAAGGGAGGAGAGGTCAACCTTGTCAGACATTTTGGTTCAAAAGGCAGTCAACGGGATCTGTTCTGGTGGCAGAAAACAAACGCAATCGAGCTACACTTGTCGCCGTTTCTTTTTCAAGCAAAACGTCCCTGACGAGGTTCGGGAAGTCACCATGATTCAAAAGGAGGGGCAGAGGGGTTGTGTAACCTGCGAGGTTCGAGGCGTAATGAGACCAGAAAACTAGACTCTGAAGCGTGGCTTCCCAGCGAGTTTGTTGAACAGCCTCACTTCGGTTCAGATCAAAATTGTTTGATGCTTCTATCTGAAGCGTCAGGCTGTCTCTCCAGGAGTTTCAAGGTTGGACAATTGGAATGCATCCCTGCTATCCTCTTTGCCGCCCAGGGATGGAGTTGAGGTAGCAGTTTCTCATAGCAGACATCTAACGATGAGGATCGTTGATTCTTCCCATCCCTCGACCAAGATATATGGCAATGTCCTTGCTCTTCTGTTCTGGGCCGCCTTCCATGTAGTCAATTTTTGTGGGTATTCCCTTCTCGTCCTTCTCGTCCTTCTCGTCCTTCTCGTCCCTTTTCAAAGCCCTAGGTCCTTCATTCTGATGCCCTTGCGCTGCCGGTCAACGCCTATTCCTGCCCGCACCGTAGTCTCCCTTCGCCCGTTGCAGGGAATCGAGGACAATCGGAAACATCGACGCGAGAGGGACATTCGTGAATCAAGGGCAAGTCGTAATATGTGAGGCTCCGCAACTGCGGCTAACGTGGTCCTTAGCCTGCCTAGTGCAACTTGAACTGTTGGACCCTGGTGGCCCTTGAGAAACTCATGACGCAGGTTCTAAACCACGTTGCAACCTGCGATCAGCGATCGAACATGCCCGATTCTCGATCCTCCATCCTCGATCCGCTTGCTCAAAGCGGCTCGGAGCTTGCCGACTTCACCAGCTCCGCGCCCTCAGCCTTGCAGCGATCCTGGTGAAGCCGTACCGCGCTCGGAGTATATACTCGGTACATACAGATCCGCCAATGGTTGGCGGTGCTCTGGGGGGGTTTATTAGGTTGATGACACGTCGGTATGTCCCCTTGCTAACTGATAAATCGTGCGGTCGAGGAAAACCCCTGGCCTTTCGCGGTGTCTCGTACAAAGGCAATATTAGAAAACAACATTCTTGGTGTCTCCATATAACCGGGAGACTCTGGAACCCCAACGCTAATACTCATTGCTTATCAAGGCGAATCAGTCCCTTGACCTCTGGAAACGTACCCAGAATACTTTCACCGATGCTCCAGTTCTGGTAATTGGTGACATGATCCACAAAGTCTTGTGAGAGCACGAGGCGACGGCGGTGTTCATCCCACCTTACGGCTTCATCCATCCCGCGATCCCAATTCACGCTGAGAGGGGCTGCAGGTAATGCCGTCATCCAGTCTCTCAGATTCTTGATTAGAGCTTCACGCAACGGCGGTAGAGGTAAGAAGTCAAGAGCAATATGATGTGGTACTAAGTATTGGATTGGACGCGGTTTGAGAATGGCCGGAATGGCAGCATAAGAGTCTGCAGTGGGAACAAGCATCCAGCGCATGACTGCGGTATATGCCAGGATCTGCGCAAGTCGGACGTACACGTCCCAGTCGTGGAAGCTTCGCCATACCTGGAGCATATTACAGTCAGCCATTGGGGGAGCGATTTAGTATTCGGCTGCCGTGAGGATCTCACCTCGCACGCCCATCCGCTGACGGTAAAGTCATCCTCCTCATTACGGTCACGGAAGAACAACTCCACGTCGATCAAGTCCGAACCAAGCACTCCAGACGGGGAGGCACCATATGAAAGCAGGGTCTTCGCATTATCCATGAATCCAGTGATGATGTCGCTCAGTGGGGTGTTCTCCTGCATGACTAGCGTTCGGACGCCATAGAGCTGGGATACCCGATCATGCAGGGAACGCCGTGCATTGTGGCCTTGGGCATCGATCCCCGGTACAAATGGGGTGATCCCAGTATCTGCAGCCTCACCGGCATGTGCGTGTTGGGCTACCAGCTGGTATGAAGCATCCGTTTGATGTGTCTCTTCAGGCTGAGTATCTGTCGGGTCTCCACTAGAATGGGCTGTCTGGGACTCTAAAGTGCGCAGGGCGAAATGCCAACCCCGTCTATTGTGCTGCAAGTTGGGAGCGTTGTTTTGTGGTCTCGAAGATGATGCAATCGAGTCTGAAGGTACCTCTTCGTAGATGTGGTGAGCAGTGCCACTGTGGACACCGGATTGTCGAGGGAATTGTTCCTCTGCAACTGGCTGCACTGGCTGCTCGTGGGCGCCCTCTGGAGGACTAAGTACGCTAGAAGGTGTAAGAGGAGGTTGGTCGTACGATGAATAGAAGGCGCTCTTGAGTTGATCGCCTGGCTGGATTCCATCCTCGCCACCGTCATGGCTTATTGGGGTGCTGATGGTCTCGAGGAGTTCTCTGCCGTGTGTACGCATCCCAAGATAGACCATATCGTCCAAGTCCTCCGGCGCCGACTCCTCGACAGACGTTGCGTCTTGCAGCTGTGATTGCAAGTCGTCTGGCAATCCATCAGCCCCGCTTGTGGCAGTCTCGCCATCGTCGAGTTGCCGGAGACACTCCTGAATTGTGACGAAGATGTCATCGGCTGGATCATTCTCGCGGATCGACCTGATGACGGCGTCGACCTGTGAGCTCGAGCGAAATCGGACCGCCTGAAGTAGAGTCGTGAGAAGGCGATTCTGGGAAAGCAGGGCTTCGCGGTCTTCACGATGCACGGCTCGTCGGCCGTCGAGCGAAGGGTCGAATGTACATTCGATGCCGCTTTGCAAGCACAGCTTGCATGGCGCCGGGAGGCCGCTGCACTGTATTTTGCCAGGTCTTGTCTCAGTCTCGGGCCTTCGGCAACATGGCTATCATAAGGCGCGGTCAAGGAGATTTCTCACCTACCTTGGATCTCCGCCGTTTGCAGGCTTCGCAAGCGGTGCCCACGCGGGTGATTTTATTGCGGCTCAGCCTCTCGGCGCGAGCGGACCTGTTGGAAGTGGTGGCATTGCTGTTGTTGCCACTGCCCGGAAGCAGTGACTGCAAATGTCTTCGATCCATAAAGATCGCCTCAAGCTTGTTGTGTGTAGACAGAGATCGGAGGAATAGCCAGCCCCCCAGGACTTCAACCACCCCACCGCATATTTTTCAAGTATTCAGCAACCAAGTTCTCGCTGTGTGCATGCGAAAAAGGCCACAACAAAGTCGGGGCTGGAGCCGGTGACAAGACTCAGCCACGGGAAATTTTTCCCTCAGATACAAGCGTGGAGGACGATCGTTAAGGTGGCATTGCTTCAAAGTGCTGCCCCTCGCATCAACATCATTGGTGCGAGGGCCATAACGTGTGACGGCGATTCGACAAAGTGGTTGCCGAGACTAGAGAGGGAGCGAAGGGGGGGGAGAACGGAGGCATTCTTTTTGTCGTTTCGGCTGGATCATCCGTCTGGCTCTTTCGGCTCAGTGGTTAGGGGAGGGAGTCTGCGGGTCGATCTCTTGGAATTCTGGGTGTGATTCGAGATTCCTTTAGTAGTACGAATTACCTTTAGAGTTACAACGATGCAGATCTGGACAGCTAAACACTTCAGACTTCTCGAGGCAAGCGGCATCAAGCCAATCACGACGCTGAAACGGCTGTAATTATACAATTCCGGCCGCCTTTGATTCGCTCCATCTGAGCCTCTCATTCTCGCTCCGATGGGCTGTCAAGACTCAGGGTTGCCTATCTGCCTAAGCTTCAGCAAGGGTCAGCAAGCCTGTATCACCCCCGATCTTGCTTTGCGCGGGGTTTTATCCAACCGGTCACCATTCATCATAATAGGGCCTACACCTTACACTCCCCGCTTCTTTGTGGTGGAGAAAAGACAAAATAATATTAACTATTACAATTACTCGAATAGAAACCGGATGACGTGCCAAAGCGTGGGTTGCCTTTTAGGCCCCGCGTCGGCACCACGGCTGGCTCTAACGGAAACGAGACTCCGTAATGATAATGAACTTCTTTTCTCCGTGGCGCAACGAGGCGATTCAAGCAGAACCTTGAACGGGGCAGGAATGACTCGAAAGGCACAGTTGGTCCCCTGGTCCGATACGCTACGACCAAAAGGGAGCTCTGCTGAATGGATCCACAAGGCTCCAAAGATCGGAATATTCATGGCGCTGTTCGTACGAAGTCTATCTGAGAAGTGTGCTTTTCAAACTCTCCATAAAAGCGGAAGGACCATCCCTTCCCGTCTCCGTGAAACCCGCCGACACCTCTCGCATATCTCATGACAATGAACCGCATCGGCGGCAAGAGGGACACCTGCAAAGACTTTACTTCTTCTCGTTCTGGACAATCTTGACCTTCTCCAAGATCTTGGGGTAGAGAGGGTGGCTTGGCTCAAGACCAGTGAGCTTGGTGGTTGCTTCCTCAGGACTCAGGGTGCTCATGATGTGTGCCAATTCCTTGCTCTCCTCGTCACCTTCAACATTCTGGAACCGAAGAGCCATTTCCACACCACGGACCAGGGCAGTCACATCGTAGCCGCGTTCGGCCAGCTGAGCGGCGGGGCCAATGAAGCGTTCTTTGCGACCAAGCTTTCGGAGGGGCGCACGACCGACACGGACGGGAACATCTTCAAGATGTGGGTTGGAGATGCGTGCAACAATGGTTTCGACATACTGCTGTTGCTCTTCTGGAGTGATGCCATGTTTGCCGCTGATGAGATGTGCAGTCTCTTCCAAAGCCTCGTGAACCTCCTGTCGGATCTCGGGATCTGCCATGGCTTCATGGATGGTCTTGATGCCCTTGTAGTAGGCGAAGTATGCGGCAGTGGCGTGGCTGGTGTTCACAGTGAAGAGCTTACGCTCGATGTATGGCTCGAGGTCATCGACCCAGTGAATGCCTTTGACATCTGGATGGCCGGACTTGAATCCAGTAGTCTCAACGCACCACTCGTAGAAGCTCTCGATGACCACGTCGAGGTTGGCATGTGGAGGCTGGGTTGGGACGATTCTGTCAATAGCAGAATTGCCAAATTCGGCCTTGGAGGAAAGATCTTTGAGCACCTCGGGCTTCATGTTCTTCTCGTCGGTGATCAAAGCCTTGAGGGCATCGGTGGCATTGATCATGTTCTCACAAGCAATGACGGCAAGAGGCTTGGACTTTGTGCGTGCCGCAATGCCATCAGCAATCGGCTTCGCAATGAACTTGAGGACGTTGGGTCCGACAGCACAGGTGACAATATCAGCGTTGGCGATTTCCTTCACCACATCGTCCATGTTGTACTTTGAGTTGAGTGCCCGGTAGTTTGTAATGACCTTGCTCTTCTCGCCCTCTTCACCGACTTCAGTGATCTTGTACGACTTGGAGGCATTGATTCGGTTGATGAGGTCGTCGACGACATCGACGAAGATGACTTCATAGCCGGTCTCATGGAGCAGCTCTGCGATGAAACCACGGCCGATGTTACCACCGCCAAAGTGGACTGCTGTGCCAACCATAGTGGATGGGGAGATGTGTGAGATGTGGGAAAGAGGTCAGAGGTACTGTAGAAGTTTTGCTGCCCAAAGTCAGTGAGTTCGCTGGCCAAAACTGGTGCGGTAATGGTGGCACCGCTCTCCGTTGGTTTGTTACGTACATATCTCGTCTGCAACTATGCCTCTCCGAGAGACTGAGGCAAATGAATAGGGATTTCGATGAACAGCAAGGGGAATAAAAGTGCTTGGAAGGAGAAAAAAGCTAGGGCAGAAGAAAGTCGGCGGTGTCAGAGATATATTATGGGCGTTGGAAGCGGTCAACAAGAAATTGGAACAAGTGGGATGCGAGAGGTGAGGCACTTGAGACTAGTAATTGTACCTTCAACGAGCTAAAGCTTCATGCCCCGCGTGTCAGTGCGTCACTGGGAGGTGAAAGAGCGACCATCCAACCGCACCTAATTGGTTCGGGGCGCCACCACTGGTACAGAAGCCCTCCCAACGCGGGCTCTAATGGGGGTCTGTAAATAAAGGGCGTCGATTTGGGGGCCTTGGGGGGGGGGGGCCACTCTCACAACCACCTCATTACGTCATATCTTTACTTGTTGTCGCATTCCTCCCGCAAGGGTAGAAGAAAGGTGTGTAGTACATACATAGCTTTGTGCAACATTCTGAATAATACTGCGACCCCTAATCTTCAGATATTATCCAATTCTAGCCTGTGCGCCACTGTGAAATCTACAAGTCGTGCGCCATGGTAGCCAGGCTTGCCGTCATTCCAATCTTCATGTCGTAATCTGTACATTGGGCCTATTCCAATATCAATATCCGCCTTTCTCGCCGTATCGCCTGGTGTTTCGTCGTCCCACACAACATTGCACAATAGACACAAATGATGCCAGCAGCATGACTGCCGTGGCCGCCCATGTCATTCCAAGGAATTTCCCGCCTTTGGATGAAGCAATGCCGATCTCATCTGTGTATTTGTTGATTCGGTTGGTTGCAATGACCATCACAGCCGTTGCTACAGCGGAGGCAACCCCAAGGGTGATAAAGGCAACCTGCAAAGATCATGGTTAATCAAGGTTGGCTTCATCTTGGAAGGGAAGAGAACTTACCACGTCCACCAACCAGTTGAAGAAGGCTGACAGTCGGCCATTGGTAAATATGCCAGCGGCGGCAGTGAACATTGCAATGCCTGACAAGACAATCCCGATGATGTAGAAGATCACCATGACCCGGCTGACAATCTTGATAGTGTTCTCAGCATCTGTTATGTCACTTGGCCAGTGGATATCATCCAAGGTGATTCCAGCCGGCAAATGGTCCTGGACAATCTTGGTAGGCTCAAAGTGAAAGCCCAAGGTCGACTTTGAGCATTCAGTCACATTTTGTCTTGGGTTGGGCGCAGTGGAATTGGGCGAATAGACGCCTTGACAGTAATCGGTGACATGGACATTGAAGAAGTCTGGGAGACCAAGGAGTGAAGCAATGTCAGTGGCTGCATCGCCGATGATGTCGTTAATGCCCTCCTGAATGGTGCTGCTCAGGCCAGAGAGCAGCCCGCTGTCGCCACTGGAGGTGTCAAACAGACTGCCATGACCAAGCCGGGAGATGTTGAGCTTTGAGCAGTCAGCATATAATACATCCATAAATCCTGCGAGCAGATATACGTACTGTCAATATCTCAGTATCTTGCAAAAATGTCCTTTTGTCGCCGGCAAGTAGACATAGGATCGAAAGAACGAAAGCTGCGATGGCACATGCCAGGGTGAGCAGGGAAGACAACCGCATCTTGAAAGAATAGGATGAATCTGTGTAGAAGAACGAATGGAATTCTAGAAAAACAACAGACTCTTAAAAGGCCCTGGTAGCAGAAATACTAGGACCTTGTACTGAGCACGAGGTTGAGGTTGACGTTTGCAGTGATGGAGCAGCGCAAGTAACCGATCAGGGCAGTGCTGATTGACGCGGTTAAATGGTAGGATGACCCGTCTCGTCGTTTGCTCTCAGCCCTCTACTTGTATGTCGGGATGCGTCAACCAAGAAGCCATGACAACAGAGTTTCTGGTCGGTGTTGGTCAGAAATCTGGCTGGGAGTGGTGAGAAAACAGGGTATCGCCGTCTAGCAAGATTCCACCATGTCCCACAATGGCAACAATGATCGGTTGGAGCAGGTCTCGGAGCCAGAGCAACGCCAGGCACCCTAAGGGCTCCTAAAGGCTCCTAAGGGCCTCACCGGGCCTCCCAAAGGCCCCTAGATTGGATCGGGCATCCCCAGCCACTTCCCGTGGTCTTTGTTTGGACGCCATGAGGACCACCTAGAGCCCTAAGGCTGCGGTGTGGGGCTCCGATTGGCGCCTCAGCCACCCTGAGATCGTCGCCCGCCAAATCCTCCAGTAACGTCATGCAGAACCAGGGCGCTTTGAAACATCGCGTCCTGTTGCAAACTGCGTAATCTAGTACTGGGCACAGGCTTTTGACTTGTCGGCCACGCGCATTGGGCTAACCTCATGTGAAGAGGTTTAGAAACGACTTTTCTGGAAGGCTCACTGAAGAATTCGTAGCCTGTCTGCTCATACTGCTTGGCTGGCCCTGCTCCATTACCCCATCTGCCACCAAAGCATTGGGTGTGCCACTCCGTCTTACGAGGCGCAAGCGCACAAAGCAAATACACCAGATAGATCTTATTACGCGTCACAGCGCAGAAAGTCTTCCCCCAAGAAACTAGACACAAGCGTGAGAGTGGCTGCGGTCACGTGGACTGGAAGAATTTTGGCGACTTCAACGCACATTGAGGCTGAGGGAACACGTATGAGCACGCGTGCCACACCCCATCGCCAGACATATCCAGAAGCCACATTAACATATGTCTCATACCAGCTTCTTCTCCACGGGTTCAGCAGATGCACCAGTTCCTCCTTGGCATCCGCGGTGGCTTTGTGGCTTTGAGGAGAGGTGCCCGAATTCGACGCATGACCAAAAGCATGGTGCTGATTTTCCAATGGCAGGTTTGAACGTCTAGCTCGCACAATAACAATAGATCATCTGGTACTGATGGTGATCGGACGCTCTCCAAGTATGAACCTCTCCTTCGACCTGAGGAGCAGCATCACACTAGCCAATGTGGTTATCAGAGCCGTTAAAGGAGGCTGAAACTCCTCGTTGGTAGAGGTGGTTATGGCCGAGCTTCAGGTTTGCCAAATCCATTCAAATGTGCAAGCAAAGGGCAAGTCGTGGCAGCCGAGCAGCATTCAATCGGACTGTCCAGATCCTGGTTGTAAATCCTGGGTCTCTTGTCGTAGTTCTTTGATGGCGGTCTAAAAGGCAGTTAGTCTCCGCCTTATTGTGGACCAGTCTGAGACCTCGACTCACAGCTAAAGCCTCAGGATTAACACCATTTTCAATGAGAGACACGCAAAGTGACAATTGTGTGCGATCGAGCTGCGTATTCTGCCTTTATTGTCAGAGGAATGCACACGAGGATCGTGCGTGATCACTGACGAGGAGGATTGAGATCTCTTCGAGAATATCAACAACTTCTCGAGCCTTTTCCCGTTTATCAGAAGTCGCAGGCATGATGAACCCTGATCCAGAATGACGGCAGCCGAGATTCGAGATCTAATATCTCAGCTATTCGAATCTTGGTGGAAGCAGTGGACAGATGTTGAGGGGGTTTGTTCGAAACGCGTCTCCCGAGTCCTAGTTGGACTCAGTGCATTTGAGTTGCTGCTTTAGTAAGAAAGTGACTTGACCAAGAACCTAGAGCAGACGAGGTAAAATGGCCATGTCTTTTTGATCCAAATAGTATTAGCGTGCTTGGCTATCTGACCGACTTCCACAGACTTCACAGTTTGTACCAGGCACAAGTAGTACGCGACTCTTCTTCAGTCAATAAGTCCTTGTGTTCCAGGATGCTTGCTGCAACCATCAATGCAACTTCGGGCTGTGATGGAACTGCAGCCTCTCATTCGGCCATGCCCAGCAAGGCTGCAAGAAGTCAAAGGGGCGATCCCTCGTGCCGAACTAATCCTCTTTTCCGTAACCTCCGACAACTCCATCGCTCTATTGTTCCACGTATTTCACATGAAATAGAGACTCTGGAACGCAAGGTATTTACTTCTCGTGAAGCGTTCCCATTTAACGACAAGCTTCTTCACCAGCGCAACATGGAAGTGATTGTCGGTCTTACGGACCAAGCAGGAAATCCCTCTGTTGTGGCGGCCTACGCTGTTGTGGTGAAATGGAACCACCGACTACTTCTACACAAAATTTGCGTGGCACCGGCCGCAAGAGGCCAGGGCATAGGTGGACTATTGATGCTGAAGATCATTGAAGACTCGAAACGGTGGTCCTGTCGCGCAATCGATCTTTGGGTCGACGAAGCGAATCAGGTCGCTAGGGGCCTCTATTCTAAGTGCGGCTTCGTCGTGCAAGAAACGATCAACGACTACTATTCACCTGGTAAGAATGGGGTCAAGATGGTCCGAGCTTTGCAGCCTTGATGCGGAAGACTTTCTTGGACAGAGGACTTTCCACATTCTCACCCAAGGTATCCCTTGCAGACGCCTTCAATTCTCTTACACCCTCACCCAACCCCTTGGGAATATCATAAATTGCACGCGACCGCGCCATATCGCGTCAACCGTGTCTAGACCTGCGATGGAAATCGTCTTCTGTGCAACTGGTCTTTGACAACATTTAGCCAGCAGCCTCGGGTTGCCCTATTGCGGCATGATTTCAGACTTCCAGTCGAGCCACTTGAATGTATCTCACAGAAAACAGTAAGCCACTGTTGGCGTTTTGGCTCACCGTGTTTGTCGATCTCATCGCAGCCACCCCGGAACTCGCTTTCCCGCTCAATTCTCAAGTTCCACCAGTTGCATACGTATCGCAACCATACAACTTTGTATTTTCTGCCGATACTTTCACCTCGAACGCTCCCCAGATCTCCTACACAATCACACACGGCCCAAAGTGGCTCGATCTTGACGGCCCTTCTCGGCTGTTCCAGGGTGTCCCAGACAGCAGCGATGTAGGCACGACAACTTTGCAACTGGTCGCTTCAGACCCTACGGGAGATTTATCAACGAGCATTACACTTGTTGTGCTCGAATCTCCTACTCTAACACTCGGAACACCTCTGTTGCCTCAGCTAGAGGAAAGCGGCCTCATTTCCCCACCAGATTCATTACTTGCGCAACCACAGCAGCCATTTCGAGTTTCCTTTGAAAGGCATACCTTCACTGGCGCCACGCCCGATACAAGATACTACGCAGTTTCGGCCGGCAATGCCCCTTTGCCTCCGTGGGTGCAGTTCGATGAAGATCAGCTCGAATTCTCTGGCACGACTCCTGCGTTGGTATCCTCATTAGCTGGGTCTCAAACGTACGGCTTGAGACTTATTGCCTCGAATGTACCTGGGTTTGCGGAATTGGCCATTGACTTTCAACTTGTTATTAGCCGGAGGATACTGGCATTTTCAGCCGCCACGCAAATTGCTAACATCTCAACTGGTACTCGATTCCAAACTTTGCCACTCCGGCCACTGATCACACTCAACGGGGCTCCCGTCACTGACGATCAGATTGACAGCATAGAGGCGGATGTCCCAGCTTGGGCAGAGCTGGATCGAAAGGAATTGTCTTTAAGTGGTACCCCTGATGGTTCTGTCAGCACTACTATCACTATCACGGTCACAGATATCTATCATGATGTTGCGAATGCAACCATCTTTCTCGAGAATACTGGAAGTTCAAGTGTTTCTCTTGGAGTTATAGGTGTCGTCAATGTAACAGCCGGGAATTACTTTTCATACAGTTGGACCTCTCCAGCCTCCTCTCCTTGGGTCCGAGCTGTCGCGATCCTCGGTAATGCATCAGCATGGCTTGATTTTAATGCTCAAACCTGGGCTCTCTCAGGGTCAGTGCCCCAAGATCTAGCCGCACAGACACTCAATGTTTCCATCATCTTTGCGAACGCATCAACCAATGCTACGGGAGACGTGATTATACAAGTCCTTCGGAAACCCTTCGCCACCGCAACGACACCAACGCATTCTACGCCGCAACCAACAGTTTCCAGAGCTAGTGACACGAGCAAAGCATCTGAGCGTGCAATGAGTTCTCCGCATGGCAACACATCCAACAACCATCTGCTACATATCGTACTGGCCTGTGTCTTTTCCGTTGTTGGAGTACTGCTTGCGGTTTCTCTGATTCTGTGTTGTCTAAGGAGAAGGAAGAAAAGAGGAAGTAACACTGCATCATTCGAAGAGGGCTCGGATCGTGCCAATGGGCATTCACATCAGCCATCTAATCAATCTGCACAAGATGCCGAAACCATTGCCCATCTACCCGATAACCCGGATATTAGCCCTCCAGATCTATCTACAACGAACCCTGCGCAGTCCACTGAGTGTTTGGAGAACTCTAGGCAGGGATTATCAAGCACAAAACGCCCACATCCCCTTACGCAGCATCGGACTACACAAGTCTTCACTCCTGGAAGAGTTTTGGCTCCCCAACTTGAAGCCATTGAAGAATTTGACAGGACGGCAAGTCCTGCCTTCGAATTCTTGCCGACCAACTCGAGGTTGTCACTGCCTTGGGTTCCAGCAATCCAGAGCAGATCATTGGCAGCAGGATTGCAGAGCCAACAAAGGAACTCGACCATCACTGCCCAGTCAAGCATGATGCCATCCATGGTGGGTTTGCCTGACAGAAAGAATGGCGCCGGACATGGTGGCGGCATTCTTATCCCCTCTGATTTCAATACAGATCAGACGTCCTGGCGGAACACCTGGGCCTCTAATCTATCGAATGACCGCAGAAGGACTACGCTGGTGTTGGATTCATTCCCGGCACCCCCGGTGGATGGAGCGACCACTGCTAGGACCGGTGTTCAGACAAAGAGTCCGGCTCCCTCTATGCGCATGGTCCCAGAAGATAGCAGTCAGCCTCTATCATTTGAGGAGCAGCGTCAAAGATGGCATACCGAACGGGCACGGGCTAGGTTAGAAGGGTCTGCAAGGTTTTCGAATGCAGGCTCGGCACGGCTGCTGGTGTCACCGCGATACAAGTGGGCTCGGAACACCGCAGCGCTGGCGGAGCGAAATCCACAAACACCAACACCAATGGCTAGAGAATCCAAGGCAATGGACGTCCACGATTTTCCCGAGCCCTCGTGGTCGATGTGGTCCGGCCTTGAGCATGAGGTCGACGAATCTGCTCAAGTCGGTGGTTTTATCTCCTCTTACAATGGCAACACGCCTGTGCTGAGGAAACAGCGCAGCATTGCGAGCAGTGGGCAGTTTGAATCGATCACTTCTTCAGACAGCTACTTGGAGGACAAATTCCCGTCAGCCGAGGAAACAGAACCGGATGCGCAACGAGGGCCGTCTAATCGCGGCTCGCAATCCTCACCACGGTTGCCTTTAAACCTCATCTCGCACTCACGAGAAAATGTGAGGAACCATGGGGGCGCAATGAAGAGATTTGAAGAGGGCCGACGAGGGAGTTTCCGATTTGTATGATTGTTAGAGACGACGGATGCTGCAGTCAACCGTCTATCCAAAGTATGAAGCCTCTGCTAGGCAGCAGTGGGTAGATAGACGTAGTGACCGAAAACGTCGATGAGGCTGGGGCGCAGGAGGACGTTGATGTTCCTTTGTAAGTGTATTTTAGGGTCGATACCTACAGGGGCTTGGCATTCCGGCACAAGGGGCTCTCAGGGTGCAGGTCTCATCGCCTTTCTTACTAAGGGAATTCGGTTGTAGTGGCACAGTGGGTGGGCTTCTTGAATCTATCGTCATTTACTCGCCCTGGCACCAACTGGCACCCAGATCCTCGTTCGTCAGAGTCGCCTGCCCACCTTTCAGATTTGAAATTATCCTTTTTCCCGTTCAAACTCACAAAGTCGCTGGTTTCTGACCGCGACATCCTGATCGCCGACGATAAGAGAGCGTCTTTCGGGGCATTCCTCAGACGCTACATATTTCCCTCAGGTTGCAGAGCCTGCGCCTCCTCCCGTTCCTGTCCTCCCTCTGCTGCCTTTCAACCTGCCTCAACCGCAGCCAGCTTATGCCATCGTGTGCGAGGAGTACATGAGCACCGTCACCTCCAATTCCAGTCCCAAGTTGAAGAACTACAAGCATGGGTCAGACTCTGTCAGAGCCAGTTGTGGAAAAGGTGTGCCACAGATGATACATTTTGCCCCATGTTTGCTCAGCGAGAAACCTTTCGCGCCTGCGCGTGATCCAGAGCCCGAAGACCGCCAGGCCCGCTTCTGGCTGAGTTTTTTTTTTTTGGCTCTTCTCCTTCAGTCGTCTAAAGTGCTTGAGCAAGGCAGCTAACACAAGTTGTGGTGACAGATATCCGATAGCGGTGCAGATGACTGTGTTTACTATGGCCTCTCGGCAATGCAAGGATGGCGTATAAGTATGGAAGACGCACACGCCGCAGTTCTCGACCTACAGCCCGAGGGAAGTGGCAAGTCCAAACAGCCCTCCCCGCCAGACAAGAGGTTATCGTATTTTGGTGTCTACGACGGGCATGGTGGGGAAAAAGTCGCGCAGTTTGCTGGAGAGAATATCCATAAAATTGTCGCAAAGCAAGATGCATTCTCCAAAGGAGACATTGAGCAAGCCTTAAAGGATGGGTTCCTCGCCACCGATCGTGCAATCCTCAATGGTATGGGTGGCCTCTCCCGCCAAACAACCGTTTCCGGATACTAAAGGATTATTCAGATGCTCGTTACGAAGATGAGGTCTCTGGATGTACTGCATCCGTCGGGATCATATCAAAAGACAAGATATGGGTGGTGCGTACAGCATGTTCCAATCACTTGATTCCCTGACTCACAAATGCCAGGCCAACGCAGGAGACTCTCGCACTGTCCTTGGAGTCAAGGGCAGAGCGAAGCCGCTATCCTACGATCACAAACCTCAGAACGAAGGTACACCACTCGATTGTATTGCCTTTGAGCCAAGCTAACTAGAGACAGGCGAGAAAGCCCGTATAAGTGCCGCTGGAGGCTTTGTGGACTTTGGTCGGGTCAATGGCAATCTCGCCCTGTCACGTGCCATAGGAGACTTCGAATTCAAGAAGAGCGCCGACCTCTCTCCCGAGCAGCAGATTGTCACAGCCTTTCCCGATGTGATCACACACGAAATCTCACCGGATGATGAGTTCTTGGTGATTGCTTGCGACGGTAGACCGCCCTGCTGAAATCCCTTGTGACCGTATTGAGTGTGGCTGATGATGAACCAGGAATATGGGACTGTCAATCCTCGCAGGCCGTGATCGAGTTTGTGCGAAGAGGCATTGCTGCCAAACAAGAGCTACAGCTCATTTGCGAGAACATGATGGACAACTGCCTCGCGTCCAACAGTGAGACTGGAGGTGTGGGGTGCGACAATATGACCATGATTGTTATCGGTCTGTTGAACGGCAAAAGCAAAGAGGAATGGTATGATATGATCAGTAAACGAGTGGCAGACGGAGATGGACCATGCGCGCCACCAGAGTACGGCAAGTCCAACCCTAATTTCCATGAGGCCAAATCTTGTCTAACAGTCCGCAGCTGAATTCCGTGGACCAGGTGTCCGACATCAATTTGATCACGACAGTCCAGACGAATACGAGCTTGATCTAGACCACCGATCTAGAGGGTTTGGGGGTCGGAGTGGTAGGATCATTTTGCTCGGGGATGGAACAGAGGTCCTGACCGATTCAGACGATGCGGAAATGTTCGATCAAAGCGAGGAAGATAAAGATGCGGCGAACCAGGTCAAGAAGGGCACTCCGGACACGTCGGATGTCGACTCTGCACGAAGCGAACGAGAAGGCACCCCAGCTCCCCAGTCGGCCGGTGACGGGACGAAGCCATCAAGTCAGCAGGATACCTTGGACAGCAGCAAAGACGCCGAGAACACAGGACCCGCGGATGACACGACCCAGAAGGCTGCTGTCTGAGAGCCAAGTATGAGAGCGAGACGAGAGCAAGACGAGAGCGAGAGCCAGAGCGAGACCAGACAAGGCAGATCCAGTTTCTTCCCAACGCAAGATACCCCTGCCGTCAGCGCATTGATGAAGAGTCCTAGCATGCATGCATGATACTGGTTTAGATCTACGTGGAAGAGCGTGCAGAAGGACCTTTATTGATGCGACCCAGTTCTGACACCGTCGCGCAACGAGACAGTGGCAGTGGGTACGATGGTAGATTGATGCCACTTTCTGTACCTCTTATCTATATACACCGTGTGGGAAGGGGCATTACCTTGAGTTCTATTGAGCGCTGCATCACAACCACCATTGATTCATCAACCGACATGTTTCCTGGCAGCAACTGGCCCAGTTACACCCTTGACCCAATGGCGCAGTTTAGGCCCAGTTTGTCCGTATTGAGCGTGTGCACCAGGTGTGTCATTAAAATGACGTTTTGACCAGCAGCTTCTCCCGTCATGACTGGTGGAGGGCGATAGTAGCGACAATTGCCAGGCACATGCCCACGCTCCTCATTTGCTTTCCCAACTTTCCCAACTTAGCCAACCTCTGACGGCATTGCCTAACAACAGGTTTTCTTTTTCTCCCCCTTCTTGTTCCCAGTGCATTAGACTTTACCTGTACTTGTTGCAACCTTGTCGAGGAGGGCCGAGGTTTCAACCCATAGCAGCGCCGTGCTAGTTGGGAACTTATCTTGAAAATTACCTGGACTATTATCACGCAACTCCAACCGTGCTTCTCACTTCTCGCTTCTCACAATCCCCGAAATTGTTTCTCACTGTGGAGCTTGGCAACTTGCTTGGAACTTTTGTCTCATGCTTCTTCGCCTCCCCAAGCCGACGGGGTCTCCTATTACTCTCTTTCCTGACATGAGACTGCGTGTATCAATTTGAACGTGGCCTGGAGTTCAGAACAATCCTCCCGACATGTCGTCGCCATCCTCTACGTCTTCCGTCAAGCGGAAAAGGACAGTCGCCCCAACCGATATCCAACAGCCATCGTCGCGCGACGCCTCAGGCGAAGAGCTGGCCGATGCGCCCTCAAACAATCCGCGAAACCGCAAACATGCCTCGAGTAATTCTATTGACAGCGCAGTGCCGCCCAGTAAGCGAGCTCGCACCCGGTCCATTGCCAAACCCGTCGAGTCCAATGGAGTGATGGAAAGAGATGGTGTCGATGAGGAAGACCCCGGCGAACCCTCAAGCACTACCGTGGATAGCCAGGAGATTGAGGAAACAAGCCGGAAAAGGCAAAGGACCGTCACAAGTGCAATGAAGAAGGCCATTGTCAACGAGGGCCGGGAGACAATGGAGGATGTACCAAAGGCAGGCATGAGAGATCCCGTTGGGGGATATAAGACCAATCCACCACCCGTGGGTAGGCCTGTCAGAGTCTATGCCGACGGAGTTTTTGACCTCTTTCACCTTGGGTAAGCCTCCTCACCCGTTTGCTCTGTAGACATGCAAGTGCTAACTTTCCCTGCGAAGACACATGCGCCAGCTTGAACAAGCCAAAACTGCGTTCCCAGACACCTATCTCATAGTCGGAGTTACGGGAGACGCCGAGACACACAAACGCAAAGGTCTGACCGTGCTCACCGGAGCAGAGAGAGCAGAGACGCTTCGCCACTGCAGATGGGTGGACGAAGTCATTCCCAACTGCCCATGGATTGTGACACCAGAGTTCCTGGAAAAGCATAAGATTGATTATGTAGCCCACGACGACGAGCCCTATGGCGCCGATGAAGGGGACGACATCTATGCACCTATCAAAAAGGAGGGCAAATTTCTCGTCACGCAGCGAACCGAGGGTGTCTCAACAACCGGAATCATCACGAAGATTGTCCGAGACTATGAAAAGTATATCGTTCGCCAGCTCAAGAGAGGCACTAGCCGACAGGAGCTGAACATTAGCTGGCTTAAGAAGAACGAACTTGATCTCAAGAGGCATATGCAAGAGCTGAGAGACAGCGTCAAGTCCAACTGGATCACAGCCGGAGGAGAGATCTCGCGGGATCTCCGTTCATTCTGGACCAACGCCAGCTCGAGACCCGCGAGTCCGGCTCCGTTTAACAGACAACTGAGCGATTCAGCTCTCAAGAGTCCCCTCAGCGGTGGCATGACTGCCGTCGAGCAATTGAAACAGTTAGAGAACGCCATTAACCCAGAGAAGCGAGGCGACTCTCCTGGCAGACTCAGTAGAAGCGAGGACTTTGCCGCCGGATATAGCTTGGGATTGATTGGAGGTGTCAAGTCATGGGTAAGCACAGACAAAGCGCGATCTCGTGCCTTCTTTGTTGCTGACATTGGTTTTTAAACAGATGATGCGAGGCAAACGGGCTCTTCGCGACAGCCAGGCGCCCAGTCCAGAAGGAAGCGAGGATGATGAAGCTAGAAGCCCTATCAGCAACGACGGAGAGAGTGACATATTCGGGTTAAAGACGCCTCCCCTGGGCTCAATCCGGGGGAGAAAGGGCAAGTACGCTAAGAGCGATACCGACGAGCCCAAGCGAGAGGCCATGGATGTGATGCATTGACTTGGGTAGTCAATCAGTTCACCGTCAGGGTTGGAGATTCGCGTGGATCGTCGCGGCCTCTACCCGTGCCTTCTTTTCAACAACGATCTCACACGCAACACTTTTATTGTTCGATAGGGCTGTAAGAGCAGGGTATGAAGACAACACAACAAAGCACCAGTGATGGCGTTTACATTCGTTAAGAGACTAAGCAAAAACAACCCCGGGAAAAGGGCGTGGTTTGTCGGTGAAGGAAACACGACGAAAAAGTTATATGCTTTTGCTTTTTGGCGGAATACACAGACAATAGCGTCTTTTAATTCTTGTATTCGACGCGAGAAAGGAAGTATCGGGTCGGAATGGGGAGGAGGATGGGTAATCAAAAGGACTTTCACTGCTAGACGGGGTTTATCTGGGACGACGCGCAGCTCTCTTTTGGAAAACATTGCTTGATTTCAATACTCCCCATCTCGCTCTATCCACTTTGTGCAGAGCCACCCCTCGGGGCAAGGGGATACAGTGAGAGAGTTCTTGTTTTTGTGTGCGTGAAAAATGGGTATTTGAACTCCCGAGTGATTTCTTTTTGTTCTTTCAAAAGTCATCCATCCCATCCTTTCATGCCGACTGAGTATTTCTCACACGTCAGACACAGCAAACCAGGGAAACGGCCCCGTGTGTGCGTTGTTGTGAGCAGGAGTGTGTGAGTGTGTCCTCTCTTCATCAATCTGCCTGGCAACATCAACATCCGCCTTCCCGTGGCCCCATCTGAAAGCTCTTGGGGACCACCACACCGGCGCGATTGGGACCACCGCCTCCCTTCCTTTATGCTTTATGATCGGGGCTTCTCCTTCTTCTCCTTCCACAGGGCGCTCAGGCCCACGCCGGAGACCTTGACGACCTTGAACCGGACACCGGGAATATCACCCTTGGCCTTGCCCTTGCGACCGAAACCGGCCAGGAGGACCTCGTCGTTCTCGTCCACAAAGTTGAGACAACCGTCGTTGGGCACTAGAGGTGGTAGTATCAATGGTCAGCAAAAACTTCCTCGAACAACCATTTCCTCTCTTTCTTTTGATACGAAACCCATTTTTCACATCATCTTTCATCTATCCCGTGTGGTCCGCCTCTTTTTGCAACAATAAAATCCCTTTCCTTGGTCCTCGACAGGGTAGATGCAAACATACCGAAAGCAGTGACCTTCTTCCCGTTCTTGATCAATTGCACCCTCACGCATTTCCGAATGGCCGAGTTGGGCTGCTTGGCTTCGACTCCGACCTTTTCCAGCACGATGCCTTTGGCGTGCGAGGATCCACCGAAGGGAGACGACTTGTAGGCAGTACCGAGGAGACGCTTCTTGTAGTGCAGATCGGCCCATCGACCCTCCTTGCGAGCGGCGACAAGTTTGCGCGCGGCGTTGAGACCACGGGGTTTGCCTCTGTTTGTCATTTCTGAGACGGGAAGATGAGTTAGCTTTCTAGGGATTCGTGGTCAAAATGCAGACGATTTGGGTTCTTCAGGTGCTGGGCTGGAGTGGAGGGGAAAGGCGCTATTGCAGAGATATTCTTTGTGCATCGTCGTGGTATCTGCAGTGATGGAGTGGTGTAGGGAATTGTACGTACTGGCTGATGTGACAAGCAGACAATCGATGAAACGGGTGAGGTGGTCGGGTGCTGAGAATCGTGGATCAAGCGACGATGATATTGAGAATTCGCAAGAAAGTTTGGTGCGCTTTGCCAAGAGTGAAAAGCGGTGAGAATGGGCAGAAATTCTGTACGGTGGAGTGAAGTTTCTCTCCTGCGCAGTTGTCCAATTCCCCACCTCGACTTTCAGCCTCGTGGTGCATGTTCTCGGCAGACCGTCCGTACCCAGTCTTATACTCGATATTTGGCTGATCCTTTTCATGTCAACTGAAATATAGCCTCCACAGTAGCGGCGAGGGCACGGCTCTCTGCCAATCATCCCCACACAGTCATGGCATCTAGCGCGGGAAAACCAGGACAACTTGAAGTGCCCTCTGCAACGCCGAGTGCTGAACGACCTAAGCTCACAACCACCACCACTCGAACGACCACGCACCGCCTTCCTCCTCCAGCCCTGTTCCAAGGCCCTCCGTCTAAGAATGCATCGCATATCTCCCTCGTTCTCCCGACTGATCGTCCTCCCGCTGAGGCCGAAGGAAGTGCCCAGCATGGGCAGCGAAAGATCATCCGTCCATCTCGAGTGCCTCCTGCTTCATCCTTCTCCGGCACCTCCCCCTCCCAGCTACGTCGCCCTACCGCAGGGACAGATGAGGATGATCAGCGCGCCGAGCAGCTCTGGGCAGAAATGCAAAGGACCCTTGCAGACGTAGAGATCTCGGCCATGAACACCTCCCACGTGTTTGGGTCATCTCATTTACGAGCATTGGAAGAGTTGCGGACTGCTCAACTGTCTCTTGCGCAGACATGGGCCAAGATAGAGGCGGATGAATCGCTGGACCATGACTTTGATATCGTCTCGCAGAAAGAGTCGAATCTGAGCGCAACGTTGGACAGCAAGACCTCTGCAACAGCGGCCACTCAACGACCAAAGGGGACAGGCCCTGGAACCGGCACGACGGCCTCGCCTGCGACAGGCAAGGATGGCGCGTCTCCCGACGGGAAGCCTAGCGCATTCACGAATGACAAGAACCTCGAAGAAGAAACAGAGCGTGACCTTCAACTCGCAAGGAAACGACGCGAGGCCAATGATCGTTACTTCTCGCAGGTCAACAAGGGCGTGCTGGACGTAGTGAGCAAACTCGACGAGGTCGCAGGTGCCATGAGACGAGTGGAAAGGGAGAGCAGAGAAATTTGGGACGAGTCGAGCGAGGACTCGGACGATGCCAACGAGACGGGAGGCAGTGATACCGAAGGAGAGGCCACGGACCGGACAGGCATGACGGACAGCCCTGTGCCGGTAAGGAAGGATGGCTGAACTCTGGTCATTTGAGTGCAGTCTGGAGAAGCTGAGATGCGACACGGGGCCGCATCATTTATCCGCTTTTAAGTTGTGACCAGGACAAGTCCAGAATGGGTTGGGGTTATGGCTTTCGTTTATCGGGTGACTTGACGACAAGCGCGGCCTCGAGTCGCACGAAGAGTGCAACGAAGATGCCGGAAAGAATGCAAAGCGAACCATGCACCACAACAGCGTGAGAGACTCGAAGTCCGCGTCCCGGCATGAACACCATACGCGCAACGTTGTGGGCTCCCGCCGCAATCACATATAGGCGCCTTTGATATATATGTGCTGCCTCTCATGTACAACAACGAGAATGGCGATGCGATGCGACGGCCGCTATGCCCGGGAGGCATCTTGTTTAGCTACACCTTCTCTCACGAGACTTGGAATCAAGCATGACGATGCCTCACGGTTCGGCTAAATGGCCACGCACCATTGTATACCCCAGCACTGGTACATACATATATACACACTCAACCAGTTCTGGAGAGGACAGCAACGGCGGCATGACTGCGGATATGCACCGGCTCGCTCTCCCTTCTTCTTTTCCACCTCGTGGGAGTGGGAGGGTCAAGAGAAAAGCGCAAGATCTGGCAGTGTCCAGGAACTCGCCTCGCCATGCCCATCTCGGTGGCCGGCTGAGCTTTTTGACAGCCCCGCTGTGTCCCGCTGTCCTGTTATCTTGTTCTCCCTCGTTCTCACGACTGGGGAACCCTTCAAGACATGTGGTTTCGCAGAGCTGCAGAACACGATGGATTGTTTCGGAAGAGGGAAGAAGGAAGAAGGAAGAAAAAGGGAGTGATTGGTAGATCTCCGGTCACTACGGAATCAAAGACAGAGGGAAAACCCCCTTTTGGGTCTTGAGTTTCATGGTTCTATACGGCCGTTAATGGAAAAACGTAGAACGCTCCAAATCAGATTTCGTCGACCTCGAGGCATCTATATTTGAAGCAAAATGTATCACATTGGTGGTGGTGCTTTGTTTCTGTAGTTGCCCTTCATGTGTCCGGCCAGGTCCACACGCACTCTGAGTAGTCCCTGGAACTGTGGACATATTCGAAGCTGCTTCCTGGTCAGAGCCCGTGTTCTGCCTTGTCTTCTGTGGCCCCGTAATCATATCGACTACGAACAGGCTGTCGTCCAGCTTGATCTTGGTCGTTACCATCGGCTTCCTGGCTTCTGTCGTCGGCAAAGCGAATGGATGTGCTTCTGTGACAAGTATGAAGGCCAGACTGAGTGGTCTCGCGACCACCAGTTCCTGGGGCACTGCTTCGCCTTCGATGGACATTCTTTGCCCCTTGCGAGGACATATTTTGATCTTTCGTTGGAACCGCTCTTGAAGAGTCCGAGTCGCGCCCGCTTCCCGTCGAAATAGCCTGCGATGAGACCGAGTCGCCTCTTTGACGTGTCTTGAAGTTATGTGTCAGGAAAGGAGATGGCGTTCGAGGTAGCGACGCCAGGTAGTCATCCTGCCGCTCCTGGTCGTCTAACTCTGCCCAGATCCCTTCCGTGTCGGTATCGGGCGGTGCATGAACTGAAAGCGCGGGCGGGCGAGCACGGCTAACAGATAGCGGTGCCTGCTCATCAGCTGATCGTCGTGAATCAGCCGTGTGGCTTCTAGCTCGTCCTGTTGATATCAGAGGCGCTCTTTCGTCCACGGGCGACCGCAATATTCCCATTCCTGGTGTAAGCGGAGTTCGTGGAGAAGGCGACTGATATGGCGCCTCTGCAGGTGTCGTATCATCCAGTCTCCAAGACAATGCCAGGACTCCAGAAAGAAGTATAACAGTACCCAACGCCACCAGCCCCGCATGAAGAGAACTCAATCTCGATCCTTGTTGGAAATAAATCAGGCCGTCTAGAATTGCAATGATGTTGTAAATGCAAAACACGAATGGGTATAATACGCTAGTACTGCATAGTCGAAGACCAAGGTGCAAGTAATATAACTGCGTCAAGGCAAAGAACAGTAGCGCGACCAGTATGAGCCACGACTGGAATCGGTCAAACTGGTTTTTATGGTCGACAATGGTCCGGACAAGGAGCTCCACCGCCGATTTGGCGACAAGAAGAGAATGCGCAGACAAAATGCCAGATATCAGAGCATAGGACAGGCCGCGGGCTAACCGCAGACGACTGACACGTAGTTTCAGCGGTTGAGGTAGTTGAGCGGTGAAAGACCGAGAGAGCATCCGAGGGCGGTCGGTGCTGTTTGATCCTTCTCGAGGCCTTTCGCTCTTTGGCAGACTTTCCACGATTCGCTTGTGAGACGACCACATCTTCAAGACATGAGCGAACAGGATGGTGGCCACTACCACCAACATTGTACCGACCATCCAGACGATGAAATTCCACTTGCCGAGAAGAACGAGCAGTTGATGCAGGTTATGCGCCGGTTCGCCAATGGCTCCAAACGTGGCTATCAAACCTGCACCCGAACACGTAAGGATTGTGCCCACGAAAGAGAAATGGGTAAAGGGTTCGCCCAGCAAAAGCGTGGCGAACGCGGTGTTGAAGACAAGCCCGGAAGCCTGTAATGTCGAGAGCACGGGTAAAGGCAGCGTGGTGATCTGAATGGTGCTGCCCACCAGATTGGACACGATGAACATCAACATGCCTAACTGCCATCGCCGTCTCTTATAGGGAGGAATCCGCGGCTCGGAGTGATCTTTCGCATCTTCGATGAGGTGCGACTTTCGCTGGAGGGTCAAACCCAGGCTTTGGACGGAGGTGGACAAGAGGCCGACGAATATTCCGATCTAACTTGGAGGTCAGCCAGGACAGTAGGCAAGGAAAGGAGGGGCGTACAGCAATAGTGCCCTGAGGCGAGATGTCACCGAGTTGGCCCATGGCGGTCAAGCGAAGCAGGAAATGGGCAGAAGCGCATTCGTGAGGGCAGCTCAACTGAGCCACTCATCTTGGGCCTCTGTGCATGAGAAGTGGTAGGGATGGTGATTCAGCGGTTGGGAATGTTCATCGTTATAGGGCGGCCGTCGTGGAGAATAAGAGACAGTATGGATGTTGTGAGGTGGAAGCGAGGAGGGCGCGCAGGACGCAGGACGCAGGGCCACGAGGGCCTCTTCTGGCGGTGGATGAAGTCACTGATTCGCTCCTTCGCGGCGATCACTTGGCCGCGGGTACCATCGCCGTCCACACCAGAGCTCACAAGGCTCACTACTCTCCACCAGCAACCTGGTAGCTACCTGCTGCTACAGCCTTGCATTGACCATCTGGAAGTGAACCTCTCGTGTTGCTCTAGTACATTCTCAATCCTCTTGACGGAGCTCTGATTCACGGCAAATTGTTGAACCGAGCTTGACTGCAGGAACGCCAGCTACAGTCCCTTCTATCCCATCGCATACTCCTCAACAACGATATAGACACGAACAGCACCAGGTTGGCGATAATAACTGCAGACACCACATCTATCCTCGAATCAACGCCCCCATAACCCTCTACTTCCCATTTCAGCAAATAATACACCTACATCAGCCGCCATCATGTCGTCTCACGCACTCTCGGACGACCAGGTATGCTCTTTGCTCCCGCCCCGATATGCCCCTCCACAGCTAGTAACCAAGGTCGCAGGTCGCCGCCGAGCTCAAGAAGATGACAGCGTTCATCCGTCAAGAAGCCCTCGAGAAAGCCCGGGAGATCCAATTGAAAGCGGACGAGGAATTCGCCATTGAGAAGTCGAAGTTGGTCCGCGAGGAGATTGCCGCGATCGATACCCAATATGAGAAGAAGTTCAAACAGGCATCCATGTCCCAGCAAATCACTCGCTCCACCATGGCCAACAAGACAAGGATAAAGGTTCTCTCTGCCCGTCAGGAGCTGCTGGACAAGTTGTTCGAGGAAGCAAGAAAGAAGTTGGCAGACGCAGGGGCCAAGAGCAAGAATTACGAGGAAGTGCTGAAAGGGCTGATTCTGGAGGGCCTGTATATGCTCTGCGAGAAGAAGGTGATCTTGCGATGTCGGAAGGCAGATAAAGACAAGGTGCAGAGTGCTGCGAAGAAGGCCGCGGCAGAGTATAAGGAGAACATGGGCAGTGAGGTCCAGACTGTGGTGGACGAGAAGGAATGGCTACCAGATGACTCGTACGTTTCCCCGGCCACGGAGGCTATTTCTTCAACTAACGTGCATGTACAGAGCGGGCGGTGTCTTTCTTGTTGGTGGTGCCGGCAAGATCGAACTGAACAACACTCTCGAAGAGAGACTGCACATGCTCGAGACCGAGGCACTTCCCAGCATCAGAGCGACTTTGTTTGGCGAGAACGAGAACCGCAAGTTCCACGACTGAAAGGCAGGGCTTGGATGCAATAGCAGCAGGATTATGTTCTAATGGAGACGTTTCTGTTGTCGCAAGGTGTCTGCCCCCGTTGCAGCATGGTATCAGCGTGTTCCACATGCACGACGGGGCAGTTGTGATAGACTTCGCATTGGAGGCGACAGCATCGCCACGCACAGTAGACAGGAAGGGAGGGGGTTATCACTACTGGGTATGTACGGTTGGGATTGACGGGCGAAATACAATGCGAGCGTATTGAAGAGCTTTTTTCCCCCTCAGTACGAGGTTCAAAGTCAACCTTGTTTCCCTGTAGAACCGTCTCATCCGTAAACTGCATATCTCATCTACTCAGAATCTGGTTTAGACAAAGACGGCGGTGGCGGTGGCGGCGGCGGCATCATCAATCGTCAAACCCTGAGTCTATCCCATCCATCCATCCTATGCCCATGCCCATGCTGATCCCCATGCGTGTAATACCTGATAACAATACACCACACCCTCGACCGACGCCTTGCTCAATTGTAAAATGTGACACGACCATTTCAAAACTCCATTTATGCATCACGACTCCTCCATGTCCACCATCACAGGGAGGGCAGGGACTGATTGACCACGAACGCCTGGCTTGGGCCGTGAGCCATGAAACATGATACTCCTTCGACTGCAGGGGTTGGAAGCTGAAGGCCCGAACCTGGATCTCTTCAGTCGTCCAGGCCCAGTTGCCTGCGGATCGACTTCTCGGTCTCTGAAGGCTCGTCAGAAGTCGGGGGAGAAGTGGAAGGGAGTGATTTCCCGCTTTTCCTAGGAGACATCTCTCCATCCTCCCTGGACGTGGTCTTCTCGGCTCCCTTGTCCCGTTTTCGCTGTTTCTCTTTGGTCTTCTCCAGAAAGCGGCTCATAAAGTCCTTGCCTCGCTCTTCGACCCTGAGTTCCTCGGCGTCCCTCAGTTTGCCCGCCTTCCCGTCAAAGATGTGTCTCTTGGGCCTCGACTCCGTCCGCACACTGTACAGTAACCGCCAATATAGTGCGTGCAAAACGTCCTTGCACTCTGTACGGGTCATGTGTGAGGCGCCCGTGTCGATGATGGCGACGAGGGTCGCTTCCACGGCGTTGGCGAGATGATCGACGGATTTGTTGAACGAGGCTTCATCCGCGCGAGAGGCAAATTCGGCCGGTCGACCGCCGTCCGAGATGGCAATGTCGAGAATGTGAGTGCGCGCGCGGAGGGCAGCGTAGTCTATCGTGCTCGGACCTTTCCGCCGCCGTGTATCAAAGTCGGGGGATTTGGATACGTGCTCGGCTAGCCTTTGCAGCGAAATCTTGGGGGCGCTGGATCCAGTTCCTTTTGTTTTGTCGAAGCCAAGAAGAAAGATCTGCGAAAGAAGGATGCGTACCTGCAATGCGGTAGGCGAAGTAGGTAAGATATGAGAGAGTAATTGCGCTTGCAAAGTAGCATCTTTCAGATATTGACCCATGTCCGATACGACTCGATCGGCAACGAAAGACCTCATTCCCACGTCAGGAAGTGATAGAAGTCTCTCCAGCATCGCCTCAATACTCGAAGAGATTCGTCCGTCACTGGTCAGCTCGCTGTCGATCGCAAGCCGACAGATGATAGAAGTCAGATTGCTCAGTGCCGAAAAGTCCATGTCCGCACAGATGGAATGATAGAGATCCAGGATGGCAAGAAGGTACTTTGGGTCGCGTGGCACGGGCTCCTTCAAGAGTCGATGCCTGCGCTTGATCTCAAGGAGAGGCAGAAGACTGGTGTCATCGGCTCCTAGCACCCCGAAGACATTTGTGACGGCCTGTGAGTTGATGTTGGTCCTTGTCCAGGACGAGCTCGCAATTTTCAAGCATTGGATATACGCTTGTCTTAGGTCGTCTTGTGGCTCAATGATGACGTTTTCATAGGTCCAGTTCAATACATCGTCCGAAATCAGGCCTCTCGCTGCGAGGTCAGCCATGTAGCCGGACACATAGGCCCTTGACCTAGAATCATCATCGCCCTCTCGCCAGAGGTGCTCTGGAATCGCATCTTTGGGGAAGGCTTCTTTATACGGATCTTGATCGTGCCAGTCATTCAACCCTTTGACTCCAAAGACCAAGAAGACTGGCTCAGATGCCAGAGCTTCCGTGCGGTCAAAGGCGTCCATTACTCTCGCGACTTTATGTTCATCATCGTCCGTGGTCGCCATGGCCGCTAGAAGTGTCCTGTCGAGCCTGAGGTTGCCCTCCCCACTCGCAGCCTGAGCAGCTGCCTCGAAGTCTGCTCGGGCTTCGGAGACCTTGCTCTCCACTTCCTTGTCATTGAAATGATCGTCCATCAGGCCCGAAATGTCGAATTTGTGTGCCATTTCTTTCGCCCGCAGAGCCCGTATTTTGGCACTACCAACCAAGGGGACTGACCGACCCGACGTGAACAGATTCAGCATCCTGATCCGCTCGGCCTCGGCTTTGGCCTCAGCTCCAAGACCGGACGACAGCGACGTACTGCGGCCGTCTTTTTTCCTCCCAAACAAATCCTCAAGCGACTCCAACGAGTCCTTGTCGTCTTCGTCCGAGTCGAGGACCTCAATCACTTTGCCGTCCTTAACGACTGTTTGGGTCGAGCTTGTCAAGTCGCTGAATGAGAAGCGATTGGCCTGACCCTTGGAAGTGTCACCATCTTCTTCTTCCTCCAGGGCGACCGCGTCAAATCGGGGGGCCCGTTTGTACGTTGAGGGAGGCTCTATCGGATCTTTGGAGTGCGAGGTTCGGCTGCGAATGGACAGAGAAGTGCGCGAGCCTGGCGCAGACCTGGGTGACAGAACGGTCGAGGGGGGTGTTCTTGTTGCATAGTGATCGATAGTCCGCTTTCCTGCCCGTGGAGTGGTGGGTGCCGCCTTGTTGGTGTCATCTCTGCGCGAGGACTCGGCTTCCTTTCGCTTTCGCTCTGGGGCAGAGGGTGACGGTCGTTTGGCGGGAACAGTGCTCTTGAGGTAAGGCTTGAAGAACTCGTGGATGGGCTTCGTGGTGCGCTTCTTGGACGGCGAACCAGACATGGAGAGCGACGTCAAGGTGACATATCAGAGATCTGCATGAGATAGCATCAGAAGAAGTCAAAAACAAGTCCTGGATATGTGATATCCTCGGTTGACGTCGGAGGTTCGTTTGTTGGCGCCAGCGGTACTGCAAGGAGGCCAGCGCGTTGAAACTGCCCGCACCATTCACGCGTTGCCGTAACTTGCGTGTACCTACTGCGGATAATTAGTTGGGGCGGGGATCCCGGAGCCTAGCCGCCTAGATACGAGATACTTCGCAATCGCCGTGATGCACAGCCGCCTAAAAAGTTACTTTTAGGGGGGAAGAGCGGGGATCTAGGCCCGCAAGGCTTACTCGGTTACTCTATTGACATGTCCACCCATCCATCCCGGCCTAGAACCCAAAGGCAAAGGGGATGGATGATATCACCAGCACATCACCATTGTCTGTGCGTTCTCAGTATGTGCTTTCTAAACGAGCCATCCGCTAGACTCTCCTTTCAAATAATCCAATCAACCAAACCGCCTAATTATCCAGGCCCCATTTTTATTGGAAAAAAAAGGAATGGGGCTTTGTCCGACGTCAAAACGAACTGAACTTTCATCCCGCTTCACGGTCCAGCACAGCAGATACAGCATCGGGGGTTGTTTTGTTCTACCATCCGATCGAGATCAGGGAAGCCCCCCTCTTTCACAAAAGGGGGGTTTTCCCGACCCGAGAACAACAGCATCTCCACTGAAACTGGGTTTGATTCTGCGTAGGACATGGATGGCGTCTTGAGAAAAATAATACGTGTAAGGTACTGGGTTACACAGGAATTGACAAAAGATGGGTTGTCGGTGGTCGGTGCTCAGACTCCCTCGTCTATCTCCGAATATGGTGGCATCGCTGGAACAGAAGAGGGACCTGCAAAGCATGTAGCAAGGGGAGTTCATTCCTGAGGTTGTAGGTTATCAAAGGTTGAGATTGAACAAACAAGAAAAAAGAAGGGAAAAAAGGTTGAGTGGGACATTTGTGATCCACCCTAGCGAGACTACGTTGCAGTATTTTCCTCTGTCCGCGCAATGCAGCCTTGTCACCTTGTATCTCACCTGATATTTGCGTAGGATGTCCACTTAGTTAAGGCGGAATATGCAGTCTGGAACTGGGTTCACTCTTGTGGTAAGTACTTCTGGAAAGACACAGGCCAATTACATTCACAGCAGAGCCTAGTACTTGCATGGGACACGCCTTGAGGTTTCAATTATGCAGGGTATCACTGAGGTATCCCCAGATGAGGTTGTAGCTGGACACTAAGCGTAAGACACTAAGCGTAAGTCATAACGCCATAACAAGTACATGACTCCAATCCACGGGTCCACCTTTGGTAAGACACGATATACCAGGTGAGCCTTGCTCGAATCGACCGTATCAGTAGCCCCTACTGTCACTGGGAATGTCCTGTTTTCCATCCCAACCAGACAGCAAACACAGTAAAGATGAACTAGAAACTGAACATCAAGATAGAAAATGGTGGCAGACTTTCTTCGGTCTCAGGCAGCAACGGCAGACCACCAGTCCAAGGCTTCGGCGCTCGAATCGCGTGAGAGGAGCCGAAATCCTCCTTCTGGGCCGTGGCCAAATGGATCTCGCAACATATCAGTGGCGCGCTTAAATGCCTGAATGGCAGACACACAACCCTGGGGCGCCGACTTGGGCGAGGGCGCCGCCGACGAGCTGTATTGCCCAAACGCCGACCCGACCATGCTGTTGAGTTGGTGGGGATGCGGAAGGCTTCTTGACTCGACTTCTAGAGATGAGACTGGATATGTTTGATGGCCCGTGGAAACCACAACGGCATGGTGCACAGCTGCCAATACCACCCACATTCTGTGAGACACTTTGTCCACCAATGCAGATGCCTTGAGCATGCCGAGACAGGTCGCCACACGTTCCAGGTCCAGTTGCATCTCTGTGCATTGTGCGACGTGCTGGATGGTCCTGAATGCGATGTTGTACAAGAGAATGGTGCAGGCTGTGTAGGTTTCCAAGATGCAAATCCAACACCGGACGTGCATGTTTGTTGTCGCGGTGCCGAAGCGAAGCAGGATGAAAATGCGCACGATGGCCCGTGCCGCCTCAATAGAATGAGCCAGATGCTCTTGCACGGGCGTGCTCCAGATATCCGTGTCCTCGACCTGGCCGAGCACAGCATCCGAGACGCTCACCAGGACCCGTCGATGCAACATCATGACAGCACCCAGGTACGTGGCATGGGAGAGCAGGAGCGCGCCTTGTTGTGCCGCCGAGAGCGGATTGGCGTCACCGTTTAACAAGACCGTCAAAGTCATGTTAGGTGGCAGTCTCTGATACCAGGCTCCCAAGTCGGTCATATAATCCCTGATTGTCTGCTCGGTGGGCGGGTCGAGACCGCACGACGCTTTGCACACGCGGGCCTTCAGATTCATGATTTCTTTCGCCTTGATTTGCGTCACGTTGTCGTCTTGAAGCCCGTATATGGCGGCCGTGAGGGACGTAAAAGGCTCAGTCTCTTCAGACATGTCATTCAGGTAGCCCAACGACGCCGATAGCCAGCTAAAAAGTGTTAGTCAGTAAGAAAACGGCGAGGAAACAGGGCCCGACTCAGAATGTACATACCATTCAAAAAAGGTCACTGTTCGATACAATCTGCTCCACTCGTGGGCATCTCCCATGAGCTCATGTTTAGGCAGAGCCAAGTTCCATCGCGCGATCTGCAGACTGAGATGGATTAATCGCGCAGTGCTCTTTCGCTTGTCGACCATCCCGAACGCGCAAAGGCAAGCAAGATATTTGACAGTTTGCAGGTTGCCCAGCTCAACCATCTCGGATATGTGGTGGATAGCGGTATGGAAGAGGGCGTCTTTGAGTTCCCCAGTGGTGTCGTCAACGTTGAAGTGAGCACCAATGGCGCCTACAGCACATATTTTGGCGACGATGAAAGTGTCTGGTGGCGATATTGGCCGAAACGCCTGGTCACAAAGCTGGTCAAACTCGTCCATGGTCATGATGTGGAACAAGCCAGCCGTCACTTGGAGAAATATGTCGGCGCCTTTCCGAAGGTCACCTTCAGGTGGTAATTGGCTCGGGGTAAAGATAGATGGATAGTTGAAGAATCTGAGCGACGGCCAAGATGAAGGCTGGGCTGGAGAACCAGACTGTCGACTTCCTTGATCTGCCCGGAAATGTTCGATGTCTTCCGGCGATAGCGAGGGTAACTTTGGATGAGACACGCCATATACATCAGACAGGAGGTTCGAGGACCGTCGACGAGGTGTCGTTGCCTGAGGGGAACGGAGGGCTCGCAAGGCCGCTAGAGATTCCTCATCGCTACCGTATTTGAGCACGTCGAGCAAGGAGCGCAGCTCCTCGTTCTGGGCCTCAAGAAGCTGGATTCCCTCCTGTCGAACGCTCGCTTTTCTCTTGTCGTTGAAGCGATACACGCATTGCTTGTTGGCGTCGACACATGTGCGACAACGAGGCTGACCATCACACTGAAGCAAGAAGCAAAGGTTAGCTCGAAACAATCCACAAGTAATCGAGGCATTCATATACACCCGAGAAGGCGACTCACCCGTTTCCGTTTGAAGCGACAGTACTCGCATGCCGTCGATGTATACTTCCGCTTGGAACTCGTCGCGGGTGTGGCGTCAACCCCAGACGTACTCGACTGCGGGCTGAGAGAAGTACCGGCAACCAGGGAAGGCTGTATTGCAACCATCCAACTCATTATTGCGAAAGCCAGGGAACGTGAAGTAGGAATTGGATTCCACAAGTTGACTTCAATGGTCCATCGTGGAGGAAATCCATGGCCATCGAGTGCAGCCTCTCCATTATTAGGAGACACGTTCGCCACGAGAATCCGGATCGTTGTTCCTTTAGAACGCCTAGCCTTGCAGAAAACCTCCTCAGAGGTCTTGGGTCTAGAATTGGGGACGCCGGGGTCCAGACCCGGCCGTTGAGGGCCGAAGTTTTCACGCGCTGGTCTCTTGGCCTGGAGACGCCGCCGAAGCTTGAGTGGTCAGAGGGCAGTGCCAGGTGGTCCGTGGATTCCAAGTGGGTGGTACAAGGGTATATACCGAATATGTAGGATGTTATCATCACCTGATGGTCCGTGCATCGTCTCCGGTGAGCTCCGAACCTGCCAGGATCTCCAGAAAATCCAAACAAATCCTCATCAACACTGTATTTCTAGTGCTCGAAGAAAGTCTCGCATTGATCCAATTCAAACAGGGCCTCGCTATCCGACATCGTACACAAAGCCAGCACACGCTTACTGGGTATGTGCTTCAGCTGAAGGCGTTGAAGGAGGAGGAGGAGGAGGAATAGGGCCTGCCGGAGGACGAGAAGCAGAGGAATCGCCAGCGGCTCCTCTCTTTGCTCTCTTCTTCTGCCACTGCTCCCTCAAGACGGTCTTTATCGCATCTTCGCCAGCCTCGTAGTTGGCGCAGCATACCTTGACCAGCATCTCTACCTGCTCACCAGTCCACACGAGGTTATACGAGCCGGAGAATTTGGCGGTCGAAGGATCAAAATCTGCCACTGCTCCCTGGTTCGGCAGCAACGGGAGATAGATCATGGTTGATTCATGGAGGCATGGCGGTGCCGGGGGATTGGTTACTTCGTGTCCATAAGAGTCAATCACCTGCTTCGGCCTCTCTTCGAGGATGCTACCGTCGTAGATCTGTGCGTACAAGCCCTTGAAGCGATCCGGATCTTTGGGGTCTGTGCCAGCTTCCACTTCAGGGTGCCGTTTGGTGAATTTCAGGCACCGTCGGCTGGCAATCTGGTCCACCCGCTCCTGGAAACTGCCCTTCAAGACGTCGCTGGACGCATCCATGTTCAAAATCACATCGACTTGCCGAGAAGGGTGCAACATGACATACGTCGGGCAGTTGTTATCCATCCCTGAATCGATCAGGTGAATCCGAGGGGAATTCTCGATTGGTGGTGACGGTTTGTCCCTGTTCTCACCCCGGGTCAAGTGAAACATGAAATTGTGCTCATTGACGGCATGAAGCGGATGATGGGCTTGAAACTCTTCCTTTCCCTTTGGTCCCCACAGCCGCGCGATGCCTCTAGCCATGTCATTAATGGAGTTGCCAATGAATCCCGCCGGGAGACTGCGCTTGATGGTCGCAAGGTAGGAAGTCAAAGGTCCCGCCGGCGCACTGGTACAGAGACCCAGTAGCAATGCCAGAGATTGCTCGGGGAGTTGCATGGTATCGTGGCCTTGTTCGAACGGCCTGCCAAACGCCCAAGTTGGACACCAAGCCTCCAGCTCGTCACATCCAACCTCGATCGGCGAAATTTCAAACCAATTGAACCAAGCATCCTGGGCCTCTTGATGCTCCTTCGTTTCTGGATCTTCGTTCTTAAAGGGATGTTCCTTGTCTACCCAGTCCTTCCAGGGGCGTTCATGCCGGATTGCGGTAAGTATGGGCAATGGTTCGCTGCCGTCTAGCAGGTACATATTTGCCGATGACCACTTTAGCCAGTTCTCATGAAAGCCTGCCACCTCCTTTTTGACACCAAAGCTCCCACGTAGGCCCGGTGGCTCTAGGGCGGGATCGTGATTCAGGAAGAGATGGCCCGTGGTGAAGACAGAATACAAATCCATGGCCACAGTTGACAAGCCTGAGCGGTGCTTCTGGATCAAGGGACCGAGCGTCTTCGTTGGGCCACCAGGGGCGTTCAGCACCTCGCGAACTGCTTCTGGAGACAAGGGGTGGTGTGGATGTAGTCTCTTCTGGCAATGGTCAATCACTGCCTTCATACTCGCACCAGCCCAGGTGTAGTAGGCGGCGAGGCCCCAGCAACTACCACTCACACCAGCAACATAAGTCAACAGATCCCACATTCCCGTGCGCTTCATCTCTTCACAGTATCCCAGAAAGCCGATCATGGCCCTATATCCTCCCCCTGATCCGCCAAAAGCTACAACCGGCACGTCATCAACATGAACCTCGGAGGGATCGAGGTTGAGATAGCGGCAAAAAGCATCCCGCACCTTGACCTTTCTCTGCTCACGGAATTGTATTTCCTCTGGGGCTAGGTCAAACCCCCTCCTTACCGTTGCCTTTTGAGCGACCTCGGGATGCCTCGTTGTATCCCTCAACTCCTTGGTGATAGTAGCCTCGACCTTTAACGCGGCCTTGATGATTGAGATATCCGCAACAGCTTCGGGAAAGGCTGGGACGATGGTCTTGTTCCAGAAGGACTTGAGTTTGCCCTTGACCTTGGCACGTGCCCCCGTCGTCCCCGTCGAGCTCTGCTCAGGCGAAGAAGGATGGCTTTTGTTACTGGGCACTTCTTCGTCCTCGTCTTCCTCGGGCATTTCTTCCTCCTCAGCGAGATGGCTAAGGTCGTGCCTCCGTCGACTTTCTGGGTAGTGCTTGCGAAGAATGGATTCCTCGTACTCTTGCTGCTCGGTGGTTTCAGATGTTCGTGGTAGCCTGGATCAGCAGCATCAGTTAGGCATAGTTCACGCCATGAGGCCGTGAGTGGAGACAGACACCGTTGTAGCCATAGTACCTATGTAGTAGCCAAGGTGCCAGTGTCACCACCAAGAACACTGTTTTCTCACACCGTTACCCGCTTCTCAGTCTGTGGATAGCAACCAGATGCAGTGACCACAATTCTTGTTTGTCTTTACTGCCTTGGCTGCCAGGGAGCCCGGATGATAATATGGCGAAAACATATCAGCGCGGGACAGGGCCCTGAGCAAGGCTGAGGTGCAAGCGGACGAATCAAGCACGGCCATTGCTGAGCGTGCTTGAAGCGACGAAGATGCGTCGAGGTCATTGCGGGAAGCAAGGAGTTGAGCGATAGCCTGTCGACCCAATGAGATAGCACACGTGCTTTTCCCAGTACTACCTCACCTAAGACCTATACATCAAACGGAGGTGTCACCGAGATAACGGGGTGGTGGAAGTGATTGACAAGTTGGAGTCTTCGCAGTCTTGCGGATGTTTCCCATCAGCAATTCGGTGAGTGTCGGCTTAGTCATTGACTGTGGGCCATTTTCTCTCTACAGTTGCTCAAAGTCGACACTTTTTCCACACTTCATCAGCTTTCGATGCATATGACCATCGTTGTTACCGTGGACTATTAGACTTGCTCTATATAGCGTTGATGTGAAAGGAATGCGTTCCGTAAGAAATACAGTACCGAGGAAGTTGAGTCCTAATGTGTCCCCTGACCTCTTACTGGAAACACATAAAATAGGGGCCGGTAGCCTTAGGTATGCATTAAATTGGATTGAAGAGGAATATGACTATTGCTCGAAAACTCGGTACAGACGAGGGAACCCATAACAGAGATCGTATCTCCTCATCGGTGACGAAGAGGGATGACAATATATGTATGCATTTGACCGTCGGTGTAAAGGGCACGTCTCCCAGACGATGTCATCTACCAAGTGTTGACCAGAGCGATGCATCTTGACAGCCTCTTGGATGTCAGAAGTGAGCTGACAGCACTACTTTCAAGTCGACGGTGTCGATCGCCTGGTAAGGTGGCTTGACGGTTCGGTGCGGCGTTTGATATCGGGTAGTCAGCAAGCTCTTCATCATTGACGGTGGCCATCAGAGCATTGTCCTGCTCACCAGCTTGATGTTGCTGTAGGGACTCGATGCAAATCGAGTCTCGCCACCAGCTCTCAGCTCGATCAACCACTGACCACCAGTTGATCACTCTCGAGGCCGGCGCTGCGGCAGCGCTCATCGCCCTTCCGCTCGACTACGGGTTTCATGTCGTAAACATCCCACATCCTGGTCGAAACCATGTTGTTCAACCTCTCCGCCGCTACTTCCAACAGCTCTCGAGAAGCGGGACGACACCGTGGCAGTGGAAGTCGATGTCCAACCCACCCTCGCCAGCGTCTCATCCTTATTCATCGTCATGAAAATGTAGCCGACAAGAAATGGCAGTTGGGCGTCTGTTTGAAGATACCCGGGACCAAAGAGCTTCTGCATGCGAGGGTCGATCGCGTCCTTGACCAACCTCAATAACCGCCAACATTGGCGGTGCATCATGAAATAGTCAAATGAAAATTCCACGATCTCAGCTTGCAGCGTCGTTCGGAGAGTTCGAAGGAGCTCCGGAACGGTGATCTGTTGTATAGCATTCCATTCTTTCCTGATACGGGATTTGGCCACGCCCTCGGACTGGGGCGCGACTACCAGCCTGGACTCATCTTCTGGAGCTTCAACCGCAAGCCAACTACTCTTATTAATGATGGTCTCAACATACTTCGGGGTCATGTTCGCCGGCTCACCACCCTCACAATATTTTTTCAAAAACATTCGGTAGACCGGAGCCCCGACTTTCAGGTTCCGAGGACCGCATGAAGAGACAGCTGGGCGATTGTGAAGCCTCCGATCTCTGGCAAAAATTTGTGGCTGAGAGCCCGATCGCGAGGCAGAAGTGACGAAAGTACTGCTCATAGCTGCTTTGAAGATGTCGATGAAGCATTTTTCGATGCTATGGTACTTTGATGTGGACGAAGATAGTTGATGTGGGAGATGGACGCGGGTTCAGGCCACAAAAAGTGACTGGATGTACTGCTGGAGGAGAGCAAAGCCACTCGGAACAACTTACGCTCCAGATACCTGATCGGGTTGTGAGAGCTCAATGAGCTGATAGCTTGACCATCTGAAAGAATCATGGCGTGAGAGAGAGTGCGTGCGTGAATAGTGAGACATGTATAGGCAGCAGGCGAGCAGGTGAGCAGGTGAGCAGGTGAGCAGCCAAATGACAAAAGGGCAAAAGGGCAAAGAGCAACCCACCCACAGGTTGTTCTTTCTTATGTACAGAGCTGCTCGGTATTCGTTGCCACACCCAAGTGCCTGGAGAGCGCCTTTGCATCGTGGCCTTTGTCGCTCACATCAAAATACAAGACTTCGAGATCTTCTCGTCCTCTTTCATCTCTCGATAATGATCCATGAAGATCCTCTGTTTCAATTCCTCGACAGGCACTTTCCGCCGCCGAGATTCCTGGTGCACCCGACCGCGCACCCTCCGCAGGCATTGGATCTGTTTCTGGTTGTGAAAAAAGCAGACGCGGGTGTCCAAGCGGCCGTTGAGGTTCACACTGTACCAGTTGAGCAACTCGAGCTCCCCGTCGGTCCAAGGCTTCTGCTGGCAGAAGAGACAATTGCGGTGGATCGCTGCCATGGTACTGGCCCTTCAGGGTGCGATTGGCAGCACATCTATCACGAGCGTAAGACAAAGACTATACTCCCTCAAGGGTTGAGGAAGACGCACCAAATGCAAGGACCTGAGTATTCTTGGAACAGAGAAGCAACCGCAGAGAAAACAATGTGGCGGTCTGTCATCGGGATCCTTAAGGAGGGACGTTTTCGACATTAAGAAAGAAAATCTACATCAAAGAGACGGATTAAGAGCCATGCTGCAATGGTAGCTTGCGCGTACACTGTGAGACAGTTGAGATCATCAATGCTTGTCTACAACGGACATGCACAAATATGGAGATGTTGTCTCGCTAACCCACTTTCGCAGCCTCTTCCTATTTGTCCTTCATCTCCACGCGAATTGGAGTTTGAGCGAGAGAAGTTCGCATCGGAAATGCCATGTGAACCATTCATTGCCTCAGTTATCCTCGGGATACACCCTCTCTACCAGCCCCGTGTCAACATCGAGCCACAACCCAACAATGCCCTCGATCAGATCTGTCCTGAGGAACCCGCACTTCTTGGCTCTTTCGAGGTCTTCCAGCAGTGAATCGCGGTTATTTTCCTTCATTGGCAGTCTTTCTTCGAGCTCTGCAAATGCCGTGTACTCGGGCCTCTTCTTGTGGACTCTATCGAGAATCTTGGGCTTGGTTACGTGCGACGCGCCGCAATCGTTATGGTGGACGAGGATGATCTGAGAAATGTGAAAGAGAGTGTCGAGGGCAGCGATGTCTTCTGCAACCGAGGCGAAGCGTCCTGCTACGTTGCGCAAGACAAGACATTCCCGGACCTGGACATTCAAAAAGGTCATCGGATTGGCGCGAGAATCGAGGCATGAGACTGGAATTTGTTCAGTGTCACCCCTTTCCTGGGCCTTGGAAGGATCCGATCCTACCGATCAAGACATGAGGACCGTTGGTTTTGGCATCATTTCTCACCCGATCCATTAAAGTGGGAATAGGTTTGTGCCCAGCAGCATATTGCCTGTACTCATGTCAACTAGAAGTCCGTGTGGACAAATGGAGCTGATTTGAGACTCGGAGACTCTGAGCGCTCGTGAATCACTGACTTATTACGCTCAAGCAGCTCGTCGATGCTGGGGCCAGAAGCGACAGCTGTATTGGGGATTGTCGACATCTTGATATTCTTTGAGTGCTGGAGCTGTGTATTGAAACAAATCTAAGCCAGTCGAGTAGAAGTCAGAGGCAAAGACGATCTTGAAATGCTATATCTCAGAAGGATACAAGATGAAGAGGGCATTTGTCGACTTTTATACTTGCCTACCGTCTCCTGGCCCCGTCGAACACTTCCATCGAGGGAAGGACACAGGGAGATCTGTGCTACCAGCTTCGACCCATCTCTCCAGCCAGTACCGCTCTCCAACCGTTCGCAAGAGGCGTCCTCAACAATTTCCAGTAGCAGTTGAGCCCCAGTCTGGTACAAGAATGTTGGTGGACAAGGCTTGGAGCTCCCTAGTTGATGTTGAGTAATCGCAGGTCTTTCATGAAGCACCCGCAAAACCAAGACTAATCGCCGTAGATTAGAAGACCCTCTTGCTGCTTTCATGCCGCTTGTCGTCGTGATTATGATATGGAAACCATGGCATTGGCCTGGCTGTCTGGGGGTTTGATGCCACCTCGCCTCTTCCAGTAAGGATCCCGACGACGACAAGGTCCTGTCCAGTCGCCGCTCTAACTTTGTGGCTGTCGTGTAGGTCCATCGAAAGCGTTTGACGGCGGTTGATTAGAATTCCGATGTTTCAGGCCAGCCTGTTCCAAAGAGCTCTTGTGAGGTCTTGGACGAAAGTGTTGAGAGACATAATCTGCTGAGTCCTCAATCCAGAGCTTCTGACAAGCAACCTCATATGCGGACGCACTGCGGAATACGGTGTAGTGCACAAGACATTGTCGTTCGGCATGTACCATTTTTTTTTTTTTTTTTTTGACAATCTTGTATTTGATTTGTAGCAGCAAGGTTGTCATGCACACCCTGGTATAGCATTGCTCCGTTGGATAAAAGACGACGGAGAAGGCGTTCCTCGACCAAATCCTATGCGGAAGCTCCTTATGATGGCTAGCGGTTGATCAAGGATGCAGACTGTACGGTCTCGTCAATTAGAGGAGACAACTCATGGCTCTGTACAGGGGAGATATCTGCTTTTGACTACTATGCATGTGGGCAGTCCGAGGTATCGCCGGATCTGTAATGAAAGGTAATCAAATTTGAACGTAGACGAATGAGACCGCTTCGCTGCCTACCGAGAGCTAGAAGGCTGATCCGATTAGAGGTGGTTTGATCCTGCCCGATGGCATGCGCACCCTCACTTGAATAGTCCCGCCGAAGACACTGAAACACAGCAGAAAGCAATGAGACACGTTCGGGTATTTAGGAAGCAAGAACAAGTGGCGCTCATATCCAGGAAGCTGCGCGGCAAAGAGCGGAAAGGGGATCCATGGCTTGCTGTGGACTCGCACCATTGCTTTGCGTTCACACTTGGACAAAGCGATTTCCTCTCCATAGCATTCGCCTCATGCCGTCATTAACGCGGCCCTGGCTAGGTCGCACATCCTAATCGTTGCGCACAGCTTGAACAATCGCCCCTGCGTCCCCTTGGTCCAATGCATCCAGCGCCTCCATATCGTCCGCAGATAATTCAAAGTCGTAAACGTCGGCGTTTTGCTTGATTCTATCTGGAGTATCACTTTTCGGCAGAGGTACCCAGTTCTTCTGCAAACAGTATCTGATGAGGATCTGTGGCGTGGTCTTGTTGTATTTCTGGGCGAAGGAGACCAATGTGGCATCGTTGGCCTTGTAATTTCGAACCAGCGGCGAGTAGGCTTCGATGATGATACCGTTTTTCTGACAATAATCGGTTATGGTTCGTTGTTGGCACCATGGATGCAACTAGCAGAAATGTGGTCAGCTTCATCCCCATGTCTTGACAAGACCAGAGCAGCTTGATGAGAAGAGGAACCTTCATCATACCTCTATTTGATTGACGTGTGGCGGCCAGATCTTTGCATATTCCTTCATCTCCTCAATATGTCCAACACCAAAGTTGCTCACACCAATGCTCTTAGCCCTTCCCTTCTCGTACAATTTTTCAAGAGCCTGCCACATCTCTTTTCTCTTGCTACTTCCCGCATTGGGACTGTGTATCAAGAACAAATCCACGTAGCCATCACGTCCCGGATCGATCTTCTCCACGCTTTCGAGGCACTTTTTGTATGATTTTTCAACGCTTCCTGCTGCGGAGAGAATTTTGGTGGTGACGAACACCTCGGAGCGCGGAATTCCTGATTTTCGCAGCGCCTCCCCAACCTGGGCTTCGTTGTGATAGAACTGCGCGGTATCGATGTGTCTATATCCGGCTTGTAGAGCGCACAGGCATGACTGTACACAGACAGTTGCGGGGGATTGGTAGACTCCGAAGCCAAGGCGCGGTATGTGGACGGAGGTGTTAGGTAGAGGAAAGGTATCGCTGAAAGAGAGGGGAGGCATTGCGACGAAGAGAGAAGAAGGCGTGATCCAGCGACGAGGAAACTTGGGGGAAGCCTTGAGATTTTAGAAGCGGCAGGGTGTTATTTTTTGTTGTATAAACCATCCTCCAAATCGAGGAGTGATGATGGTGATGATGCAATCATGCGGCCCAGCCTCTGGTTGCCTAGGGTCCCGCTGGACGCCCACACCCGCGCCCTCACCTGCGCCCACCTGGCACCTCCGCCCTCCATCTCGCCTGCAGCTTCTCCCACCACTCTCATTGGCATCGCTTGTTGCTTCTGCAGTAAGCTGGAAGCTCTTTGTCATCCACAGTCCTGCACACTCATGCCTCAATCGCCACAAGATTCCCAGGCGACGCTACCACATGCCGCCCTGCTCTCCTGACTCTGATCATGGCCTACGGGCGCAACGGTGTCGGTCTGATTCACAGCCTTCCTCTAGTGCTTCATTTCCAGCGTTAAGCCGGACGTTGCATCAAGAAGGAATTGACGGCTTGAAGCGTTGCCCTCGAGGGGTTTGCATCCTGTTTTGAGCAGATGATCCATGCTAGTCTTCGCCTAACCAGTTGCTTCTCGACAATCGGCTGGTCCCTGATTTCTCTCAAATGTCCTAGATCTCGAATGTCAATCATCTTGCCAGGTCAAACGCCCTCCGGAATTTGACTAACCTTCGTCTTCATAGCACAAACACAAAATCGCAATAGCCACACCGACACTGAGATCTTTGCTTGTTGTGCAAGTGATCAGTATCTTGCTCTGAGGCTGTGTGTGGAGCTGATTGCTGATGACGCTGACGGCGCCGGGCAACTTATCTCGAAGCTCTTTGCTACCGAGTTTGCCATCGCGGCAGTTTAACCAAACGACTTTTGATGTTGGACCTTTTGCGTCACCTTGACAGTTGACAATCAAGTCGAAACCATCTAAGCTTTCGACTGGCCCGACTGCAAGATAAAGATTGGACGTTGGAGTGATCCTCGTAACGGAATTACCTGCGCCATGCGCTTCTCTTTGTTTTCCAAGGAGATCTTCGATCAGCGCAGGGAGTTCATCTTCGGGAGTTTGTATCAACAGCGTTCTGTATCTCCAGAAGAGCTCTGCGGTTAGTCCGTGCGACCAACCCTCGCTGTCGTCACCAGCGCCTTGGATGTATCCACCTTCTGAGCTTTCTGCACCCCGGACGCGACGAGACGCGGAGCACAGCACGAGGTTGTGATAGGAGTGGCCGACTTCAGAACCTGAGCCTGATGGACGAACGTCGGCTTCGTTAGCACTTTGAACACTAGAATAGCCGTTGATCTCCCAGGTGAGGCGCACAGGACGTCTCAATTCCTTCCGTAAGCTTTCCAAGTCTAACCCTAGACCGGTAAAGGTGCTCGTGAAATCCTCGAGCCGGGCTTCAATCTGCGATATCTCAGAATGGCCTAGGTCATCTGGTGGAGGCGGGGTCTGAAGTCTGTGCGCCGAGGGGATTTCTGGGAACAATGCTTTATTGACAACTGCGGTCCAGATAGGCACGGTCTTACTGAAGGCATCTGGCAGATTCTTGCCACGACGCGTCGAATCGACCACGATTGCGCCGCCATAAGCAGATAATATCGGAAGAAGCTGCAGATTGAGTCTGCGCGGGGAAAAGTCCCATTGTCCGTGGTGGCCGTCTGTGCTTTTGAAATACGTACTGCCTGTTTTATCAGCTGGGTCGATGTACCAGCTACCACAACGCTCGTTGGCCACCAACGGCAGGTTGTACCGCTGGGATACTTCTTTGACAAACGCCGCATCACTAAGGACCGAGGTGAGGCGATTCGGAATAGAGAGGGCAGACTTGCGAATCGATTTTAGCGTTGCATACAGAGAGGGATGATGAGTCGAATCGGTCAACGTCAGGTCAGCTAATCTTGTGGGAAAATCCGGATGGCTCATTTTCAGTCTCAGTAAGGGTCAGAGGTCCTAAGATTCATTCCAAGTGGTCAAGGCTTGCCTGCTTTTTAGGCAACGACGGTTCCTACAGTCTGTACTTGTGAACAAAGTTGTCCAAGTCCACGCTCCGAGAACGAAACAGGTATGGAGGGTAGCAATGCGGAGAGTCCAGCACGTCCCCCCTTCCCATGTGTTGAAGCGCCGAGCTCTGTACAGACCCCTTGTAGTCTGTGATGTTGATGAATGTTTGTGAGAGATTTATTCAAATTTCGCGATGCCAAGAATGGATCCTGAACCCAATTGGGTGAAGCGAAGCCTTGAACACGCAAGACACGCTTCACGTCGTCCCAAAGATTCCAGCTTTCTCAGTCCCATGGTATGCATGGCTCAAGCAACTTGAACTGTGCCATCCAAGGGTGCACCCTCTGGCACCATCACAGCCCCGTTGGTGGTTATCATCTCCATGGCATCGTCGTTGATAGGATGTATCGAAAACTGGGTGGCAGTAAATTCCTCCCCGTCGAAAAGGAGCCAGTTTTGAAGGGGCTGCTCCTTCTGCCCCAGTACATTGATGACATCTTGTGCCAAAGAGCCTCCCAGGAACGCTACCACGGGACTGATTTCGGAGCCAAGGTTCTGCAAAAAGGCACGGAGAAAGTCGGATCTCAAGCTTTCCAGTGGAAGCGAGAGCTCTAGGTGTTTCTGGTTTGCCAATCTCGTGAACAGCTCGAGGTCTGCTCTGTTATGCGCAGGGAGCCTCCCCCCCATCTGACCTTGAAAGTCGAACAGAGCCCGCAGGCAAGAAAGTAGAGGAGTGACTTTGGTGCGGCTCCGTCGAGTATTCCTTACCCGCGCCGGAAGAGGAGAAAGATTGGCCAGCTGAATGGGGGAGTAAGTCTCTTGATAGGTAATAAGTTCCATGGTCTTCCCATTTTCCTTCTTCGATTCAACGGCAGTGACGCATTTCGTAGAAGTCTCCATATCGCCGACTTTGGTGGGTTTATTCCTCTCCTGTCTCTCAATCACGAAATCATGTATGATCAAGTCGGCGAATACGTAACCGTACATACCGTGGGTGTCTGCGGCATAGAATTTTCGACCATACATCCGGCAGGCCATGTTGATGGTCCCAAGTACATCCATAATGAGACCTGTTGCGATAGTTATGTCGAAATTCTGGAAATATTCGGGATCCTTGGTCACGGCCGCGTGCGGGTCCGTATATACCTCGACTCTTGGATTCAATTTCTGTAGTTCTGCCAGGGCCGCCTGCGCACGGTTTTGGCCAACTTGAGCTTCCTGGACGAAAAACTGTGTTCCCAGATCCTCTTCTGTAACAATTTCGTGATCCAATATGGTCAATACTCCAACTCCTGCTAGAACAAGATTTTTCGCGATTTCGCTGCCCAAGCCTTTCATTCCGATGAGAAGAACGTTCGCGCGACGAATCTTTTCCTGGACTTGCATGCCCCATAAGCGGATTTGTCTGTCGTATAAAGCAATCTCATCGGCAGAGATGGGTTGCTGAGGCTGCATTCCGAACATTTCGGGCTGCATTCCATTCATCGCGAGCGCCATGTCGCCAAAAGGCGCATGAGGGACTTGTTGGTAGCCGCTGGAGCTTTCCATGACGGCAACGGGTGTAACAAATGTAGGACCATTCATAACACCATCAATGCCTCCGTTCACTATGCCGGTCATAGCCCCGTTCAAGTCAACCGCCACGGAATCCGTAAGGGGGATGCCGTTTGGAGGATGAGAGCCCTCGGACACTTGGTTCTCGTCCATGGTGCATTCGAGAGGGAGATTAGGAAGATGCGCGCAGTGTGAAGGGTCCAAAGAACTGAGCTTTGAGGGAGCGACTGTCGAAGGTGTCTTTCTCAAATGTGAGAAGGTAAGTGATCGTAGAACGAGGCTGCAGGCGGAGATGAAAGTGAGAAAAGAGAAGCAAAATTGTTTGCTATGCGACAGAGGCACTCACCGCGAGTTTTCTTTCGCTGAATGAGCCCGTGATTCAGGAGCTTACAAGGTAATAGTTGGTATCCCTGGCCATTCTCCCAGCAAGGCAGTTTGATGCCAAGCACCACTTCAACTACGTATTTGTCCTTGTCCGCAGTGCCGCAGTGCCGCAGTCCCAGTTAAGCAGCCAGGCTCCCGGCTGTCCACGCCATTGGTGAGAGTTATGCTTGTAGGTTTTGGAGCCTAGTGCGATGCCTACAGGGCTAGAGGACTAAAGGGCTAGAGGGGGGAATGGTGCGTTAATTCTCCGGGTGGTGCCTTCCATGCCGCACGGGCCTTTGGCCTTTGGAGGGCGCTGTGCCACGCCCATTTGAATCGTGGGGCAAGAGTTGGCTGATGCACTGCGACATGTCACAGCGCTTGAAGGTCGCCGCACTCTCACTGGCGAACATCCAACTACCATCCTTCTGTGTAGGACCTTTTCCCTGCAGCCCAGTCTCATTGCTGTTGTCTACAATCTCTGCCATCTGCTTTCGAATGTCTCTTCCAACCTGATTTCAGATCGAGGAAACTTGCGTGTTGCTTTCAACCGTCGAACCGTATTTGTTCTTGCCAACGTATTGCCCGTCCTTTGTTCAGCCATGGTACGATCCCGTCCTCAAGTCATTCATGCACTGCGTACTCAGTCCCCTATGACATTTTAAGCTGATATCCACCAAGTCCAATCCCCCTGAACGCCCTGCTTGGTCTGATATCTCTGCACGCCTCGAAAATCTCAGGAATCTTCTCAGTTCGGAGCGGCATCTTGGTGTTGAGCACGAAATTGCATTCGAAGCACTTGACCGGGAAATAGGGGATCAGATGGCAGCCTTTGAGGCAAATGATGACAGATCGGACCGACCACTATCGTCTGACCCCCTCACCCCACGAGAACGAAGAAGAAGGGAGTTCGGCACCCGCTTTCGTGATCAAGACATTTCCGAGAGTCTTGCTCAAACTAGCAATCCATCGAGCCTCGTGCGAAACCGGCGGAGAGCCTTTAGGCCTAGCGAACGTCTACAGAGATATCAAAGAGAAAGATTGGGACAAAGTGGAAGAGCTACCGCATCAGAGGCATATGTGCCATCATCCAATCAGTCACCTACCTCACCAGCTCAATCAGTCAGCGATCGTGGTGATCGGCCAAGGTCGAAACGGAGGAAATTGACCGACGGTACATACGAGGACGAGCCTCGAACTTTTAGCTATGGTCACAATGGCCAGGTCGTCCCTGGCCAGCTGAGACTGGAGATTGTCAGTTGCGACGGTGGAGAATATTCAGATCCTCATATGCCCATCAACTCTTATCCGCAAAATGTCCTCCTAGATGATACAAGCGTATACTGCACAAAGTCAAACAAATGCAACCTCCTACTGAAGCATGTGGGCGGCATGCCTTTCACTCTGACTGAAATAGTGGTCAAAGCCCCGCGTGCTGGTTATGATGCACCAATTCAAAATGGCTTGATTTTCATTACAATGGAAGACGATGATCTCCTCGACCGGACGTCTCAATACGATGTTCGCTGGTCATCAAAGAGCGACCGCCATCAACGACACAGAGGAGATGGATACCGCCGCCCTTCCCTGGAATACATATCCTCTGCACCACCGCCTCTCCGGCCTTTTGACCGTTCGAGGCACCTCAGCAATCCCACAACTTCCGAAGAAGCTCACCATCTTGAGGTCCCTCTCGTCCCAGGGTTTCATGTCACAGTGGTAGACCCATCAGATGTAGAAGATGGGGGAGAAGGGCCACTTTCGCCGCGACCTTGGCACGACGACGAGTACTCATTGCGATCCTATGTCGATCGATACCGGCCAGTGTATTTCGGAAATGAGCGAAACGACGGTCCGTGGTCGAGCTCGAGTGATTCAGAGGGCTATGAGCCCGATGTCCAGCTTGACGCACGAGAGACAGGGGAAACAGAACGCTTTCAACGCCAGCAACTCGACCTCGAGAGTACGCTTGCGCACCGGAATCGCATGCTGGATCTCATGCGGGCGGAGCAGATTCGTGAGAACGACGGGGTTTTTGGCGGTCGTAGCCGGGAAGGCGATCCCGAGGAAGACAGATTGTACGGTCGTCCTTCAACTTCAAGTCGGGGTGGAGCTCGAACATTTGGTCCTGCGCCAGTTGTCCCAAACACCGTTTATCCCCCGGAGGATCTTGCAAGTGAACTTCCAGAAGCCGAAGGTTCGAGCTCCAAGGCAACTTTGAATGGAATGGCAGCCTCCTCCTCTGCCAGGGCCGGCATTGCGCCACATGCTTTGTTCTTTATCAGCAGAAACAAATCGAGCACCGAAATCAAATTCGACCCTCCAGTGTAAGTAACAGCATCCTTTTCCAATATATCGGGGTGTAATTCTGGGACTGATGTATCCGCAGGTCGGGCCGTTATATTCTCGTCAAACTATGGGCGCAATGTCCCCATGCCAACATCGATGTGCAAGCCATTCTTGCACGAGGTTATGGTGGGCCTCGTTTCTTCCCCAGCTCAGAGATGAGGTAACATCAAAAATTGAGGTTGCAGAGGTGCCACAAAGAGTTCTGATGGTCTAAATGTTCCTCATACACAAAAGCACTCAGGATGTTTCGGTGGATTTGTTCTTTGTTTTCTGTTTGTCTTTTGAGAACGCTTCCCAACCACCGTCACCAATCCCAACAACTGAGTGTCCCGTTATGGGCTTCGAGCTCCGCGGTTTTGAAGAGCGCAAAGATACTATTTGTTGAGATATAAATCCACAGATTAATGTAAATGCATGTCATTTTCTACGCCCTGCACCGCGCCTTCATGTTCTCTCGCCGCGACATAGCTGTGATCGTGTCCGATTCGCAGCTCAACAATCCCCATTCGTCCTCCTGGTTCCTTTGCGGTACGCCATCCTGATGGAGGTTTGGGTCAAAATGGCCTTATACATGCACCTTGCTTTGAAATGAGATGGTGCCGCTACTGGTGGTTTTGGGCCATAGGTTTCCGTGGTGATTGAGGAGGGATGCTATCTTCTCAGAAACTGGAAGAGAACGCGAAACACCATAGATCACGTAGGGTCATTGATGGCATGAAAGATTGACAACAGACATCGACTAGGTATGCTCCAAAATATATGGCCATTCCGATGCGGGGCATAAACAATCTACCATGACACCACTTGAGTTTCCCCATGTCTTGTTTGCTTTGCCCTTATGAGTCGCTAACTTATACACAGTCAATCCGGTAGAAGCAATCGGACATGCCTCGCTTCGCAGAGGGGACGGGAATCCCAATTCGTGGCAATGAGTTTCTACCACCAAAGCCCACGTCGCCGACGGAGACGCAGATGCCCGATCGAATCCGGATCAAGAATCGGCGAAAACGGTACTTGGATACTCACCCAGAATATTTTGGACCTCAGCTTGAGCTGGCAGGTGCGCCACGACCTGAACCCCCGGGCAAGGTAGGCCTGGACCACTTACTGACGGGTTGGTTGTCCCTTTGCAGATCCACTCCTCTACGACCGATTAGTCCGCCGCTTCCAAACGCCCGCTGAACGCGAAGCCGAAGGTCGGCAAAAAGGCTACTCTGGAATCCTTGAAGCGGACCTGTACCGCAGCGAGGCGAAGCTCGACGCGCTGCGGCATCCCGACCCTCACGCCCTGTTCACGTACAGGCGCGGACCGAACGGAGAAATACTGGCCGAAGATCGAGACGAAGTGCCTGCAAACAAGGAGGAAGGCCTTGCAAGGTGGAAGTGGGAGATGCAGGTCCGCTTTATGAGAGGCGGAGATGACGATTTCGACTATGACTCCGTGGACTACAACCCCGAGTACGACGACCGAGTCCTGGAAGAGAGAGACGCGGAAGACCGCTACTTTGACGAGCAAGAGCCCGAATTTGTCAAGGGCGAGGAGGCGCTTCCAAGGACCCAAAGCCATGAGTTACAGGGGGAGACTGGGGTTCAGGACTTTTGATCCAGAGGCGCTCATTTACGCAGTCAAATGACCAGATTCGACAACGCTGCCTTTCCAATCGATATCAATCATGCTTGATGCTCTGTCGGTAACAAGAAAGAAATTGGACGAACTTCCCCTAGCACGACTGTCTCGATACGGCTTCCCCAGGATCAAGGCGGGCTCCTATGACCTGGAGCAGCTCGAGCTGGTCAGGTCGTGGCCTTGACCAATTATGCTGATGATACCCACGACCTGCTCCTGACGACAGATACTTCCTGGCAGGGCACCCAGACCTTCAGCGTCCAGTTGTGGCCGAAGTTCTCTGACCTGGTATTTCCGCACCAAAACTGCTTCAGGCAGTTACAATATCTATTGGATCCATCAGACCCCGGAGGCTACTGGCACATCGAACATGAGGCATCCTCCTGAAAACTTGCTGGCTTTCTGTCTCCTCCATAAAGTCCTGCCATTGTTTGGTCGCGATCCATTCCTGGCGGGCTCGTTTGTCCCGAAACTTCATGATCATGACTGTGTCGTGAACTTCCTCGCGGGAAGCTGGGTCGGTCTCGGGAATTTGGACCGGGTACGTCTCGAATTTGGATATCAGGGGAGAAAAAGCCGCATGCATGCTCAATCTTGAAATCATGGAATCCAGCTGATGAGTTGGTTTGTCCTCCAACTTCCCTCTCCGGACGAGATCCTGGTCGGCACGCTGCACGTTGCGCTTCATTTGAGATGCAAAGAAGTAAAACATGCACGTCAGTGGGCGTTGGCCGTCAGCATCCTCTTTCATCTGCAGCTCAGCTGTGGTTCGAGATGCTGCATATTGCTTGCTGAGGGCTGTTCGTTCCAGGAGCATTCTAATGTCCCGAGGAGTGAGCGGCGCAGCTGCAAGTCAACAACTGGGATGGATGTGTGGTGATACTGTAGTTACCAGTAAGCAGGGGAAACGTTGTCAGGGACAAAAGAGCAGTCTATGTGAGGCACTGGAAACTGGGCTGGATGTGCTGTTTGTAGCAACAAGAGGCCAAGCTGATCTCATAGTTGAAGGCGCCAACGGGTGCCTCCCTCCACCCCGCATTTTCAGCACCTGCGCCTCAACGGGCCTGAGATGAGCGATGCATCCTCGATGCTGACGCCAGAACAAATCAGCGAATACGGTGATGACCCTCGAATGCGCTTGTCTGCAGAGATAGATATGCTGTAATGACCGGCTGTCTTGATGCTCCTCCTACTATGTCGCGGCTGTCACGATGGGCGACATGCATCCAGCTAGCTGCCCCCTGGCAGTTCTTCCATTTTCCATCAACAACATCAGCATGCTCTCTTTGTCCATTTCAATACAATGGCAGCCAGAGTACAATGAGCGGACCTCAACCATTGTAGTGCTCTCTCTCTCTCTCTCTCAAAGTTCTATCTCGAGTGCGTCTAGGCTTGTCAGTTCCGCTTCATTACCCCACAAAACGCCCCCGCGAAGCAACAGACTCGGCATCGATCATCGTGTCAGCTCAACCGGTCTCGGCTTTCAATTCCCACCAAGCCCCAGAGCCAAAAGCCCACTTCCCCTGTGTGCCAGCTTCGAGCTGCCATCCTGTCCGCCGATGACCGCGGCGTTGGTCCGCTCGCCCACAACTCCCACCATGCGTTTTCCACACAGGCTTGTCCCTGCTTTCTCTCCACGGAGTGAGGTGTTAGGACAACCTTGTGCGCGTCCTGAAATACACATTGTGCCTAGTTTGGATGGCGAGGACGACCCTGTGAGACCAATTGAGCATCCCGTCTGAAGAACAATGACAGCGCCATGCGGGCACTCTTTCGACCACCGGCGGCGGCATTGCCTACCTTCTCCTCGGTCCTTCGACCTCGACGCAGCCTCCTAACCCTGGCCAAAGTAAAAGGCCCTCTGCATCCTCCTTTGCTCGAAGAGACTGTTGGCGAGAATTTTGGACGTATTGTTGCGGCACATGGCGATCGCAATGCCGTCATTTCCAGACACCAAAACAAGCGATTGACATACCACCAACTCGACCTCGACAGCAATGTCCTGGCTCATGGACTACAAAGCTTGGGGGTCAAGAAGGGCGACCGGGTCTGTGTGTCATTGGGTAACAATCTTGAATTCGCGACAATCACATATGCGTTGTTTAAGCTGGGAGCTATACTTGTCCCGTTGAATCCGGCTTTTACATCGAACCAGATCATCTCGGCCTTCAACCATTTGTCTGCTACACACCTAGTTATTGGGACCGAGACAAACTTGCCCTACAAGCCACCGCGGTCAAATGTCTCGCTTCTGGAAGCACTTGTGCCTGATCTCTCGAGTGCGACTCTCGCCTCGGAAGCGGTTCCATCCTTGAAGAACATCATCCTCGTGAATAATTCCTCGGGCAGGATAGATCCTACGCCTTTCCGAGCGACAACACCATGGGCATCGATAGCACAGGACACGGACACTCGGCCCCCTACGCCGTCTTCCCCTCTGTCGCACCATGAGGTGGTCAACATCCAATTCACTTCTGGTACCACTTCCATGCCCAAGGCTGCCTGTCTCTCGCACAGATCAATCCTCAACAACGGCAACCAAATAGGTGACCGGATGCTGTTGACACCAGAAGATGTTGTATGCTGTCCACCACCTCTGTTCCATTGTTTCGGATGTATCCTAGGATACATGGCGACTGCGACGCATGGCTCCGCGATTATCTTCCCCACCGAGGCATTCGATCCGTTGGCCTCCTTGAAGGCTGTGCAAGAGGAGAAAGCGACGGCGCTGTATGGTGTCCCTACGATGTTCCTTGCGGAGTTGGAGCTTCTCGATGACGAAAAGGTCGCATACGAAGGTTTCCAGTACCTGCGCACCGGCATCGCAGCAGGCTCATCAGTGCCTTCTGAGCTGATGCGAAAATTGCACAAGACTCTAAATCTGACGGAGTTGACGATTTGTTATGGAATGACTGAGACCTCGCCCGTTTCTGCAATGACAACGACGGACGACCCAATCGAGAAGCGCATCAACAGCGTTGGCCGACTGCTACCCCATGTCGAGGCGAAAGTGGTGGATCCTTTCGATCATGACAAGATCCTGAACGTGGGAGAACGAGGAGAACTCGCAGTCCACGGATATTTGGTCATGAAGGAGTATTGGGGGCAACCTGAAAAGACAGCAGAAGCCATCAAAACCGATGCGGAGGGCAAGGCATGGATGCATACTGGCGACGAGGCATCGATAGATGAAGAGGGCTATGTCAGCATCACCGGGCGAATCAAAGACCTCATCATCCGCGGCGGGGAGAACATCCATCCGCTCGAGATTGAGAACTGTCTCCTTGCACACCCCAAGATCGCCGAGGTCAGTGTCGTCGGCCTCCCAGATCAGAGGTATGGAGAAGTGGTTGCTGCGTTTGTCGTGCGCAGGCATCATCTGCCGCCCGGAGAAACGCCTATAAACATAGAGGAAGTCAGGGGCTGGGTCAAGGATCGCATGAGCCACCACCTGGTGCCGAAACATGTCTTTTTCGTCGACGACTATCCAAAGACGGCCAGTGGGAAGATTCGTGAGTACTTTAGCGGTTGTCCTGTTGATTGGATTGTGACTAACTGGTGGCTTTGCAGAGAAATTCAAGCTGAGAGAACAAGGCATCGAACTGCTCAAAGAAGGGAATCCCAATTGAGGTATCGAGCAGTATTCACCAACAAACCAGCTCCTATACCTGCCGGACCCAAGATGCTGGATTGGATAACACACAGTATTTGAGCACAAATCAATAATCATCACGCCTGGTCGACACACGATCGCGGTCTCGCGAAGGCTTCCTCTCCCTACTATCACGTCGGTGATATCTGTGACGGTGCTCCCCATCTCTGTCCCTGTCTCTATCTCGGTCGTATCGCGCGTCTCGGTGCTCGTGCTTTCCTCGTTGTCTTTTGTCGTTGCCTTCATCTCGCCCGTGCCTTTCTATTCGCTCGCTGCTGTCTCGGTGTTTTCTCCTCCCAGCGTCTTCAGAATCTCGAGGCCGATGTCTATGGTGGTGCCCGCCCTCTTTGTCGGTATTGTTGTTCGCCTCATCCACGCTGTCATCTCTCCGTCGATGTCGATGCTTGTGTCTTCGTTTCTCCTTTTGCCTTTCCTTTGCCCTCTCAATCTCCTCCCGTTTCTCTCTAATCAGATATTCTCTCATGGGATCCTCTTCTTCGCCTTCTTGCTTTATGGCGAGCAGTTCCTCTAGCTCCTTCTCTTCTTTGATTAGATGCCGTCTCCGTTTCCTCTTGTGCCCGTCTTCACTGTCGCCTTCGTCATCGGTGTTGTCGCTCTCTCTTTTACCATTTCCATTGACCTCTTCTTCAGCCTCCGCCTGGGCTTCCAGCCTATCGATCCGGTACGTGTCTTCGTCCTCGTCATCCTTTTTCTTGTATCGGGTGTGGTCAACCCTCAAGAGGCGCCCCAACACCTCGGCGCCCCCCAGGTTATCCACGGCCAGGTCACAGCTCCTCTGGTCCTCGTATTTCAGGAACGCGAACCCTTTGCTCTTGCCAGTTTCTTTGTCGCGGATGAGATTGAGGTGCGTGGGGTTGCCGTACTGAGAGAAGATGATCACCACGTCGCCTTCCGTCAAGCCCAGGTGCAGGCCCCCTACGTAGATCCAGGCGGTGTCTCTGTAGTCGGCGTGCCACGAGGCAGAAGGTGGCGTCGCATTTTCTAACTCGCGCTTGTTCAGAAGCTGGGTCTGCCGAATGGCGTTCATGATCCCAGTCCCCAGAAGAAGAAGGGAGCAACGAGGAAATCACACGAGGACCCCGCCGTCGTTTCGTTGCAGTGTCAATTCCACTGTCCGCTTGACAGAATTCAACTGTCGGCGCAACTGTCGAAAAATGTTTCCAATAATGTTTCGCCTGCGACTGCGGAGAAAATGGCCCAAGATCTCAGTAGTGACGCAGGTAATAATAATGAACGCCAGGCTTAAAGTGGCTGAGTGGACCTACACGCACCTAGAAGACTTGGTGTTTCAGGGCCACGGGGACTTTTTTCCAGGGACTGCGGAGAAAACGCGACAACGAAACATCCAAAGAACATGTCGGATTTCTCAACTCGGCAGCGTGTAAACAGTCTACACATGAATCTCCTCCAGAACTGATAAACCCAAATGCTTTACTCACAATTGGACATGCCCTCCGTCAAGACCATTTTTTTCTCTTGAGAGACATAACTTCGATGATCCAGGATGTTGGCGACATCTCAACCAAGTCCCAGCTTTCCTCGCCCGTCTCCCTCGTCCACTCCGATCCCAACGGCGGCGTTCCGACGACCTGGCAGCAAAGATGGCGACAGACAAGCGATCTGGGTGCCTATGCTCAACAGCGCGTCAAAGGGCAAAGATCTCTCTGAAAAGCAACTCATCCTCCTCGGTGGCACCCCCGACCAACAGCGCGGATTCCTCGAACAATTAAACCCCCCGAATCAGAGAGCCCGGTACGCCAACAACGACAGACGACGGCAGCCGAGGATCGCGCCTGTGTCGAACCGCTATGCCCTGGGCTACACCTACCACGACGTCCTGGACGCAGATCAGGAAGACGTGCTTGCGAGAATGAATATCTACATGCTGGCGAATCCCTCTGCGAACTTTGCCCCGCTGCTCAAGCCGCTTTTCACGCCAAAGACTGTCAAAGACACATTGATCACCATCTTACTGGACTGGTCAGATCCATTGAAGTGGGCGAGGCAGCTACGGCAATGGATCCGCCTTTTGAGAAGCGTGATATTGACATTGGACGAGCAGACAAAGATTGAAATGGAGGAAATCATGACGGCCTGGAAAGAGAAGAGAGTCGGGCCAGATGCTCCGTCTGCTCAACCCGGGAGCGGTAGCAGTGCCACCGTAGCTGAGCAGAGATCGATAGTACCACCGGGACCGGGCGAGTGGGACGAGGGACTAGGCATTCCGCTGTCTGTGGTTTGTATACAGGCGGAGAAGATCCAAGACCTGGAACGAGACCAGGGCTGGGGGGAGGATCAGTTTGACTTCCTGATGCAGTGGCTGCGATGCGTTTTGCTGAAGCACGGAGCCTCGCTCGTCTATACCGCCACGTTCGACCCGAACAATGTGAGGACGCTGTTGCATTCGAGTCTCAGCATTCAATCTCTGTTAAAACGGGAGGTGGCGAAACACAACATCGTCGACAGAGACAAGATCCTGGTACCGCCCAACTGGGACTCTTGGGGCAAGATTCGAATCCTAAAGGAAGGCTTTGACCCCGAGGCCGTGGCGAACGCATGGTCCGTGGAAATACAGTTACCTCCCAAGGAGAAATTCGACCTGTCATCAAAGAGCTACGGCCAAGAGGCCGAGAGATCTTCGCAGGACAATGAGACCGACACAGAATCGGCTGTGCAACTGTTTGAAAGTACGCTCCGCCGTCCCACCGACATGCGGCCTTCGTTCCAGCCACGAACGCACGATGAATCAGTCTCTGTCCCGTCTGTCCAAGAATTCCTGCAAGCACAACATGAGACGCTCGAAAAGTTGAAGGCGGAAGACGAAAAGGCAGAGAGGAAGTCGCGTAAGGGTGCGCCGGCGCCGACGGGAGCTGGCGCAGGTAGCGTTGACGCAGGGGCCGTGGAAGAAGGGCCCAAGGGTGTTTCCAACCCAAGGATGGCCGAGCACATTGGCCCATATCAGATCAACGTGAACGGGATTGATTTCGACGCCGAGGAGGCCACCCGAAGACTGCGGGAGCGGGAGAGCGAGCGGCAGAATGCGGCCAAGAACGTGTCTACCAACGCCGGTCACGCGTCATCGGGGGTCGTCACGGGGATAGGTACGAGCACGCCAATGCGTCGTATGGGTAGCGACCACGGCGGCGATGGGGCACAGACGCCGTCTGGCTCGGGCAAGCAGAGCAATGAAGCCATGTCGCAGTTCTTTGCCAATCTGATCAACAAGAAGGACAAACGGGGCGCCGTGAGCGCCGGTGCTAGTCCCACCAGGGTTCCGGCCGGCAATATTGGGTCCAGCCCTGCGACGAGTCGGGGACATGGTGCTGGAGGAGCCGCGACGGGCGAAGAGAGAAGACGCGAGTCTTGAAGTTGATCAGTCAATCAATCAATCTGATGGGCATTTCAGTGTCAGGGTGGAATATGGATCGACATGCTGAGCTGCGGAGAAAAGAGATAGTTTCTCGAAGAGATGAAACAACCCTTGGAGATATTTATTCTTTTCTTTTTGGCGGCGTCGTCGAATGCGTTCAAAGCCAGCGCTCGAATTCAACGCTCTGCTCTGCGGGACCACGGGGAATGTTTCCTGCCAGTTTTAGAGGCGGAGGTGCAAGCGGATATGAGAATTCATACATAGCCTGTCAGGAGAGAAAGAAAAAAAAAAGCAAAACATTCTTTCTTGTCCTGTATACCAAGTATTACGACTGCGGCTGAACACAGCCACTCCAGTCTCGGTGTCGATCAGCAAAAGCCTCGATCCAATTCTATAGACACAGCAATAGATACGGCATTTACCCAGCAGGTTGCGCCACGATATGTCGCGAGATATCATGTATGATCCTGGTCTTTTGTGTCTTTTACTACTCATACACACAATAGTACCTCGTACACATACGTCCCTTTTTCGCCGCCTCGTTATCTGATGGTATGTAAGGACGGGGTCTGAATCCAAGGAACGAGAAAAAACAACTCGACAATAGGATATAGGATGTAGTTAGATGGGAGAAATCACTCTTTATTTTGCCATCGATCTTGCTGTTTGACTTAGCTGGCTGAATAGCTGGCTAAATAGCTGCAATGTCTTCGTTATCGAAAAGGACGGTATTGTATAAAATATAAAAATCTTTCTTCTATACCGAATACGATTCCGGGAAAAGTCTGGCAAAAAAAAAAAAACAGGTACAGTCCGTCTCTTTTTATTTCCTCTTCAATCTTTGTTTTCTGTATTTTTTGGCTGGCCCATTCATTCGTTTCTTCATTCGTTTTCCGTTTTCTCGTGGGAGGAGTAGAGAAACAAGACGGGGACGCGGAACAACAACAAGAACAAGATCCACGCCAGTGATGATGATAGCAGCAATAGCCAACGTCTATCCTGTCCTCTAGAACCAGCCCTCCTCTGCTCTCCTCATCCTCTTCCATCACAGCTTCCACAATCGTCAATCCACACAGCCTCCCTCGGCAGTCCACCCGTCAATCTCGACCATGGTCATGACCTGCCCCGGCACATCGTCGACCAACTCGGTGAGATTCTCCCTCAGACGCGCCACCTCGGCCTCGCTCAGCCCACACATGCGCGTCAGATACGAGATGACGCCGCCAAACTCGCCCTCCAGCACGGTGCGCAGGAACGCACGCATATTGCCCGCTCGACTGCCGCAGATCCGGGCGGCTTCTTCGCGTGAAACCGCCGGTCTGCTGTGCTCCCTCTCGCCAGTGACGACCTGCTGCTGCTGCTGCTGCTGCTGGGGTTTGCCGCCGCCTCCCCCAAGGCCGGTCTGGGCGATTCGCTCGATGAACTCTTTCCGCCAGCCGCCCAACCCTGGTTCGGTGAGGGCATACTCCCAGCAGATGACGTCCTCGTCCACGCCGACGAGCTTCATAATCAGCGCGCCGAACACCCCCGTGCGGTCTTTGCCGGCTGTACAGTGGAACACCAGGGGTTCGTTCGGTCGGTCGAGAAGATGTCGGAACATGATGGTGTAGGCACCGGCGCCGTGCGTGGCAATGTCTCGATACGCCCTCACAAAGCCTTCGGAGTAAGCGTAGCCTGCTTCATGATCGTGGGAGTGTTCGGCGGTGTACCAAGCCAGTTTCCTCGCCAGGGCGACAGGGCCGTAGTCTTCGGTCTGGTAGACGGGGACAAAATGCCTCTTGAGGCCCGGTACCTCATCTAAACATCCAGACACGGGACTTGCAAGTGGGTACACGCTCTTGCCACTGGAAGCGACAGTGGACGCGAGCCGGTTGATCTCGGGCGCAGACCGCAAGTCGTACATGTCGTGCACGTTGAGAGTGGTGGTCAGGTACGTGGCCCCCGTGGGGGTCAAGTGAGTGGGGTGAGCACAGCGGTACAGGAGATTTTTCTTGAGGACGTACTTCTTGGACGGCGGCGCCTGGGACGAAGACGAGGGTGGCTGGCAGGGGTATCCTCCCAGCTCGCGGAAATTGGGCACGCCCTGCACATGCAAGAAGGGCGGCGTAGGCAGATGGTCCGGGAAGGCGATATTGAAGTCGCTGGGTTCGGGCGTGGCCGCGCGCTCGGCCCTCTCCTCCTTCTCCAGCGCCTCGACCTCTTTCTCGCTGAGAGGCATCCCGTTGGCGTCACTGAGGTGAGCAGCCGAGGGCGGTTGTACGTCCATGTAGGGCTGGTAGGGGTGTTCTGGCTGGGCGGATTCGGGGTCAGCAGCAGCAATGGCGGTGGTGGTGGTGTCGTCGATGATGTTGTGGTTGTCGTTGGTGGCTGCGGAGGTGTTTATCTCGGCCATGTACACCCCAAGTAGACAGATGGCTCAAGAAGCTTCTTGTCTGGCGATGTTGAACGAGTGAGGATGGGAAAATGGTCTTCTCATCAGTTTTCAAACACGTCCCCTCCCTTGGATTTTTGTGTTATTGTCAAAAAAGGGTCCGAACCGTCACCGATTGGGCACCACTGGCGGGGGGAGAAACGATGGGCGAGGATGGCGTTATCGGCCTAAGAAGCAGCGGATCTAATAGAGAATTGAGGGAGTTGAATAGTTGTCTACTGTGATCTATCAGTCATGTACAAGTACTTTCTTCCCTCTTGTCTTTAGAGCATCGGGTACACAAATAATGAAAACCCCAGGGGTATGGCCTGATGGGCGGTGGTGGTGGTGTTGGTTGGTGGATGAGGAGCAAATGACACTAAGAAATACCTCGGTCGATTTGTCTGCGTTGCCGGCTCCAAGGCAGCAGCATCTCAGTCAGCCCCTCCATCCACCCAACTGCCTGCGCCCCTTTTGCACCAAAAGTTCTCCCTAAGATGCTCCAAAAAAGATTACGAGACGCGCATATGAAAGAAACTCCAGAGACAAGCAATACGAGTCCCCCCCTGCCAAATGTCCTAGTCAGTCCCTTTCGGCTATTCTCCCGATCGTAGACGCAGAACAAAACCGTGCGGGCTGGATTCACCCACAGATTCCCTCCTTTGTCTCTTCACCACCAATCATCCCTCCACGTCCCAGTCCTCTCATGCAAGTCGCCCCTTTGGCACATGGATAAAACTGGAAAAGATCCGATTACCCTGGTCACAGACATTTGCTGGCACCTTAGGGCAAAAGCGGTAAAGGTAGCGAGACACTTGGAAATGCGGAAATTCGAGATTCGACCAGAATTGTGTCGATACGTGAAATTAAAACATAGAAATATTCACATTTTGTAATTCATCCTGCTTTTTGCCCAGCATCGCCCTGGTGCCGACGTTGCTGGCCTTGCTGTCTTTTCGGCAGATCTGTTATATACTATGTATGCACGATAGCTGCAGCTCAAAGCAATTGCGAAAGCAGTCTACCACCCAAGCTACTTTTTTTTTTTCGTGGGACCATTGCTCATTCCCAAGAAACGCCCCGTATATACATACAACCCATAAGATGTCATGACACGAGTCCCACCTCCAGCCGGCAAACAAGGGACATCTCTGTACACCCGCGATTCCGAGCACTTCGTAACGCAGCCGAGAGTCGTCCACAGAAGGAAGAGAGAGACCAAAGAAGATAAAGAGGTCGGGTCATCTGGAGAACCAAGGAAACAAAATGCAAATACCTGTGGGCGAATGCGACGCCGATCGTGCATTTCTCCGCTTCAGTCGTAGCGAGATGTCCCATCGCCCATATCAAAGCGATGTTGAGGCAGTCGCTTGACGGGTGGTGGCAGATGGTCATGTTTGGCTTGTACTTTCATTCTGGCAGCCACCTTGTGACACCCAGTCTTGGACACATCAATCGCTTCGAACGTCGGTCCGGTATCCTCGCGTGAACAGCATTCGACTCCCTTGATCCATCGATCGTTCAGCGCGTCGCTGATGCTGCATCGCCATTCGGGTTCGGGGTGAAGCATCTTGAGGATACACCGCCGGATCGAATTCGACGGCAGCGCATTGAAGATGGGCCCACATTGCGGATGGCAGTTCTCGTCAATGGCCGAATCCTGGAATCGCTCCCGAAACGCTTGCCAGCCTTCCAGGAACAGGGAATAATTCATCTCCTTCTTGCTCGCACTTTGCCACGGGTTGCCGATGTGAAACATGGTCAGAAAGAGGATCGCACAACCCCATACGTCCAATTTGGTTGGATCGTATTCCCGGTCTTGGGCTAAAACCTCGGGCGATATGTATGGCTTCGAACCACAAATACCAGGAGCCGACTTGCGAACCTCTCTCATGCCTTGTCCACACCGTCCTCCCGAAAGCGCAATCCCCGGATGATCACCACGAAACACCTCCGAAACACCAAAATCAGTGATCTTGATATATCCATCGTCCGTCATGAGCAGGTTTTCCAGTTTGATGTCGCGGTGCGCAATCCCGTGTTCGTGCAGGTAGTTGACCCCGCGAAGGACTTGCTTGAAGATGCAGTTCCGGTCCTCGGCCTTGAAATACTTTCGTTCTACTAGGCTGAAGAGCTCGCCTTGCGCGCAATACTCCATGACATGATTCCAGCGTCCATTGTTCGTGCACAGCCGCACGGTTTGCACTATGTTGGGGTGGTTAAGAGATTTGGCAATGGTGTACTCCGACTTGACCTTCCGAACGTATTCTTCCTCTGTTTCCCTCGCAGACTTCTTGCGGAACTCCTTGACGGCATACAGCGCCGCGCCCTCACCTTTCTTCTCACCCTTGCGCAGCATGATCTTGACTGTTGCACTGGCACCCTTCCCGATCTCTTTTCGCCGGCCTATCTTGGACGCCGAGACAAACTCGTCCTCCAGCGGACAAACATCGACGAAGAAATCGTCTCGAGGATCTGCGCTCAAGCGCCGAGCTTTGGCTCCTGCGCCTTCCCGAGCGGGCAACGAGAAAGGCGACGGTCGCGATGGAAGGTCGAAATTGCTGCCATAGCTCCCCGTCCGATGGACCGGCGGCTTGGAAGGGCTGAGATATTTGGATTCCTTGTGGGACTTGATTTTCGAGAGGAGGCTGAAACCGCTCGAAGTGCGTGTGGGCGTCGGCGGCTCAGTGGTCATGACCGACATGATCTCAGCAATGGTCGAGACGATGTCGGGTCCGCAGAGAAATTGGGCTCACGAGCAGTGAGCGGGACTGAAGAGGAGCCAGCGCGACGGGCACTGGGATGCTTGGTTGCGACAGATGTACAAGGACCAGTATTGAAGGAAGTTGGTACCCTTTTGAGAGTACTGTGAAGACAAGGTGGGTAGGGTCGTCAGAGGGGGACCACCTAGGAGCACCTAGTACGGTTGCTTCGAGATGTTATGTGGTGGGTCCTCAACCGAAGTGAGGGCAACAGCGGATTGCGCGATATGTTTGGAGCACGAGAGGATCTCGAGACGCAGGTGGGCATGCGAGAAATGCACTATGATCGAATACTGCAGGGAACGGAGAGTGGTCACTCGAAATAATGGGCCGTGGTTGTGCGAAAAGGCGAGAGGACGTGGGGAGGGGTAGCAAAGCCTGCGGCATTTCCAGCAAGGCGGGTCCCAAGCTTGGTCAAGATGGAGAAAGCAGATAAGAGTGCCCGGTACGTCGACCCAAAAAAGGATCACCGAGGTCGATACCAGATGGTGTTTTGACTTCCTCGTGGCCGGCGCTCGTGGTGTCAGTGGTTAGGGTTTTAGACTTTGGCTTCTTTGCTCATTTCCCTTTTGCACCCGATGCTGTCCCGGCCTCTTCTCCTTCTGCTTCTAGTCTTTGAGCCAGCATCCAAGGCACCTTGTTGCATGTGCACGACGAAGGAGCAAAGGTGACCTGTTGCCGTGGCCGTGTGGACCGACAATGAACCGTGGGATGCCGTGGGTTGGGAAGTGCCAGCTACAAGTGTGCGGTTGAGTTCGAGGTGGGTCGTGAGGGCGGTGATTTCCCCGTCCAAATACGAGGTATTTCGAGTGAGTCGTGAGTACTTGTGGGTGCGATGAGGAGCTTTGGAGAGGGCGAGTGGAAGGCAGAGAGGAACTGTATGAAGAGTCAGCAGCTATTGAGGTGATGAGGGCAGGAGGAGACGCAGTTGAGGACAGAAATGAGGCTGTCCATCATCAACTCCGGCTCACCTTCGCAGCACCAACGGATGGAATGGATCGATCGGCAGGTGGTCGAGGAGCGTGGGATGGAGGACGGAGGATGGATCAGCGGCCGCGTTGGCGGCGATCACGAGGACTCGGCTAACCCAGTAAGTTGGGGAGCATTCGAGGACGAATTGAACGGGAGGTCAGAGGTGAAGGTGTGGGAGTCGGATTGAGATGCTTGTAGACAATAGAGGAAACAGCTTTCGAAGATGGAAAGACGCAGTCAATCTTTATAGACAGACAAACTGTCGCTCCAGTCTATACAATTGATCATCCCAAGTCTCTTCCCAACCATTTCCTCCCCCCAAGAATCCCGCCCACGGTGCCTTGCTCACTTGCTGCACTCCAAACTCGCTACTGCAGCCTCCAGCACGGGCAATATGCAATGCACTCCACGCCCACCAGGTCTTGTTCGTGTTCCTCCCTGTTGCTTATGCTCCGTGCTCAATGTCGCCCCCGCGCATTATTGATTTCCGTTGTCGAGTAGAGTTGTGGCCCCGCACACTCTGAACGAGCGGATATGTGAAGCGGTCTTGGAAGTCCTTTCCCCGTCCTTTTCTTTGTTCTTGTATGGAGAATTGCCCGCTGGTGGGAGAATCTGCATACCTCCAGAGTCACAATTCCTTCCCAGGCGGCTGCAATCAGGCTGTGCTATATCTCTCCCTCCCTCTCGTTCTCAAATGCACTCCTCACCTCTTAGCAAACCCCTCGTCCACCCTCGATCATCAGCTCCGCCTTCCGGTAAGGGGATCCCTCCGAGCTAGGTCCAAGCCACCGGCCTGCGGGATTTATTTTCTTCTGCTTCTTATTGAACCAGCCCGTTGTCCGTTTTGATAGCTGGTCAGGCTGCCGTGCCTGCTTATGCTGTGACACCGAAATTCTGCAGATTTGATTCATGGTCCAGCGCCGTCTTCAACCCTGTGGCCCCTTGACTGCCCCTCCTCCGCAAAATGCTGCATTTCCACTCGCCCTGGCACCCAATCGACCACTCGACATCACCCTTCCACCCCACGCTCTTTTCGACACCGGTTCATTACTTTTCTGCGTCCTGACGTCTCTAGGTCGGCCTCACCAGCTGACTCTAAACCTGTTAAGCATCATCTCCCGCCTTCCGCACAGGAAATGGGCCCCAACGGACTCGGAAAACGGCACATGGTCAGGCGGTCAAGTTAGTCCGTCAGGTACCCGCGAATCATTCTACGGGCGCCACCTGCTAGAGCTCTAGGCCAGTGGTAGGCCCGAACCTTTCTCTGCCGCAGCCCAAAGGACCACACGACTAGAGAGCCTGTTCGTCACTGGACGCCCTCGTTAGGCTGATCGGCTGTTTGACTATTGCGTTGCGCTCAAAAGGATCCAGCAGGAAGAAAAGGAAACAAAGACCATCTCCTCATTTGCCCTTCTCGAGTCACCGCTGATTAGAAGAATGTACTCTGCTGCAACAAGTATCCATCATCGACAAGCAATCGGGCCGGTGAATGGTTGAGTAAAAACTCACCGCCCTGACATCCCCGCAACAGCCTCGACGCCTCCTTGGTCACAGCCTCATCCCACTGCTCACCCACCCCAGCTTCACTTTTTGGATCCATGCCTGCATGAGACCGATATCAACACGACATCTTCCGCCTTCCCCGATGCGTTTGTCTGTCCCACCCTCCTCTATGCGTCTTGGTGCCCGTGACCGTTCAGGTCATCCAAGCCCTGGCTCTGCTCACGCTGCATGCGAGCCTCTATCTCACGCAGTTGACTCTCCCGTGCCAGCAGCTCCTGTCGTTTCTCATTGATCTCTCGCTGAACCTTGACCTCGATCTCCCGTAGCTTCTCCTCTTCACGTCGCAGCTGTTCTTCCTTCAGGCGAACGGATTGGTTGGCTAGGTCTTCGGGATTGATAGACGAGTCTTGAGCACTGTGACACGAAACAATTAGTCAACCTGCAGAATCACAAATTCGGTCAGGGATCACTTACGAGACACCACCGTCCACGCTCTTGCTGAGTTTCTCTGTTCGGTAGTTTTCGTACAGGAAGTCGTGGGTGATTTCTTTGAGATCGGCAAGGTGCGAGTGCAGGAGCGCGCTGCGAATGGCTAGGAAATCCGAGTGGCGCGGGTTGTCGACTTCGACAATACCCCATGGGTACTGTCGTGCACGAACCCGGCGTCCGCCAATCTCTATCACATCTTCTGAACCAACAATGGCGAATGGCATTAAGCCACGCAGCTCTGCGTTTTCCTCTACCGTGTCCTCATCATCCTCTTCGATGTCATAAGGAAAGTTGTAGACAGGAATCCGGTAGTGTTCAATATCTTCCATAACCAACTTCTTGGACTCGGCCAGTTCGGCCGGGGTCAATGAATCAGCTTTTCCGATGACGGGGATGACGTTGACGCGGGGGGAGAGGCGCTTCATCAGTTCAATGTCAAGCTCGCGGAGGCCATGACCTGTTGGGGTGATGAAGTAAAGCAGGGCATGCACGCGATTGTCTCGGAATCGAGGATTTCTCTTGATACGAGATTCCTCAGCCAAGATATCGTCGTACTGTCGTTCCAAGTACCCAACAATTTCGCCAAAAGCGGACTCGTTATCAATCTGGTCACCGAAGCCCGGGGTGTCCACGATGGTGAGTGATACACGTGTGCCTTCTTCATCCAGTTCCAACTCTAAAAGGTATTGTCAGTTCACCCCTGGCCAACCCCATAGCAAGGGTGTGTTCTCTCTCTTCACCTACCAACGGTAACCGGCTTGATTCTTACGCCTTCCTCCAGGTGAGCATTGGCTGCATCGTCGGCGTCTTTGGGCTGAAGGACTCGCTTGCCACAAAGGGTGTTGACAAAGGTGGTTCGTCCTGGAAGTGGTCAAATCAGACTGAGGTCAGGGTCGAGTCGAGGGAAGCAGTTACCAGTTCCACTTGCACCACAAACCATCAGGCAAAACTGAATTCCTTTCTTGACATTCTTCTTTCTCCGAATCTTTAACTGCGCCAGGCGCATGCTGTTAGTGGAGAACATTGTGATATTGGTAGACTCTGGATAAAGCTGGGGGTGGTTGGTGATGGTGATCAGGGGGTCAGTGTGCAAGAGCGAGACTGCGTACCGCATTCATCGGAGAAGACATGATGCTAAAGGACTAGGTGTAGAGGGCGCCGGCAGAAAAGAAGGACGCCCGGAAATGGAAGTTGGCGACAAGACGAAACGAGGGTATAGAATAGAACAAGAAAACAAATTGTTGGAAGCGCGACGCAGTGGTTTAAGATGGATGAGTGTGTTCGATTGAGGTGGTGAACGGGCGACTTTTCAAAAATTAAGGGGAAGCCAGGGATCGACGCGCCAATTGGTGCCAGCTGGACTCTGGGGGTGGCGCTTTCCCTCTTTGAGCTTCTCGCCTTGCCTTCTTGCTTTGGCCATCCTCCATCAGCCTTGTGATTCTGGTGTCTGCGTTCCATCATCGCTACGGTCAGTCCTTGGGCCACGCCTGCACCCAGCTTCCGCACCACTACACCTTTTCATTTCTGTGATGAGCAGCAGTCGTGATTAGCACTTTTGGTGTTCCAACATGTTACTGGCCTAGGTCCTGAAAAGTAAAGGCAGGTACCTACCCGTCAGGTAGGTTCACAGGTTCTCTTTATTGACCTGGTGTCGTCTCCCACAGCCTTCCTTCTCACCCGTGGTCTTCTCGTCATGTCGCATCGTCAGAACAATCGACGCTCTGGGAACTCGCGGCGACAGCAGTCTGTCGACTTTCCCCGATATCCTCCCATGTCACAATCTCAGACAGAGCTGCCGACGTCTGCCCCCACTCCTACTCCTGCTCCTCCACCTGCTCCCACTTCCGGTGCTACTCTTCCCGCGCTCGTTGCTGCTCCTTACGCGCAGCCTGCTGTTCAGGTGTCCGACTATGAGTCCGACAATCAGGGCTATCAGTCGGATTACCCAATAAAACCACCTCCACCAAACCGCACCAAC